CTGCTCGCCTGCCGCCGGTAGCAGCAGCTTCACCCTGGCCGTTGGTCGGGCCTGCGGTCAGCGTGTAGGGCGGCACGCGGGTCGAGTTGGCCAGCAGCGGCGGCTTACCGGCACGGTCAAGGGGCCAGGCGAAGGGCGCGGTGTCGACGAGGCGGTTGAACTTGACGCTCTCGTCGATCCAGCTCGGATGTACGGCGCAGATGCCGAGCTGGCGGTTCTGCGGCTCGCGCAGCACGCTCAGCTTGCTCGAGTCTTCGGAGGGCGTGATGAGGTGAGTGACCTCCTTGGTCAAGTTGAGCTTGTATGAGCCCCCCAGCGACTGTACGGCACCCATGATTAGCTCGACCTCCAGCTTGGGCATGCGCGACGCGTGGATCACTACGCCCGAGAAAATGCGGGCGGCGTCGGGCGAGTAGAAGCGCTCCGGCTGGCGCTCGCCGAGCGTGTATGAGCGCTGCACCCACTCCGGCTGCTCAGGCGTACGGAGGGAGCATTTCAGCAGCTGTCAAGACAATCGCGTCTCACGACACTTCGAAAAAGGACTCACATCGACGACAACCGCGTGGGAGTCTGCGGCGATGTTGAAGACATTGTCCGCCTGGGGGTCGATGCAGGCCTCGTACTCGGGAAAGTCAAGCGTGGAGGTGATCACGTGGGTCACCTTTTCCGGGTTGAAGCGGTAGGAGCGCGGGAATGCCTTGTTGATCTCACCCGCAGAGTCTTCCCAGCACTGCGCGCCGGCGGTCTGCAGCAGCTCCTTGAGCTGAAGAAGAAGGCGGTTGGAGACAGGTTCAGGTTGTCCCGGTCAGCATCAGCGAGCAGCAAAGCAGAGCAGGTAAAGCAAAGATAAGGAGAATACACGCACCGTAGCGAGCAGCTCTGGACTCAGGTCATCGTTGAGGAAGAAGACGACGCCCTCAAAGATGTGCTCTGGCAGGGGCGCCATGGTGGGCGATACAATCCAATGTGATGCGACGCGACACGCGCGGAGGAGGTCCCGAAAGGCGGGCGCGCGTCCCCGCTTGCGGGTCCTAGTGCACGAGTCTGGTCCGTTCTTCTCTGTGTTGGGAGAGCCCTGGCGCTGGCGCCGTAGGCTATGCCCAGTCGGGGAGGTGAGTGAGCGATGGCTTCCAGACGTGGGTGAAGCAGCCACCGTATGAACGAGAGCTCGATTACATACACATAACCATCAATTTGTATATGGCATAATATATCAAGGGTGTGCACGCGTTTAGATTCGGTGCAACTCACGCGCACGTCGATCTCAATTTTTCATTGATCTATGATATCTCTCACTCTCATCGCGCAACATGCATGCTTGATGTCCAATCCGACCCATCTCATCCCCTCTTGGTGGACAAGAGACGTCAAGCAGAGGCTGGCCTGATGCACTTCCAATCCAAATATCATCCCTCCCCGCGCCGCCCATCCTCCGCTGCATTCAACCAAATCCAACCCAACCCAGTCCGATCCAATCGAATCCCATCAACACCCACTCGCCTGCTCCCCTGATCATGAGTATCGCCAGCGCATTGAAGGGTAAGGCGCGAGATGGCGCGCCGCCACCGCCACCAAGCGATGGGCAGCAGCAGCGTTGCGACGCGCTCGACTCGATCGCCCCATCCTCTTCGTCCGCACAGGCGCAGGAGCATGGGCGCCCTCCACGCAGTCCCCAGGCATGGGTCCATTTTGCCGCCGGCGGCGTCGGCGGTATGTGCGGCGCCATCGTAACGTCGCCGCTCGACGTTGTCAAGACACGCCTGCAATCCGACATGTACCAGCAGCAGCAACAACGGCATACACAGGCATACGCACGGACTCCACCATCGCGCCACGGTGGTGGCGGCAGTGCAGGACTGCTGCGCACGGTGCGCACGCTGGCGTACCACTTTGTCGAAACGGCACAGCTGCTGCGCACCATATCGCTGCGCGAGGGCCCGCGCGCCCTGTTCAAGGGGCTAGGCCCGACGCTCGTGGGCGTCGTGCCGGCGCGGGCGATCAACTTCTCCGTGTACGGTAACGGCAAGCAGCTCCTTGCGCAGCGCTTCAATGCCGGACGCGAGACGCCCGCCGTCCACCTCGTCGCTGCCACGCTCGCGGGCATTGTAACCGCCACCGCGACCAACCCAATCTGGGTCGTGAAGACGCGCCTCCAGCTCGAGAACCAGTCTGAGGCGCGCAGGAGTGCAGACAGGCGGAGAGCAGCCGTCCGCCCCCTGCCTGCAACAACCTCCAGCACCTCGCCCGCTGCCGCTGCCAAGACGCCTCCTGGCGCAGCAGCTGCCTTGATATCGTCCCGCAACGCCTCTTCCTCCTCTCCTTCTTTCTCCTTCCACGCGCGGCCCGCGCCCGCGCGCCCGTCAACCAAATCGTTTGCGATGGTCGTGCAGATCGTCCGCAACGAGGGCATCCACGGCCTGTACAAGGGCATGTCCGCCTCCTACCTCGGCGTTGCAGAGGGGACGATTCAGTGGGCGCTGTACGAGCAACTCAAAGCCTGGGACCGGCGGCAAGGCGCATCACTATCAGCGGAAGGGAGCAAAGCCGACAGCAACGCGGCGCGCGAGCGCCAGTCGCTCACCGGCACCATCTCCGCAGCCGGCACGGCCAAGCTGATCGCGTCGCTCATCACGTACCCGCACGAAGTGATCCGCACGCGCCTGCGACAGCAGCCGCCGGAGACCGGCGCCCCGCGCAAGTACACCGGCCTCCTACAGACGATCCGCGTCGTCGTCAGGGAGGAGGGCGTGGTGGCGCTCTACGGCGGGCTTTCCGCTCATCTGCTAAGGGTCGTTCCTGTGAGTCTATCACTGCGCAACAGATGTCAGCTTATGTACCATGTGCTGACTGTTCTCATTTTATCCTCACGCAGAACGCTGCCGTCATGTTCAGCATCTACGAGCTCTTTCTGCACTTTGCGCCAGCTCAAGAACACGCGACTGCACGATGAGGCCGATCCCCAGATGTTCAACACGCGCCAACGCATCTGTACTACTACTTTCTCCACTTGCAACCTGCCTGGCTGCCCACTTTGTACATCCATGCCCGCGCACACACGCGCATCTTGTAGCATAATAGACCCAACATCCACCCGCTCACACATGGACACACACATACCCGTCGTCACCTGAACTTGGCGCGCACCTGAAGCGAGCGCGCAGCTCAATTCTGTGCATCCGCATGTCCCAATAGTGATACTGCCATACACGCGTATCTCCTCACTTCAGTCAGCCAGCGGCAGCGGAAGAGTCGGTGACGCAGACTTGCCACCATCCCTCACCTCCTCCTTCTGGCCCTGCCCCAGGATGAACTTGGCCGGCTTGAGGCCGGGCCCCGCCGGCGCGGTCGGCGCACCTCCCATGTCATCACCATTCCCAAACATGGCGTTGAGCGTCGCCTTGTCCCTGCGCTGCCGTATGCGCTCCGCCTCGAGGTGCCCTCCCGTCTTGCGTAACGCCTTTCCATCGACGAATCCCGCGAGCTCGTCGGCAAACTCGTCCGTGCGCCCGGCCAGCTCGCGTTGCCGCTGCTTCTCCGCAGCCTGCAGCGCGCGCAGGCGCTTCTCGTGGTCCACGCTCTGCCCGCGCACTTCGAGCATCACCGTATTCAGGCCCTGGTGCCCCTCCTCTGGCGCGGGCGGAATGTATCCACGCGAGCTCGTTCCGCGCAGCTTGACCACTTGCTGGATGTCGTTGAACACATCCTGCAGTGCCGCGTGGTCGTCACGTAGATCGGCAATGAGCGACTCTTGGTGGTTGAGGAATTCCTGCTCCTCCACGATGCTCTGCAGCTCCGACTCCCAGGTCTTCTTCCAGCTCGGCTTGACATTCTGCACATACTTCTCCACTTCCTCCAGGCCTTTGGTCGCTTTCTCGATATCACCAACGATCTTCTTCAGCATTGCTGGCTTCGGCTTGACACCACGCTGGATGACATCGTGCTTGAGGTCGTCGACAGTGTCTTGAAGATCCTCCACCAAAGTGAGCACCTCTTGCGAGCTCGAATCAAGCTGCGCCTTTCCGGCAATAATGAAATTACGTTCGACCGGTGCATCTGCAGTGGCGATTTTGCGCACGCGCTTGTTGCGCTCTCGCAGTTCCTTGAAGAGCGAAGTGACATCGGTCGAGAACTCACCCTGCACCTGACGCATAATGGCAAGCTCGCGACGCAGTTTCTGTAGCTCATCGTACTGCACGCGCAGCTCGTCTGCTGCGCGCGCCCCCGTGGAGTTAGGCGACCCACCGCCCACGGGGCTCTTCCCGCTGGCTGCACGCGCCATCTGCGCCACGCGCTGGCCAGCCGCCGCGAACTCTGAGTCGGAGATCTTGCCGACGTTCTGGGAAGCTGAGCGTTGGACGCTCTCGGCGACATGCGCGTAGGAGTCCTGTTGAATCGACATGCGTCGCACATCGCGCTCCATCACAGCAGCCTTTAGCTCGCGCAGCTCGCGCGTCAACCCACTAATCGAAAGATCGAGATGTTGTTTGACTTGATCAAGAGCTGAAAGTGTGAGTAGCAAGGATCGTGCTGTCAGTACAACTTCCACAAAGCACTGCCAAGGGTCCAAGCACTTACGCTCGATGTTGAGGGTGAGCAATGTATCACTCTGGATGTCCTCGAGATCCTCCAATTCGAAAGAAAGCCCACTCCGCGGATCTTTGATGTAGATGGCGGGGAAGTCATCCTGGCCGGGGGAATAAGCAAAACGGTTGACGAAGAGCATGCGCAAAGTTGCGATGGTGATGCCTCCAGCTGGCAGGTCTGGATCGTAATCGATGACAGCCTTGCGAGTATGACGCCCCAACTGAAGGAATAGATTGAGCTGCCCTTGCGGTAAAAGAGCGCTGGCATGGTAGTTAGCCTGCGTTGGCGTCTCAGCCGAAACGGGTTGTGGGGATGTTACAGTGATGCTGGTATTGGCGCTTTGCGACACGTGCGAAGGCGACTGACTGGCGCGGTTCTGAATCGCATCGAGTCGAGCGCGTTCCGCTGGAGTAGGAAGTGGAGGTACTGGGGGGATGTCGAACTTTACTTCATCCTCCGTCGGCGAGAGGACATGTGCTGCATCGACGAAAGGCAAAGACTCGGTCGAACTCTCTGCCGCCGGTGACAAGCGGCCGCGCGAGCTACCCGAGGGGGACGTGCGCTCTGTCGACTGTGGTAAAGAAAGAGAAGGCAGCATGGGACTGCGATTGGCAGAGGACGCCGTGGAAGAGGTAGAAGAAACGCGCTTGGCTGATTTGATGCCTCGGGATGGCAAGCCAGAAGCCGAAGGCGGCCCGCTGGTGATTGTATCCCCAGACTGTGGACCAGTGGGAATGTCGGCATTGTTGTTGACGACATTCAACCTGCTCGGACGCTTCGAAGTGTTCGTCTTGCGCTCGCTCTGCACGACGCGACGATCCGCCGGCGCAGCGGAGCCACTGGCGCCGCTCGGCGTTGCGCCAAGGTTCAGCATGCTCATCCCCAAGTTGCCAGAGCCAAAGCTGGAGCCAAAGCCTTGGCCAAGACCCATCTTATTGAAAGTGTAAGCGCTGAAGCGTTTCGATGCACGTCGTTCAAGCACATCGCGAGACTTGAGCGCCCGCAGCGAGGGATCCGCTGCCGAATCGATAGAGTCCATCGACAGCGGCGATGTCGCTTCGATGGTCGGAAGCGGAGAGCGGGAAGCAAATCCATCGCTCGTCGGTGTCTGCAGAGTCGACGCGCTGCTTCCTGCACGAGCGTGACCGCTGGCCACCGGCGGCTGTGGTACGACCGGTACCGAACTGGATGGAGCATGCCTTGAGCGGGCCGCCACTGACGGAGATACATCCGTATCAGACACACCGCCTGAGGATGTAGATAGCGGTGTATCAGTCAATCGATACCCTAAATGAGGTGTCCCTTTGTGAGGTGGCGGGGAAGTGACGGTTTCCTCCAGCTCTGAAATGGGCACTGTCGGCGAGAATCGCTTCTCATCTGGCTGCGCCTCCAGGGCTGTTCCTCGCAATGAGTCAATGCTCGGGCGCCGTAGATGCCCTCTGATCAATTGAGACGCACGAGCGCCTGTGTCGATCGGTGGAGCGTGCATCGGCCGCCTCGAGGCCGATGATGAAGGCGACAAGGCGCTCGGAGACCCACGATGAAGCGAATCCCTCGCAGAAGGTAATGGTGGTCGATCTTCCATTAAAGGGTACTGCGGAACTGTAGGAGAGCCTTCGCTTCCGCCTTGTCGCTGAATGCGCAAGCTGTCTCCACGCTTTTGCGAAATCTGACTTGTACTGCCACCGCGCATGAGCACGCTGTCTTTGGGCGTGTTCGAATCCCGTGATGAGTCTGGTATTCGCTGTGCTGCCGCCATTGGAGGAGGACCGGGCACTGGGGTGAATGTGACCGGTGCAGCGGGAGTTTCTTGAAAAGAGGTGCGATTGCGCATCAGATATTGCTTATATTGGGCCTGCTTCAGTTTGAGGCCCTGCAGCAATGCAATTATAATCTCTCTGACCCGAGGTAAGTGTTTTTCCAACACACTCTGCGAGGCTTCTTCCGATAAGCATGCTTCTAGACACGCGCGCAAGTCGTCCGGAACTGACTCGAGGTCCCTGCATTCCCACTATACGTCAGCCTACGCCCACAAATCACAAATGCTTCCGAATGACATTAAAAGAATCTCACCGCATGTCAATTCCATAGCTCCCGAATGCGAGCTTGGCGGTATTGAAGTCGTTTCCCAGTCGCACATAGACATCCGATACTTGTTCCTCTGTACGCTGCCCCATCGACCATTTCGTGAGCGCCTCGAGTAACATCTTGGTAGCCACGAGCAGGCGCGTCACCGACGATTCCATGTGAGATGTGGAGTACTGGTAACAAGCTGGCGTCAGCACCAAATCCAATATTTCGTTCCTTCTTCAAATGCTTTGGCTCACCCTGCCTGCCTGTCCTGCGCTATCTCCAGCGCGAGGCTGCGCCTGTAGTGTCGACATGACGGCAGATATACTTAGGTCCTTGGGTCACAAATCTAAGCGGGGTTGAGGCGCACCACTGGTATGCTATCGAGCAAGTCGACAAAATTAGTTTGATGAACCGGTTGCCGGGCCTACCCAATCAGCTTCAGCGGTCCCGGATGCACAGCGCCGATCACGCCTTGAGCCCGGGAGCTTGTTCTTGCGGCCTCTGGCTCTCAGCCTTGGAGCTGGTGCGAGCCTGTCTTGGAACATTGAACATTCAATCAAGGCGAGATGATGGTGCGAGCGCGCCATGGTCGTCATGATGGTGTCGGCGTGAAGATGGGCTCTCAAGCGAGAGGCCGCTTGCTGCGCCACAGCACTGCGCTTGTCTCGGCCACCTCTCGGGCGAGAGAGCCAGAAAAATCAACGAGAGAGTCCCTCGCTCTTCGAAAATATAAAAATGCATTCACTCTCCTCCCTTCTGTTCGGGAACCAATAAGCTGTCCACGAATGATATCTTACATTGCGAAAGCGAGACTGTCTTGATCACGAAGATTATCAGTACTTGAAAGCGTTTCCACGGTCGGCTTGGGATAGTGAAGATGGGTGGCAAAAAGGTGCGAGAGCGAGGTCAACATGCGCTGGCGCATGATCTGAGTCTGAACGTTTGTCCTCATTCCCGCAGCTCACTGCAAAGACAATCAAGCGCAAGAATGCGCCAACGCACCCGAATTCCCGTAGAGCGCATCAGCTAGCTCGCGTTGCTCACCGAGAAGACAAACTTGCACGGCAAAAGGTGCTCCGGCGCAAGGTGACAGACTCCAGAGGTGAGCTCACACTGATGCGCTCGGTCCTGATTTTTCCCGACGCTGATACATGTCCCTATTTTCCTATTAGTCGAGCGCATGTTTAACATGATCGGACTACTCGATCCGGAAGTAACGCACCTTCCCGATCTTCAAGATCTGCACACATTCATCTCCGATACGTACTTGTCCCTCAACCGTGAACGCCTTGCTGAGGTTCAAGCTGCAAGGCGCCCAGGGCGGCCGCCCTCAAAGGACGAACTGCTTCTGCAAAGCATATGCGCGAAGGAGAAGGAGCAATACAAGATGGGTATGGAAGTGCCAGATCTGACCAACCCCACAAACGTCAAGCTACTAAGAGCGTGGCAGGGCGGCTCGCAAGACCTGCCACTCTTTCGAATCGTTCGCATATCAGACACATTTCCGTGAGTCAATCGCCTCTCCTTGCACACAATCTGCGGCACGAGAATCTGAAAGGCCGTATGTCTCTCACAATATAGTGATCAGTGTGTTCTTATTCAAGCGGGGATACATAAAGAGCTACAGCTAGAGGAGAAAGCACAACAGAGTGCCAACAAGGAGTTAGCCGCCGGTAACAACGCCGCCCCTGCGATTCGAAGCATGTCGCCTGGGAGTCCTTTCCAACGAGCAGATGAATTCATGGGGATGCACTGAACATTCTCTGAGAGATGGTTGTAGCATAGCAGCTCAGATGTGTATCTTATTGATGAAATTTTGATGCTTGTCCTAACGCAGATTGCTGCAGGATATGCAAACGCTCACCTGATCTGAAAACCATGCCTGTATCTGGCTCGATCTTGGGCTAGATTAATGAAAACAGGCCTCACTGACGATTCCTCATTAGTGCCCGCCATCCCCAGTCGATAGGCCGGTGTCAGATTTTAAACCTAGGCCGGTCATCGGTGATGGAATGGCTGGCGGGAAGCAAAAAAGGAGATACGAGCAAAACTGTGACGTGCAAAAAAATCTCGCCACAGAGAGTCGAACTCTGGACCTCAAGATTAACCACCTTCCGGTTGGCCTGCGATTTCCATTACAGTCTTACACTCTACCAACTGAGTTATAGCGAGCTTATACAAGGGAAAAAGTTGACACATATTTAATCTGAATGATCCTCCCAAACAGAATTTTTGCCGTGGCCAGTGGTACGTATGCCTGTTATCTGGTGATCGTTACGAATGCATAGTATGGTCTATATACCCCAATCGATGATCGATGAATTGAAAACGGAGACTTATGTCCATCATATTGAGTGTGAAAGACCTGCGAAAAGGCAGTTGCGCAGACGACATGCGCGGGTTGAAGTAGGGATACCAACTGTCACGGTCGCCGATTCGCATCGTCGCTAATCATTACTTCTCCACCGCACCACCATCGCGCCAGATACCTTAGCGTTAGGCGTGTGACCATCTATACTTTTAGAAAGGGATCTGTAGCCTAGGCTGACAGGAGCTCCGCGTTGAGCATCTTTCTGAATTCGTCCCCTGATCCATAACTCCTTACATGCATAGGAGTGATCTTTTGGTCTCGAGCGCTGGTGGTGCAGGCGTTGCGGCAGGCGCTTGTGAAATCCTCCAGTCCTCTTCCCATCAAAAAGAGCTACTTGATCTAGAGCGTATTCATCATCGCACCCGTCCATCTACAGGCGGCCCTCCATCCACAGTAGCAGCACAATAGGTACAGCACAATAGGCAGTGAGAAGGCAGAGAACTGATATCTACGGCGACGCATATTCAAGATAAATTTCATTTCGGCTCGTGCATTGCTCACATCAAATATCGATCTGGGTTGCGTCCAGGCTAAGAGCATGAAGCTGAAAGAAACGTCAAACATCAGCCAGCATTCGAAGCAATGCGACGTTGCAGTGTCAATGGACTTACCAATAGATTGACATTCCGAATGCGCACGTCGGGCCCAAGCTCCATACCAGGGATAGCACCAACACTCGCAGTGTTAACACTGAACCCGGCAGAGCTGAGCTCATTCGCCAGACCTCCCAGCCGTTGGTCGGCTTGCGTTTTCTTGCGCTTGGCCCATTCTTTCGCGGACACTACGTTCTCCAGAATCTTATCCCTGAGCTCAGCGACCAACGTCTGCTGCTGCTCCATTGAACATGCAACGGCGAGTGCAGCCATAAAGTTCCAGACCGGTTCGTCCTCAATATCGATGTTGCGGTACTTTTTACCGTCTTTGGCTGCATCGGCAAGCGTGGCGGTGCCGAAGGCTCCGGACATGTAGTAGCCTGGTCCGAACGGCAGAGAAGCCCGGGCACGTGTCGATGGGAACAGCCCGGGAAGCATGCAAGGGGTGGAAAGTCGTTGAAACAGCAAAGAGAATATCTGAGACCACTGTTCCAAGTCCTCAGTAGAGGGAATGATCCCTCCACCGCCCTGTCGCAGCGATTCGGCGCGAGAAAGGAAGATGGTGAGGAATGCAATTCCAGGCTAAAGCGAGAGGGAAGGGAACTTCAGTGGCTGCGGGAAGGTGAGTCGCTGAACCATTTAAGACTCACCCTACTTCGAGCAACTCGGACCGCATCATTTCGCTCAATGAAGACAGCAAGCATGCCACTGACGATCTTCATTGGCGCGCTGGCGATCAGTTGCATCATGCTGGGAACGATTGAATTGGCAAATGCTTCCGTCTGACGCTCCACGTCCTCGCGCTGGGCCATGGCTGAAGGCTCGTTCGAGCCAGTACTTTCTCCATCGAGCAGGTGCGCGTACTTGACCACATCGAGCGATTGAAAGGATGCGACAATCATTGTCATGGTGGTGAGCGTCTGCTCAGGGGTCAAATGCCGAAGAGCCCGCGGTAGAAGACGCTTGCCCTTTGATGTCGAGATTAGCGACACAAAGGGGTGCGGATCTGAAATGTCAAGGGGCTCAAGTACGCGCAGGTCCTTCCAGAGGGAAACGGTCAGTGCAGCCTGCCTTTGCTCTAGCGCTTCTGCAGCCGCATCGGCGCCGGGGTCACCCGGCGCAGGTGCATTACGTCGCAGCTGTTCAAGCGCAAGGACTGTGTCATATAGCTTCTCCAGGATGCGCAGTACCTCGTGTTTGCCCAATGCCTGGCGTTTTTGACCAGGTGCACCGCTTTGCCCGAGACTCGCGCCGGCAAGAGCCGCGCGTACAGCATCTTGTGCACCACTAGCTGCACCATCGCTGGCCCCGGAAAATTTCGCCGCCGCTCCGTCCGAAGGCAGCGAAAGCATCTGACGCATGCCCTTTGTGGAGCTTGCAGTGATCCTTCCGAGGGCACCCTCGAGCGCAATACCATTTGCCGACTTTTCGTCACGCTCCTTTCGATGCTTGACGATACGCTCAACCTGTTGCTGCATGCGCAGCATGGCATTTTCGCGACGCGACAAGCGCGGCTGCTTTTTGTTCCTACCGTTCTTCTGCATTTCGTTATGATTGTTGCTCTCTCCCAGAACTGGTGCAGATGGGCCGCGACCACCACGCAAAGCAAAGTAGATATGCGCATAGAAGTCGTCGGTGTACGGATCGGGGGTGACAAGCTGGCTGACTTGGATACGCGTGATAAAATCTTGATCCGAGCGCGTCATGAGGCCATTGTGTTTGGACATAGCCTGGATCTTGGCCAGTTTTCGGCGCAACTTGGCCTCCTGCCGTTCGATCTCCTCAATCTTGCGTCGCACAGTCTCGTGAATGTGTCCTATGGCAGCTACCTGCAGTGTGTCAATGGCCTTTGCCACGTCTGGCTTGGAGACATCGGTAGATCGGACCTGTCGTAGGGCAGGGAATGCCTCGACTACATTGTCCAGAGACTCGAACTGCAACGACGGCGGCAGGCTGAGAATAGTCTGCTGCACAGTGTCAGGCATCGAATCGAGAAGCGCCTTCATGCGCACAAAGTGCATGGCTTGCGCTTCCGCCTGTGCATTAGCAGCCTGCTGCATCGCCAACGCTGCAGGTGGCATGTTCCCTTTGCCTTGAAACGGAGGATGCATAATTCCTCCAGGAGGAATAGGTGTGCCATTGGCACCTTGGCGCTGTGTCTCAAGGAACGTTTTTTCGGCCTGTTGGCGTTGCAGGATCTCCTTTTCTTGAAGCTGTTGCTGTTGTTGCTGCTGTTGCTGCCGCATGATGGATGCGAGGTCCGCCACTCCAGATCGCTCCTTTGCTTGAGTGGGAGCGAGAACCTGAGTCCCAACCTTCGCAGCTGGCTGCATATCAGGCTGAGGTGCGAGTGGCGGCGGCCCACGCGCTTGGCGCATCTGTGCCTCAATCTCCTCCATCGTCAAAGGCTGTCGACCAAGTGGTGCTAGACCATGAGGGCCCGGTGGAGGAAGTTGCTGGCCTGTAAAGGGTGGGAGAGCTCCTGCAGGCGAGGGCTGCTGCTGTTGCTGTTGCGACGTTACGGTGATCCTACTTCCTCTCATCTCAGCCTCGATCTCCTCCATTGTCTTCGGCACAGGGCGTGACGATGTAGCTGCGCCTGTGCCAGCGCGAGGCCCACTGCGCGTACTGTCCAATGTCATGAAGTCATCGAGTTTGCTTGCGAACTTGGACGGTAGAGGGGCCGCAGCGGACTTGCTGATTGCCGGGGGAGCTGGGACTGATGCAGCAGGTACAGCAGCTGCAGGTCCGTGACCAAAGTTAAAGTCGGTGCCTATCCAGCGCAGAAGTCAGAGGTGAGCGTGGGTTGCAATCCGGCGAGGATCATTGCCTGAACAACGCACCGACATCGTCGACTCCAAATGTATCGTCATTGAAAGCGTCATTGCCTTCGTCAAGACGATCACCAAGGCCATCATAGTCCTCTTCTCCCCAAGTATACACTGCTACGTCTTCCTGAGCTCCGGCTGTCAGTGCACTGATCTTGGCATCCAGGGCACTTGGATCATCGTCCTCGTCGCCGAGGCCTCCTTCGCCAGAGTAGGTCGGATCGAAGGTTGGGTCAAACGCGTCGCCGTGTGGCTCGGCCCCCAGGGGACCACCGCTGCTAGCAGCTGGGCGGTCCCGGGGCAACGTTACGTCGAAGCCAAAGAACGACATGCAAACAGCCTCCTTTGGCTACCTTCTACAGCGCGGACGTTGCGCAACAGAAGACGCAAAGGTCAATGTGTACAGTCACGAAGAAGCATTCTTGACCGAAAGTGTTGCGTGTTATCGCTGGCACTGGTTCAACTCCCGCCCTGCTGGCTGCTGCTTGTGGGTCGCAGTCAACGGCATGTCGACTCTCTGAAGTGTTGAGAACTACGACCCTGCGGGATTTACACACTTTTGCTGTTCCACATTATTGAGAATTGATTCACGCCAAAGCCAGAAGACCCAAAGCTATGTGCACTTGCCATGATGTCATCGAGCGGGTGAATGGGCTCGCCGTCTTCCGTTGAATGGGTCGCTGATGCCGTACGAATGAATAGATACATGTGCATTTGTGGAGAAGCAGAATGCATGATGTGGTTGTGTGTGATCACTTCTTAAAGAAACCCAACTGCGGTGCGAGAAGCAAGCCTGTCATCATTCGCGCGCCTTCAACGCAGGAATCCATTCCAACGCACCTTTCCCTTCTTTTTCTCCTTGCTAGCCTTGCTGAGGTCGCTGGGCGATGGGCTAGCCGCTCGATTTTCGTACTGCTGTAGGTGTGCCTGTATGCGTTGCCCGGAAGTGCTACCGTAGCTCGGTGCATTAGAGGGAGGTCGGGGACCAGATGTTTGCTGTGCTTGGGGCTGGTACAGCGTTGGCTGGCTGGGCGAGTAAAATCTTCGATCGTACGAGTCCTGCAATGTTGCCGAAGATGGTTGTGACCAACTCTGATGAGGCTGGTGGTGCGGTTGATAAGTTCCATTACCCGAGTGTTGAGGACCGTCGCGCGTCAATTCGGAACGTGAGCGCAGTCCACTGACGTCGTTGGAGGGCTTGGTCAGCATGGTGGCGCCAGGAGGCAGCGCTAGACCCCCGGGATAGTGACGGGGAGTGTGGTGCGGGTGCTCGTGGTGCCCGTGTCCGTGCCTATGCTGATACTTTGGTGGCCCTTGCGAGAGATGCTTGAGGCTCTCCATGAAGGTTGTCGGTGTGAAGATGTGTGAAGAGCCGATATACACATCCTTTCCGACGGTCGAGGAGCTCAGGTATGCCGAACGAATTTCGGAATAGCTCATTCCGCCGGCAATGAAGATGATGAAGCGCTGTCGCGTTGCATCGTCTCGCGAGAAAGACGAAGGTAAGGAATTGCCCCCTGCGGAGCTCAAGCCACCTCCTGAAGCAACACCAACCCGCGGCTTCTGGTGCCATGTAGGCTTGGCACTGCGCAAGCTGCTCGCAGCCGGCCGCCCAGCACTGCTTGCTGCGCTAGATGAACCAGTGTTCAGGCCAACACGTGCTAACGCAGAGTTACCCGCTGATGAAGCTTGATTGACAAAGCCTGATGTGTCCGGCGGCGCGTCCCGTACATATGGGTAGGTCGACTGCTCTAGCTTTCCGGAGCAGTGGTCTTCAATCATGAGCTTAACCTGCGGCTGATACCGACTGAGTTCGTACTCATTCTCGCGGTATGGTTGCTTTCTTGCGCTCGTCTTCTTGAACCACGTGTCCCACGCCGAGGTCATGGGCTGTTTGACGACGCGGGCGCCGAGGAGAACGAGGTTGTTGACTGCATCCATCTCTTGCAGACCGAGTCTGGCATGCTGGAAAAGTCGCTTCCGGTCCTCGTCCGGCACACCATCGCAGTACATGATGTACAGTGCAATGATGCGGACCTTGTCTGCGTTGCTGACCTGCCTGTCATCCAGCAGTGGCACCATCTCCTCCACGAGCGTCTTGGGTTTCGATCCGTCCGGTGTCATGCGTGTTGCACAGCACTGCTCGACACTCGCCTGTGCGTTGAGCTTAGTTCTCTCAAAGATGTTCATGCAATTATGCGCCATCGTTAGGTGCAGACTGAGCTTCTCCTTCATTTCCTGCATATGCGGCAAGCTCGCGAGCATGTCTCGCATGTCATTCAGGTTACTGCCAGTCGCATACTGGCCTTGTCGACCAGCGTGCTCCTTGAAATCGTCTGTGAGCTTCTGGATGGCCTCTGCGATGTGCAGATGCCGAATCGCGCACCAGACCGAATCCTCGTCCGACAGTACTGCATCTTTCTCCTCCTCCTGCCCCTGCGCATTCGTGAAGCGATAGTGATATCGCAGGCCATCCTCGATGGGCAGCAGGTCGTTGCACATGGCTTGATAGCTGAACTCGTGCAGGAATGGTGCAACAATGTCCATGCTGCGGTCGGTGATAAAAAGGACGCCCTTTGGTCGCCCAGGGTCTTGTTTTGGCTGGTTCTCGCGGACGTAGTCATCAAGTGCGCCTTGCAATCGAAACGCTAGCCGCTTCGTAAAATGGTCTCCGCCTCCTATTGGCGGAGTCCCTCCGGTACTGACGCCCGAACTGTCGTTCGCGTCTCTGAAGCGTGCAATCCTCGCGCTTCCTGAGTACAACGTGTTGCTTCCAGCCCGATCAAAATGCGACGTTGATGGTCCGCCAGCGGCACCTCCATCAGGTGGAGCCAAAGCCCCTAATGGGGGGTGGCTGGGGTTGTAGTAGCGGATTTGAGGAAACTCGTTGAGCGTGACGCAGACGTTGAGCAGGATGTGTGCGGTGGCAACGACCTCGTCCTCGATCGCTCGCTGTGCAGCGCTCATTTCATTGAATGGGCGCGATGATAAGGGTTGAAAGATGGTGTAGAATGATTGAGGACTCCGTAATGAGAAGATTTGATTCTCAGGCGCTGTGCGTGGGGAGCGGCGGTCAGCGCCACAAGTCGAGGATAGGAAGTACTGTCACTTACTCCAGATATTGCAGAAAAGCTCAATGAGCTGTCGAAGCTTTGGCTCCGCTGGCGACCTAGTCAATCGTTGTATGAGCTCGTCCGTGAGTCCTAGGAAGTGGGGAAGGAGGGAGGGTGCTCAGTTTGAGGTCTTACTTTCAGGCAGAACGCATTGAATGCTCACCATCAACGAAAAAGATGTGTGCTGCTGCGTACTTTCCCCTCGATGCGTCCCCCCCAGGCGCTAAGTCATGGATGATAGCATCGACACTAGCAGTTGTCGGACAAAGGATGTAGCAGGCTTCAAAAGCTGGCTGATCATGCCTGTCTGCCTGCTCAATCATCTCCACCCCGGTGACTGACTCTTGTAAGATATCATGCATCTTCGCAACCGAAGAAATCAGCTCTGATGTGTGAGCGTCGAGAACCAAAACCTTCCATCGTGAGGCTGGCTGCACCGAGCGAATCGCAGTAAAGATGCCTTCGTAGCAATGCAAAGGAATAAAGGGTCAGCGATTTCGATCCGCAATTTTCAGCGGCAAGCTAGGCATTTACTCACGATCTCGCACGAGGGAGATCATGCTCTTAGGAGGCATTTTGAAATCCTTTTTGGCTCAAGCACACTTCTACGATGCTGGACGATCCTTGCAACAGCGCCTCTTGACCCAGGTCAAAACCTCCGGATCTCCAGTCTGGCGGATCGCCGGTGTGCCAAGTCTCCACACCCGTTCTTCAACCGTGTGTGTCAAGCTTGCGATGTCTGTGGGCTGCTTTAGAGCTTCGACCTGTAATGCTCTGATGCTCCACGCAGGACAGCCGAGGGGGTGAGGGGCGTGATATGCCACCTTAGCTTGCGCAGGCAGAGATTGGGAGCAACAATGATGAGGCCAGCCTTACCGGGGTCGAGCGCGCAGGTTCTTTTGGTCTTTCGCTGCACTTTCAGGACATTCGCGATGCGATGACGACCAAAGCCAGGAGCAGCGCGTATGCCAATGATTCAACCCTTGATGGGAGGACAGAGACGATGATCGGCATTCGCCAGCCTTTCACCTGAGTGCGGATGTTGATGTAAGAGTGGTCAGGTGTTGGCCCATGCGGCGGCGCCTCTGGCTAGCGCGGTAGCAGCCCACGGCCCGTACGCCGAGGAGAGAGACTCGCGGAGTGGGTGCTGTGTCTCCATCCGACTCAGACCTTGTGCCCGCCCAATCAACCAGGTGCAGAAGATGAATCAACTAGGCTCTACTACTCAGACCATCATGTTGATTTCTGGCACTATTCTTCAAACATGCTTCGCCAGTAGAGGCCACAGAGCTCGCCATAACGCAGCCAGATCACTGTTCACATATTTTCACCGCGACTCAAACTGCACCATCCCTGCGCCGCTCTTGCTCAGACAGGAAAGACACTGCCGGGCGCAAGATGACGCGAGCTAAGAACTTTGCAGGCCGCGTGGCTGCGCTCACCGTGCTTTACACCCTTCTTCTGCTCGATATCATTCCCACTCCCTTGATCAACGACAAGGCAAAGAAGGAGATTCTGCCTACTGTGAGTGGCACAGAGAGGGAAATGAGGGTATCTGTCGATGGCTGGCAGTCGACGGGTGTTTGCTTCTCTGCTGGCGGACGTTCAAAGTTCATCGAATTGATGAATTCTCACCCCGATTTGGCCCGGCAGCTACCTTGGTGGGCACTCATATCGACCGGCAGCTACCTATTATCGCAGCTAGGCTGGGGCCTATATCACTTCAGCGATACGCCGAAGGCGTACGAGGAACTCATGGTGGTGAGTATCGAGGTTTGAGGTTGCCTCGCCGATCGCGTACATGAGGCTTTCACATCATCAAACACGGACACTCACTCACTTCCGATCCCGCACACAGGATATCAAGGAGGCAAAAGACTTCCTTCGGGGACGGGGTGTCGATGTGGATTCATGACACTGGAATCGTAGTTCCAAGCGGCAGCAGTGTGAAATGCTGGCTCATCACGGCATGCTGCAAGACTGTGCTTTCGTGCACGCGAGTACATGCTCTGCCTTCGCCTCTTCACAGCGCTCTCCGCTCGCCTAGACCACACCATTGTATTTGTACTTCGATGGTTTGCCATCTATAACTGCCCACTTTAATACCGACTGATCCTCACAGTCACCCTGCCCTATCAAATGTGAAGCATCGAGTGCGAACATGTGAAGAAGGATATGGTGTAGGTGATGAGTGCATGGCCGACGGTGACTGTACGACTGCACGAGACCACGATTCGTATGTTTCGTGGAGTATTTATTTGTCTGGTAGGTCAAATTACAGGGATTGGATGCGAGGCCTAACTGCGATGGGAGCAAGTGAAATGTGTGTGCCAAGCGACAAAATGGGAGTCTGGTGACCTGCCTGAATTTATAGGAGGACATTGCTTACAACGCACAACTTTCCCATTTGGCTGAGCCCACCTGACTCATTGTCTCGTTTTATCAAGTCGGAAAACGTCGGTCGTTGAATTCGCAAACTCTCGCTCAATGCGACATACGATTAATAATAGTAGCAAGCTATCTATGACTCGTTCCAATCGGTTGCAGCTGGGTACGTACCCATTCGCATGTGACCAGCAGCAACTTATTCGCATTTATTCTTTGTGCTCATTTGTATATATATTTTCTGTTTGTCATTGAAGACTTGGACCTCAAGCTAATCAGCCAGAAGATCGACCACCATGAGCGTCGCATACGGCGGACACGGCTCCTCGATGTCGGCCGGCGGCGCCTCAAACGGCAACCAGCTGGACTATGGCCGTTACTTGTCGTCCCTCGCCAAGCGCTTCCCGCAATCAGCTATCCGAGGGTTGTTCAAAGCCGAGATGATCCCTGGTATGATCTCATTCCTTGCCGGAATGCCGAATCCCGCCACCTTCCCTGTAACCTCCCTTACCTTCACACTCTCCGCCGACCCGGAGGGCTCGGCTGCTGCCACCGCCAATGGAAATGGCCCCAGCGCAGCAAAAGAGGAGATCAAAGTTGAGATCAAGGGCGAGGACCTGAGCCTGGCTCTACAATACAGTCAGACTTCAGGTCTCCCCCGGCTCAACAAGTGGCTCACAACTTTTGTCAGCGAACTGCACAACCGAAAGGTGATAGAGCCAGACAACGAAATTACCGCTGCCAAGGAGGGGCGCCACCCTTGGAGACTTACCGTCGGTGCCGGCAGCCAAGATTTACTACACAAGACGTTCAATGCGCTGCTGGACCCAGAAGATAGCATCTTGGTGGAGGCACCGTGTTACGCGTGAGTACCTTGACGCTGGCGTACCTACCCGTCCACAACGGAGAAGTAATCGAATTCGGTCTTGCCATTTGCAGCGGTGTCATCCCTTCTATGGCCATGATCCCTGCGAACATAATTAATGTTGATTCTGACGCTGAAGGCGTCTCGCCGGCGTCACTTCGGTCCATCCTTTCGCAATGGTCGACAACCCCTTCTACATCAGGCAAGCGCTTCCCCAAGGCCTTGTACACGGTTCCGACTGGTGCAAATCCAGCCGGTACGACTGCGTCTGAGCAGCGTAAGCGCGACGTGCTCGCCATCTGCCGCGAATACGGTATTCTCATCCTCGAAGATGACCCTTACTACTTTCTCAGTTTCCAAGGGCTCGGTGAGGATCCCGTGACGCGACCGCGGTCGAAGAGCTACTTTGCGCTCGAGTCTGAGGACAGGGCGCGCTGGGGGGACGGCTATGTGCTGCGCTTCGAGAGCTTCAGCAAGGTCCTCTCGGCAGGCGTACGCCTGGGCTTCCTTGCGGGTCCCACTGCCATCGTCAATGCAGTGGACACGCTCACCGCCAGCTGGAGCCTCCAGCCGTCTGGCCCGCCGCAAGCGCTGGCCCTCGCGCTGCTCGAGCATTGGGGTAAATCTGGCTTCTTGCGGCACGTCGACCGTGTCTCGTCGTTCTACAAGGCACGCAGGGACGTCTTTGAGACAAAAGTGCGCTGCGTACTCGGCGCCGACCCGGCGAGCGGTAGGCCTGCGGTCGCGGAGTGGGTCAGCCCGGTGGCTGGTATGTTCCTCTGGCTGAAGCTCAAGCTGCCGCCATCTACGAAAGATGGGAGTAATGAGGGTAGCGCGAAGGAGCTGGTCGAGGGAAGGGCAAGAGCCAAAGGCTTCCTCGCGGTGCCGGGCGTCGGGTTTCTGCCGGGCGTGAAAAGTTCACCGTACGTGCGCACAAGCTTCAGCGTCGTACCTGAGGACCAGATCGAGGAAGGCTTCAAGAGACTCAGGGAAAGTATTGAAGAAGCATGGAAGGAAGCGGGGCTAGAGCTCAAGTAGAACATGGTGTATACAACGAAGTTGGAGAAGGCTGCATGGGGGTATTCAATTGTGGACTGTGCATGCACTGACTTCCTTGTATACAAGCGTCCACCACTAATCGAGTTCGTCTTGCTGTGGCCGCGAATCGTCCCCCGAACTGGTATCGGCACGCTGCTCTGCCGCATTGCGTAACACGTCGCGCAGGTGCGAGGCAGATAATGGTTGCTCGTCAAATGTCGATGAAGCCTGTCGATTACCCATCGCGCCAGTGCCGCTAATGGATGGCGTCGACGTCGCCGCCGAGGGATCGGGCATGGCACCTGGCATGCGCACAGCCGCGTCTGCACTCGAGCCAGAAGATAGTGCTGGTGGTGGCGGCGAATCGGCTAATGCTGCGCTATCGGAGGAAAACCTTCCCAAGCTGACTCGACACACAGGACAGGTGCCGTGCATCTTAAGCCAAGGTACAAGGCAATCCTCATGGAAGATGTGTGCACAGGGCATGGCGATGAGTTCGTCTTGCTGCTGTCCTTCGTCCAGATCGCCTACTATTCGTTCCGGCGGATCGTCCTCGCCTTGCGCAGTAGAAGCTGACGGGATGAAATCTTCCTTGCACGTCGGACAGTCGCCATTTTTCGCCTTGGCGAGGCGAGCGAGGTTCTTCCTGCTGAAGCGCTCCAGTTTGGCGATGGCTTCTTCGGATGCAGGTGGCGGCGCTGTGCTGCTCTGCCCTGCAGCCTGTGCCTGCTCCATGAGCTGTGTGACGATGTTGTCCAGCCCTTGCTCACCCCATGCGTAATCACCCGGATTCCCACGCAGGGCTCCGCCGCCAAACATGTCGAACAGCAGCCCGCCCGCGGTTGCTGCAGCACCGATGCTTGTGCCTGACCCGCCAATCATGCTGCCGAACAAATCGGTGAACAGTGTTATCAGCGGCTCAAAGTCGCTACCTGCTGTTGATGTCGCCGCGGCAGATGGCGGGCGATCGGACGCTGAGCCACCAGGGTCGTTGTCGTGGTTGAAGAAACGGCCGTCAGAAGAGGCGCCGGCACCACCCATCCCATCTTCATGCCTTGTGCTACGCGTTCCTCGTCCGGCTGCTTGCGCATTCGCGCCGTCGAGACCTTGGGGAAACGCAGAATTCAGGAATCTGGAGACCGACGCATAATTTGTGAGATGAATCACTGCAGTCATAGTCCTCGTGGCCAACAGCTGCTGCGCATTCTACTCACGACGAGAGTGTCGGGATATCGCCGTCGCCTCTAAGCTCGACGACAGCGGGTCCGTCCGCCAGCGGTCTCCATTCGTTGCCCGGTGGTGCCGCTCTTGCACCTGAGTTCGCCCTTCGTCTCGGAGTAGATGATCCACCATCGGGAATTGCGCCGGAGGTGGAGGCGGTGGAGTTTAGCTCGGAAACGACTGCAGGGTTAGAGGGTGATGAGGGATTCTGTCGGGCAGACAAGTTACTCAGCCTCCATTGAACATTGACTGGGCCCAGCCTGAAGCGCCCGCGCCTCACATTGTCGGACGCAGAAGGCCGTCCAAGGACCGTGTTACCAGCACCACCATTCGCTGCAGTAGGAGGACGTTCGAATTGTGCCGCCGCGCCACTCGATGTACCGCCTACATTTGCGGCGCCCCCAAATGTCGCGCCGCCCAAGCCACCAAAAAGGGCATTGATGAGATTCACTGCTGGGGATGCAGAAGGATCGTAGGCCGGTTCTCCCACATCGCCCATACCCCTCCCTAGACGCAGACCCGTTTGAAAGGGATGCACCGGATCAAAGTCTTGTGGCCTATCCGTTTCTTGCTCGATCTGCCGGGACCAGAAAATGGAGACGCATCAGAGGTAGACCAGAGAGCCAAAAGGGTACCGTGCGATGACTGACCAGCTCGACGAAATCACTCCCGCACCTGGGGCAAGTATACGTCTGACTGGGGGTAATGAGTGGTGTGATCTCCACCCCGCATTGGTGACACCACGCCATCTGTGGTAATGCACCAGGGCGCGGCTGTGAGGAGCCGAGCCTATTGTTGCTACTGCTGCTGCTGCTGCTGCCGGGTGCCGACGTCTCACCTGGCCCTGCGTGATCGCTCCTCCTGTCCGTGAATTGTTTCCGCGGCGCTCCACGTGATACAGGGCAGTCCTACAAACATATGGTCTCTTGCAGCTGGATGCTCAGCGAGTAGGTTGCTGGTGTGGTGGTGACAACTACCTCGAGACAGTGGTGATGGAGCTTACTAAATGCATGTTGCACAGCACATAGCAACGAGCGACTGTAAGCTGTACGGCACGCATCGACGCTCAACCTCTTTTGGGTCGTGGCAGGGGTGGCGGCATCGTCACTTCTCGAGGGTCTCATCCGACCATTAGAGCCATGGCCTGTGTGCACCTCCCAGTTCCGCCCTTCCCTTCCTCGCCATCCGTGCCCACCCTCCCCCACTCCAGTTTGACTCGACTCGTGTGAGAATCAGGCCACCGCAAATCACCGAGAGACTCTGTTAAAAGAATGTCGCCGATGACATAATGCTCTTCGGTCCTCATTTCCTCCCTTCGATTGTGTCACGGTGAATGGAGTGGACTGTGAAATGGACGCGATACGGTTGGTATTGGCCGGATGCGCGCGAGAGATGGGGCAAGCTATAAGCTGACGCCAGATGAAAGCGCTCTCGTCTTCGCTCTGTATGTAGACTCTCCGTCACGTCGCCAGTTGCAAGCACGAGTTGAAGCCAGCTCCGGCCTCTCCCTGCAATCCGAACTGCTGCCTCTCCTTTTACTAGGACCAGCGCCTGCTTCCACTTCGTGCACCCAATCCCGCCCTTGGCACGGCGGGAGATTTTCCAATGTCGACGTAGAACATCAACGATGCTGTGTCCTCTAACTCGGTTCCACCACTGGAATGCCTTGACATAATCAAAGTCAGCCATTGCTGAAAAGCGCAATTGGGTACAGTCAGTGAGTGGGTGGGCCTTATTAGTCCAAAGCGTCGTTCCACTGGCTTTAGCTAGTAATCATGTTCATTCGGAATGTAGTATGCTACATATGCAGAATGTCAACCTTGAGCGAGAACCAAGTTTGAGCTTTCATGGTAAAGCTGCAGGATCGTTAGCAAGCAGACAGAAGCGTACGTTTCGGGTCCAGTAGGCACGCGTAGCATGATGCAAGCAAGCAAAAGAAATTCGAAGAAAAAGATGCAAACGGTCCAATCATGAATACGATGTGCACGAGTTGCAGCACCCTTCTCGCGATCACATGAGCAGCACAGCGCTCGTCGCAAACAATGCGCCGAGCGCTGTCGCAGTTTGGCACCGCGGCGCGCCCAGCAACACCGCTGGTGCCGCATTGCTGTTTCTCGAACCACTGGACCTGCTGCCGATGCCAGGTGCAGACGGATTGCCGGGGCTGCTGCCGTTGCCGCCTGTGTAAGCGGGTGCGCGAAGAAGCATTCCGCGGCTGCTGACGAACTCGGGCACGCCAACGGGAGGGCTGTACGGATTGGCGGGTACTGTGTCGTTGCTCTGGCCATCCCAACAGTAGGCATTATAGCACGTCTGGCAAGCGGGCGGGATCGGTGTGCCGGAACGCTGGAACGACCGCAGGAGCATACCACAGGCCAGACACTTTGGCCACGCGAGATCGGTACCGTTTAGCGCCGTGTCGATTCCACTGAGCGTTGCGACTGCGAACGCGTTGTCCATCACCGCTTGCGACTGGGCCTGTGAGTACTCAAGCTGGAAAGTGGAGGTGTTGGCCAGAGACTCGTACGGATAGTTGGGCAGGTATGCGATCAGAGGTGTCTGCTGGTCATTGAGCGCCGTGTCAGCATTGATGATGCTGGCGCCTGGGCAGCCAAAGAAGGTCGGCCGAGTGTTTAGACCGCGGTTGATGAACGTGTTGACCCTGGGAATATTAGGAAATGGATATTGAGCGAAGGTGTCATTCTGAACGCGCTGGCTTGTCGCGACGAGCGAAGTGCCGTTAGGCCAGGAAGAGACGTCAGCCGAGCTATCGACCGCTAGGACAAAGTCCAGCTCGCGCACTGGGTTGATGACGGGCCACAACGGGACATTCTGCCCGTCTTCGCCGCCGTCGACAAGAGAAATGTTCGGAGAGAGTGCATCGGGATTCGTTCCGTTCCTGTAGCCAAAAAATGAGTTGGGGACCAGGGAGATATCATTGTACTGTTGGCCGACTTGCGCGAGCACCTTTTCGATAGCAGCCTTAATCGCCGAGTCGCCTTCGGATGTGACGAGCGTCGTGAAGAGGCTCTGCAATGTGCGGCACGAAATTGTCAGAATCTTCAGGTTCGTCTACAGACATGCTTGCAAGGCTCTCACTCACGTTGAACAAGGTCGAACTTGTACCCATGCTCCAACCTGCGTTGTCCCATCCAGCAGTACACTGACCTTCGACTGTACTGGTGCCGTTGTTCAGCTGGCTACCGATTAAATCGATCGGCAAGAAGGCCGCGATGTCATCATCCCTAGAAACAGAGATAAGGAAGTCAGAACTTTTCAAAGTGTGAATGTGCATGACGGTGTACCCACCATGTGCCCCACTCATAAGGTGTGAATTCCCAGATTGGAGATGTCGTCTCGATGAACAGTTCACCCGGGTTGCGCTGATCGGCAATCACGATGGGGAACGGATAGGCAAAGGATTGAAAGTTGCTAACATTTCGCACATCGGACCATGTCGTTGCAGCGCCATGATTGGCATACTTGGTGCTGTTGAGCAGATGGTAAGAAAGCGCGCGTCCCCTGTCATCCGGACATGCGAAGAGGCATGTGTAGGGAAAGCGTCAGGCACAGAAACACGGGCTTCGACTGAGCCTCGCTTGGCAACAAGCTGTTAGTCACCAGTAGTCCGTGATACCGGTGTAGTTGCTCGTCGCGTAAGACCGCTTCTCATCAACGTCCTCAATGATATTGGCATAGAAGTTCAGCGCGTTATCCTGGGGGACGATCAAGTTGCTTTCCAGATCCCATGTACCATCGTGCAATGACTGCGTCGTAGGATAATCGTTGAGCGCAACGCTCCCCGTTAGCCAGCTTCCACCAGACAAGCCAGTGACATAGTCTGCAAGCTGCAGCAGTCCACCGGTGCCGACTTGCGTCGCGGTGCTGTTCCGCGAGTCCAACGCAGAGAAGACGCCAGCGCCGTAGAGCATCGCCCTCAATCCTCCTCCGCTGGTGGCGATCGCGATTCGCGGCACGCGACTAGCGTTGCCGCCCGTGTAGTTGCTGAATCCGCCGGGTACAGCTGCGTCGAGGCCGACTTGCGACTGGGAAAGCCAGCTGGTCCAATCAGCCTGTTTGGCGGCGCGGTGCTGCGCGATGTAGTTCGCCTCGTCTGGATTAAGCGTGCGAGTCGAGGCGTTGCGCAGCTGCCCACTGTACGACAGGCCGGCGGACGCGTTCGCAGCTGAAGCGGCTGGGCAGGAGATGGTCGAAGGTGCGTAGTCGCCTGAAGGAGCGCTGCGGGGCGTCAAGGCGAGAGTACGCATCACGTAGAGAGGCTCGCGGAGGACTTGTCGCATGTGCCCGTCCAGGCCGTTTATCGCAGCCGAGCTGGGACCGGAGCCAGAGGCAAGGGCTCCGCTTGCACATGCTATTGCGGCGTACAGGACAGTTTCAAAGGGCTTCATCTTGACCTTGCACCTGACTTTTGGATATGCTGCAACAAACACCCTTTGCGGGCAAGCTAATATGTCAGAGATGAAAATGCAAAGCCAAGGGTGAAAGAGCGGCTCGGCATCGAGATGTGGTTCTTAGCTGCATGTCGCTATCGATATATATATGCATCTGCTCACGTGCAGGCCACTTATACGATGATGCTCGGGAGGAGACCCGCGTTGTCGCAAACAGCGGCTCAACCAAGTGACAATGGCCCGCTTCATCGCTCGTCGCTTCTCTCTCCCCGTATCCCTTACATGTAGACGCGGGTTCGGGTCCGAACGCAAAAGTCAGATGGATGGCGCGCAGTGGAGTACGAAGCTTGCCAAGACGATCTCCACAGCTTTGTCACAATTTCTACCGGGGTAGACATCTGACAAGACTATTTCATGGTGCGTCGTCGACGGTGTGCCGTCATGCCGATGACGCTCTGCTTCCGTCCTTGCCAAGTCGACGTGCCGACGTTTCGTATTTCGTCAGCGTCATCATACGATCATAGGGGAGCAAAATGATAAGTCTTAAGTGCTGGATCTTTTTCGGTGCAACCGAGCGAGTGCCGTTGGATTTTAATTTTTTTTTTCCTGGAGAGCTGTCGCCGCCGCCTGCCAAAAGAGAGAGAGCGATGATAGAGCGTAGGCACAGTCTGCGAATCCTGCCAACAACATTTCGTATGCACCTTTAACGACGAGTTGGCGACCATCTCGCTGCTATGCCCAGCGCAACTGCATCTCGTTTGTGACAAAAGGACTGCGAGGGTGACGCAATAACCGAGATGGGACGCCGTCAAAAGAACAAGCAGGGCGCGCCAGCGCCTCTGCCGCTGCCTTCATCATCGGCCGGGGCGGCAGCCGGCAAGAAACGCAAAGCGTCCGACTCCTGCAGGGAGGATGACGGCAAGTCCAGCAAGAAACAAGCAGCAGCAGGGGAGTCGGCGGAACCGACAAGAAAGGTTTCAGTAATCGGCTCGGCGCGTGAGCGTATCGGCGATGCGAACGGCAAGGGCAAGGCAAAAGGCACGGTGAAGGGCAAAGGCAAGAGCTTGACTCCGACCGCAAGCAAGGCTCGTGCGCAGGCGCGTGCGGCACTCTTTGCTGACAAAGACAAACCTATCATTAGCGACGCAGAAGAGGAAGATGAGGAGGAGACAGGTAGTGGCGGTTTTGGGCAGTTCAATCCCGACGATTTGCAGGCTGCTATCGCCGCTGAGATGGACGGTGATGCCAGTGAGGACGATGAAGTCGAAGAAGCTGACGACGTCAAGGAAGAAGCCGAGGGAGTTCCATTATCAAAGCCCAGCAAAACGTCTCAATCAAAAGCAGCCAAAAAGGAGCTTGGCATTACTCCACCGCCTACTCTCGCTCCGCAACTGGGCTTTGATCTTCCACCCAAAGGAACGAAATTGTCCGAACGGGAAAAGAAAAAAGCACGCGCCGAGCTTGAGCGACTCGAGATGCTGTTGAAGAGCAGTGGGCATGCTCTCGATGGGCCTGTTGCGGACGACCAGGACGAGGAAGGTGAAGAGGATGAGGAAGACGATGACGACGACGACGACGCCGAGAACGATGAAGACGAACTAGATGGAGAAGGCCTCAACGAGGACGAGCTCGCCTTCCTCGATGGAGGCGATGGTGACGATGCAGACGAATTGGACCTAGAATCCGAGGACGATGACGAGCCCAGCCTGCTCGAAGGCGATGAAGATGGTGAAGAGGCGGATGAAGATGAAGATGAAGGGGACGACGATGAAGAAATGATGCTGCCGACGCTTGCGGATGCCGACAAGAACCTCGCCCAACTGCAAGGTGCCGATCTCAAAGTTGTGCAGCTGCGCATGCAAGAGGTAGTCAGCATCTTGACCAACTGGAAAAACTTCGATAACAGCAGTAATGGCAGAAGCAGGAGCGAATACGTCGATCAGCTGCTTGAGGATATCTGCGCTTACTATGGCTACAACAGATTCTTGGCTGAAAAGCTGTTTAATCTGTTTACCCCTGCCGAGGTGAGTGCCAGCCCAGTACTCTTTGACTGCGCTCGACTGCCTGCCGGATCTGACTGATTGATGTACCATTACACATGCTGTGCTGAACGGTACGACAGGCGATCGAATTTTTCGAAGCGAATGACACGCCGCGACCGGTGACGATCCGTGCAAATACACTGCGCACGCGTCGTCGTGACTTGGCGCAGGCGCTGATCAGCCGCGGTGTGCACCTCGAGCCGGTCGGCCCGTGGTCCAAGGTTGGGCTGCAAGTGTTCGAGTCCACCGTGCCCATCGGCGCGACGCCTGAGTATCTTGCAGGCCACTACATGCTGCAAGCCGCCGCATCGTTCTTGCCTTGCATCGCGCTTGCTCCCCAGCCGGGCGAGCGCGTGCTCGACATGGCTTCCGCACCGGGCGGCAAGTCGACATACCTGAGCGCACTGATGCAGAACACGGGCGTCGTATTTGCCAACGACAGCAACAAGGCGCGCGTCAAAAGTCTCACGGCGAATATCCACCGACTCGGCTGCAAGAATGTCGTCGTGTGCAATTATGACGGCAGGATGTTCCCTAAGGTCATGGGGGGGTTCGATCGGGTCTTGCTCGATAGTCCTTGCTCCGGTACAGGTGTTATTAGCAAGGATCCTAGCGTCAAGACAAACAAGGTGAGGGCCCGGGCTGGGACTACTTTGCAAATGACATATTATGGATCACTAAATTCCGTATCGCTTCCCTTACTGCATGCAGTCTGAGCGCGACTTTCAACTCTTATCACATCTGCAAAAGCAACTGATCCTCTGCGCGATTGACTCGGTCAACGCCAAGTCAGCTACGGGCGGCTACGTCGTCTACTCGACATGTTCGGTTATGGTGGAGGAAGACGAGGACGTGGTCGAGTACGCGCTTAAGAAGAGGCCAAATGTTCGCCTTGTCCCAACCGGCATCGACTTTGGTCGCGATGGCTTCAAGGCATTTAGAGGCAAGACATACAACCCCAAGATGGAGTACTGCAGACGAGTCTTCGTGAGTGGCTTTGAGAGCCGTTGGAGAATCAGTTCTGAAGATTATTGACACTTTCAATTCATCTGCGCCTGCGCCTGCAGCCCCACGCACACAACCTCGACGGCTTCTTCGTCGCAAAGCTCAAAGTCGAAGCACGCAGAACGGCAAAGGGCCAACTGGACAAGACGCCTGGTCAGCAAGATGAAGCGAACACCAGTGCCGTCGCTTCCGAAACTTCTGGTGACGCTTCTGGCGCGTTGGCCAACGGCGCTGGCGACACGTCTGTGTTCGACAATGTAGAGGACGAGGAGTTGATGCAGAGGAGCCTGCAGAAGCTTAGGGGAAAGAAAGCAAACAAGGGCGGTACAAAGGCAGCGGCCAGGGAGTCTGTCGCGGATGTTAGTGGGAGCAAAAAGAGTAATGGCGATGCCTAGCTTATTGGAGACTGCTGTATCGTAAGCTGGATTCTTCTTCGCAAGCATATCTTCCTTGTAGCTTCACAAGCCAGCCAGGTACGGTGCAAGAAAACATTAAAATACACAAGAAGTGGGAGTTAACTAGTTATAGCCCTCAGGCATAGTTGGACAATAAAGGAATGTAGCTGATCAGATCGGCCAGACTGAGGACCGAGCTGCTACTCGAGAAGAGAAGTATGATGGAGAAGAAGAGCAGGACTGGAAGCCAGAACCACATAAGCATGCGGTCTTCGCGGAGCTTGTGGACGGTGCGCTGTTGCGGAGTCACCGTCGCGTTTGCCGATGCAGGAGTCGGACCTTTTGCGGCTTTGCGTCGCATAACTGTCGAAGAGGACGCAGATCGCCGCTCCGGCACTGCGCCTTCGGTCCTGCTAGCAGTGTGCGGTGAAGAAGCAATGGTCGAGACCTCGATCCCGGTGCTGAAAACAGCTGCGCCCGCACCGGTCGACGAGCCTTCACCCCTGTCGCTGCACGGCTGCTCACTGACTGCAGCTGTGTATGCCGGCGGTGGGGTCTGGTTGGTGGGGGCGAGCAGGGCCTTCCAAAGGCTGTACATCTTGCTATGGCCATCTTCGCTGTCGGACGGGCTGACTTCGACTGCAGCCTTGCCGTCCCGACGTGAGGACGGCGTGGGCCAGGGAACGAGAGCCGATGCATTTGGAAGTGCCAGATGGAAGACCGGCACGGCGGGCATGTGTACGGAGGGCATGCTGGACAAGGTATGCGACCAGTCAAAGCCATCAGCTGACTTCGTGAAGAAGCGATTGATGCCGGGAGCGAGCAAGTTGCTCGCTTTCTCCCTAGCTGCCTCGGCGTGTTTGTGCACCTTTTCGTGCTGCGAAGACTCAAAGCGCACTTTAGGTTCGGCCCTCGAAGCATTGCCTTCGTCTGAAACGCTCTCGCTCTCGCTTTCGCTTTCGCTCTCGCTCTCGCTTTCGCTTTCGCTCTCGCTGTCTTCGTTCGAAGCGTCGCCCTCATCAGCGCTGCTAGTCGTCAGATGATCGTCGTCCTCGATCGAAGCCTCAAAGGACAGCGCCGAGTCCGTGATCTCAGACACGCTACGCGTGCTGACGAGTGAGTCCTGCCCTTCGATCAGGTCGACGAGGTCGTCCTGCTGGTACGCGCGAGCAAGGTCGAGCGGCGTGCGTCCAGCAAAGTTGACGACATCCGCGCTGGCATGGTGGTCAAGCAGGCGCCTAGATATACTCATGCGACCGTGCAGACAAGCAAAGTGCAGAGCGGTGAAGCCGCCGCAATCGCGAGCGTTGACAGGAGCACCGCGACGCAGCAGGTCATCGACCAAATGCTGGAAGCCGAGGATGACGGCGAGGTGCAGCAGCGTCTGTCCTTGGCGGTTGGCCAAGCGGATGGCATCTGTGCGACTTGTTGTTGACGGCGCAACGGCTTCGACATCCATGACGGTCAAGAAGGTGATGATGCTATCTTGGAAGCTGTGCACCCCACCATGGATACGACGCATGGAAGCAGCTGCAGTGAGCATCGAATGCATATCTGCATCTTGAAGCGACTGCTGGTGCTGGTGGCCCTGCTGACCACCGTGATGCTGATCATTGCCACCACCGCCGTTGCCACCATTACCATGACTGTGCCCGGAGCCGACGACGCGCATGGCGACATCGCGGGCGGACTGCATCTGCCCCGTCATTTGCAAGCCGACAACTTGCAATGCAAGCTCCATGAGGGACCGATCCGTCATTTCGACGTAATTGAAGAAGGCCATGTGCGAGCTGGCGCCGTGAGTCACGGCGGTAGCAGAACCGTTTGCAGCAGAGCCCTTGCCGGTACTGGTGGTGCCGGCAATGGCGGAAGAAGCCCCAGGCGCGCTCCCGTCATTGTTGCTGCTCAGGCCATACGTGGGCAGCTTGAAGCTGACAATGACTGGTCCGGGGCTGGCCGAAGGCGGCAGGACGCACACGAGCGTATTGGACGCCCAGACTTTAGTGCTGATCGCGGGATTATCGCCGAAGATAGCGGTGATGCCTTCGACAAAGTTCTCGCCCAGCACGGTGACTTCAATCCCGCCGGCAGTCGGGCCTTCGCCAGGAATGAGACGAGTGATCTTGGGCAGGGCCGCAGGGGCCTGTTGGTGGCTGCTACTGCTGCTGCTGTCCTGTGGACCGTTCCTGCTCATGATGGCATCGTAGATCGAATCAAACGCCAGAGACGGTACGGAAGCGGGCGTAGAAGCGGGAACAGATGCAGGCGTGGAAGCTGCTGCACCCGGGAAGACCGAATGCCGCGGTTGATGCTGCTGCTGGATGCCAGACATCGGCATCTCATCCGTGAGGAACTCGTCAAAGTCGAACATCGGTTCGCTGTGCGGCATCGTCTGCAGAGTGTCAGGCGACAAGCTGCCCTGCATGGCAGCATACGGAACCAGCTGCGCCTGTCCTTGCACCTGACCAGCGGCCCGCTGGGCCTGCTGCCGAATCTTGGGACTCGCGCCTCGAGACTGCGAGCAGGACTGCTCCTCGATGGCGGCGTTCTGGCGCATGACGTCGACCAAGCGCCCGAGCGTTTCGGCTGTGGCGTTGGCATGGTCGAATAGCGCATTGCTTGTCGGCGACTCTGCAGCAGCAGATGCAGGCGAGAGGCCCGAAACCGAGCCAGCACGTGTCATCGCCGCTGTAGCCGCCGACGCAGGGACAGAGGCAAGACCAAAGGCGGACGTGGGCGAATTCGCCGCCGATTGTTGCGAGGAGGACGCGGGTTGGGGGCCGACATTTAAGCCTGTGGTGGCAGACGGAGGGCGTCGGGTGTATGGCTTGGCGCGTTTGCTGTTTAGCGGCGAGCTCGCTTTGCCGCTGGCATCTGCATCGACCGTGTGCGAGCGACTGCGAGTGCCAGATACCACCCCTGCACCTGTACCTACACACGCACCCGCGGCGGCGCTAGCGCCAATCTGCTTGACAGACCCGACCGAGCCGAGAGCACCAAAACCGGCGATTGCCGACTGCGACTGCATCTGCATTTGCATCTGCATCTGCTGTATCTGCAGCGGCTTGTGGGGATGCGGCGGAAGGGCAAGGCCGCGCAGCAGTGGCACAGGCTGCTGTGCCGCGGCGGCGTTGTTGTAGATGGGGTGCCCCTGCGCGGTGACGGTCTTGTGATCGTCGGTGATCATGATGGGCGGCGTGGTGCCGGTGGCGAGCAGCTCACCGGTCCAGTCGCGCATAGTGAAAATAATACAGAAGCCGACCTTCTCTTTGTGATGGCGGCAGTAGCACGTAATGCGTGTCGGCAGGATGGCCTCGCCGTTGTCGAACTCCACGTAGTCGCCCGTGTTAAAGAGCACGACGCGCTTCTTGGCGCGGTCCTCGAGCAGCGCGATGGCGCGCCCCAGCGCATCCGGCGCGGCCGGGTCGATGCCCATCTCCCGCATCTCATCCGGCGATGGATGCGGCTCGCCGTCAGGTGTCAGCAGTGCTGCGGCCTCCTCGGCTCGGCCCTCGGCCGCTGCTTTGGCTGCGGCCTCTGCCGCGGCCTTCTTGCTTGTCTTGGTGCGCAGCACGCGCTTGCGCTCACGGGCGCGGCATCCGTCGCAGACGAACACGCGTGCATGCGGCGGCGTCGCGTTCACGACTGTGGCGTCGACGAAGAGCGTCGTTTCCGGGTCGACCTGCGGCGGCGACTTGATGTTCTTCTTCGACTTGCGACGCGTGCCTGTCATGGGTGGTAGTTTGATGTGGGTGAACGTCCCGATGCGCTGCCAGCGCGACGGCGGCCCGAAGCGCGCAGCAGCCGTTGCGGTCGCCGCCTCGGACGTGACCATCGATCCGGGCGGGACGGGCTCCTCGCCTTTGCGTGCGTCCGCGGTGTCCGGCACGGGACGCACCAACTCGAGACGCATGCGGATCTGCGTCTCGACGCGGCTCTTTGCACCGCTTAGCGTGACGCCGTGCACGTGCACCTGCAGGCCGGCCAGCTCGGACCGCTTGGGACGCACGATCGAGTGCGCGGTGTAGCCGACGTCCGCATCGCACGTGTGGCTGTAGTGGGAGCCGGAGCCATACTGCGCGTTGACACCCAGCATCGAGTGCGGTGCAGACATGAGCGCCGCTGACGGAGGCGTGTGCGAGGAAGGGTGGGGCTGCGTAAATGCTGGTGACGTCTCCGTGGCCGGTGTAGGCTGTGTGGAATACGGATTGCTCGAGATGCTCTGCACGCTGTACTGCTGCTGCGGTGCGGTAGAAACTGCCATCGCAGCGGAGGTCGAAGCAGTGCCTGGGCTCGCAAAGTCCGAAGCCGCTGCAGAAGGCCCACTTTTATAAGAAGGGAGAGGAGAGAAAATGTCAGCGAACTGCAGAGTAAACGATCGATAAGGCGCGCACGTACTCAAAGCTGTCGGACGCGATCATCTCTTCAAACATGGCATCACCTCCCTGTTGCTCCTCCTTGGAATGCAGAAGGGATTCCTGCATGCCTGCAGTCGCAAGCTGGGTATAATCCATCTGATGCCACTCCTGCGCGTTGGCCAGCGCGTCCCGCAAGCCTTGCTGCGCAGCTACCTTGCTCGCAGCGGCCAGATCATGCTCGAAGGACGGATGATGATGCTGCAGGTGACACTCGCCTACAGCTGCCGAGTCTCTGTTCTCGTCATCGATGGAAGTGGAAGAGGAAGGCGAAGGGGTGCTGTTTGTCAAACCGGGCGGGGAAGATTCTCGACCCTTGTGCTGGCCACCCCGGTAGTAGCTGCTGCTGCTGGTAGTGCTTCCGCGGCTACTCGAACGCTCAGGACTTGCTTCACTGTGCGAAGCTTGCGCTTGAGCAGGGGCAGACGGTGGCATGCCGTGCGCTTGTAGTACAGATTCCATGACGACTCGGCGATGAATGCTGGGCTAATCAGCTTGTCGCGTTCCGAGGGTCGCCACGACTCACGAGAAACCTCTTCTCCCAATCCGTCTCTCCTGAGTCAAGTGAAGGACCAGGAGAGGCGATCCCAGCTGTTTTCCTACTTTTGGTTGCTGCAGTCGCCGTGGTCACCAAGAATTGATACGGCGGGAAGAGCTAGAGCAGCTGATGACCTGGATGCGTGTGGGTGAGCGCAATGGAAACGACGTCAAGTCCACCTCCAACCACCACCTCCAGCGCGGAATAGTGTGTGCGAGAGGGACTGTTGGCTTGCTCTACGAGTCGACGCCTCGACGACGGGCGCGAGGATGGGGATGTGCACGTATCCGAGGATGTGCATGCTTATCCTATCGCTGAGCACGGCTCCCATTATCCTCCCCACCAACGATAGAGCATAATGATGAATACACGGCGAGTGAATGGGAGCGAGCAGAAAGGGAACAGGCTGGTGAGGAGGAAAGAGGAGGAGAGCACTGTACCAGTGTGGTCTGCCCGGCGGTACGTACCCATATATGCCCTGCACATGACGCCCCCCTTGCTAGCTCAGCCCTGCAGCATTCTCGCAAACCAGTCCGTCAGGTCCCCCGCTCAGCAGATTCGGGCTCTCTGCATTCTCGGGCACGCGTCGCTCCGCCGCAATTCTCCCAACGAAAAAAGAAGACGAGAGGGGTTTGACAGCCTGAGAAAAAGGGTCGCTCCCCGTTCCGTCCCCTGCCGCGTCCACCACATGTAAATCCACTCCGCCGATTTCTCCGCGCCCCAGCAGCTACAAAGAACTTGTAGTATAACTCGAGTATCTTCACCCTCCCCTCTCCAGGCCTTCCTTGTCGTCGTTGTGCGTACAATGCTCCAGATGCCTGCTCTTCCTGCGAGGAGCCAGGGAGGCAGTTGGCACATGCACGAGTCGAAAGAGGAGAGGTGCATGGGCGATAGACAGCCTTCACGCTGAACAAAGATTCGAATCGCATTTCAGAGCAGTCAATCTCATCGGATCTGCTCGACACCATCCCAAGACTCAAAGCATCCCACAGGCATCGCCGGCACTCGGAAGGTGACGAATCATTATCACACAGGCTTGAAGCCACACAAAACGATCAAGCCCGCCCACGCAAATGCACCACATCCCGCCTGTAGTCTCCGATGTGTAACTCTCTCCAATATATCAATAGTGCTTCGCAAAGAGGAGTTCGTGTCAATCGTCATTGCCCATAAGGACTGTATTCCCGCGGCGACCTCCATGTGGGTGGAGAAGCAATCCCGCAATTCGCAAAAAAGTGTGCTCGAATCTGTAGATATGAAATTTGAGAACTCGCAGCTCTGTATCCCATCACAGGGCCTCCTCTAACAGGTCGAAAGTTCGGTGAGGTCAACGTGTATGTGCGGAGGTCGGCGTCTGAACCGAAACGAACCTGTCTTTCACGTGCAAACCCAAGCCAAAATGAATACAAAGAGGTTCTCTTTCGCTTCTCAGGTTTGGAAGGCTTGACACCGCATTCATCCCCGCCTGACATGAATCGCCCAAGCCAGACCTGAGTGGCGATTGAGCGATGCAGGGCGGTTACCGCTGCTGACCCTCCAATACGACTGTCCTCCTGCCCTGCACTGGCCTCCGTGAAGCATGCGTGCAAAAGCCAGCAGCTGGCTGGTAGAATGACCCCTCTAAGAAACCAGTGTAGCCACCAGCGTCGCGGATATGTGCGTATGCGAAGCTTTGCCTGTGTTCATAGAGTACAGTGAAGAGGAGGTAGAGGCGGCGCCAATGGGGAAAATGGGGCGGGTGATAGGAGTTTCGTGACAGTGGCAAATGCATGCACCACATTTACTCCTCTGGGACCTCTCGCTCGCCACTGTTGATCGCGTCAATGACGTCGTGCGGTGCTGGAAAGGGAAGATAGATGACACAAGTCAGGCCAAAAGAATCACTTTAAAGCTTTACAGGTGCAGGTTTAACTCACGCTGCTTGTCGACACGGCACCCAACGCTCTGGCAGGTACCGAGAATCTCCTTGACACAACCCTCGAGGTTCTTTGCGAACGATTTCGGCTTCATGGTGCGCGCAATCTCGACAATCTCGTCAAATGGAATGTTGCCGCCGTGCTTAATGTTCTTCTCCTTCTTGCGGTCACGCGGGGGCTCCTTGAGCGCACGGATGACCAGCGACGAGGCAGAGGGAACGACCGAGACCGCTGCTTGACGGTTCTGAACCGTCAGCTTGACCGTCACGCGCAGACCCTTCCAGTCACCGGTAGCCTTTGCGATGTCTTCGCCGACCTTCTTTGGCGACTGTTGAATAGAAAGATGATCGGCTGGTCAGCTGCTGAATTTTAATGGGTGTAACAACGTGAACAGTGTTCGGAAGGTCTCGGAGGCTATCATTGCCCTGCTGCGCCGTTCTGCATCTTTTCCCGCCGCAAACGCAACAGACGCCGAGTCTTGCACCTCATGATGTGTTTGGCTGAGCGATACTTCTGCTCCCTGTGGCTTGCCAATTCCTTCGCATGCCCTGCACCTCATAACTCTATGGCCGTTGAAGAAGCATGGCCAGCACCTTCAGCATCCATGATCCGGCCAGCCTGCATGGCCATTTTACGCATAGGGCTGGGTGCCAGCAGAATGCAATGCGTCTGACACACGAACTGCCCATTTTGCACCACCTTCCCAGATTATGCCCCAGAGCTAGCAGAAGCATGCAACTGCCGTGCCGCGGTGCAATCGCCAAGATCGCACGGAATCACGCTTGGCTTGTCGAAGGTCTATCGTCCAACGCACACAGTAGCGCCAGCACCGTCTTCTCGTCCTTGATGAGAAGCCAACGGGAATGGGAAGCAGCCATCCCAATTGGTAGCCTTCGCACAAATGTGCAGATATCTCAGCCGAGCCTCATTCTAGCGTCCTGCTTGACTTGTAGGCGACGTGCTTTCCGTCGTCATCCGCCTCTCCAGTGTTGCCGAACCTCTTAATCAAGCCAATGTTACTCAGGTTGAGATGGCAACCAGACCATCGCAACGACCACTCCAGATTGCTCGGAGACAAGGCAAAGAGAGAGGGCAGAGGTGGGAATGATGCTCACCAGACCGAGGGGACCGATCTTGGGGGCAAGTGCCGATGAGGCACCTACTTCACCACCGGTGGCACGGAGGTAGATGATCTTGATCTCATTGGGGTCGATCTTGGGCGCCATCTTGCTGACGTTGAGCGGGGTGAGGCGGCAGGCAAATGTTGTTGCGTACGGGAAGGAGATGAGGTAAAGGGCCTGCCTAGCGAAGAAGAAGCTAACATACCAAGCTACGTGTTCATACAATGTACGACTGAATGGATTTGTGGCAAGCAGCTGGCTGAGGCTGCCCACAGTGCACACTGCCGCAGTGCTGCGCGGTCCACCAGTGGGTGGGTGGCTCGCCGCCACTCGCGCCCAAAGGTGCATGCGCAGCGTTGCACCGGACGGGCTGAATCGACTGCGGCATACGCGCTCATGGCCACGCTCGGCAGCGGTAATACCGCGCAAGAACGCTGCTTCCGCCATCTGCTCAAGCTGTTGAGGACGCGACGCGTCGCGCCAGTCAACTGACCAACAACGAGACCCGACAATGGTCGAACTCCAACGCCCTCACCACCCACGTACTCTCTCTCATCGACGTGCAGCTTGCTTTCGTTGTCACCATGAGCTCGTCACTGTTTGACACGAAAAGCGATAGCCTCATCGCTTAGTCGACTAGCCGCACCGGTGGATCAAAATGCTGCTCTTTTTCTTCATTGCCATCAAATGACACGGCTACTGATCAACGCTTTGTGCCGCCGAGCATCGATTCTCCCTTCCAGCCGACTAACATTCAGCGCCGAGGTGTCATGCGGTCTGGCCGACTAGCTGCCCCCCAACCTTGCCTGGCAGCTTCATAGGATCCTAGGATGTGCTTACAAGTGCTCCCTCTTTCACCAATCTCGCATGAGTATATAGCCTTGCTATCTGACCCTCTCGCCCCTATCCACCCTTGATGTCCCCTTCTCATCCATCCCTACCAACCTTGCGCGTATTCGTGCAACGCCATTGACTGGTGTGCAAACGAGCCCTCCCTCCTTCGTTTCTTTCAAGTAGCAGGATCCGGCATCCGCTTATATTTCTTCTACGATCACAGCAAGGCAGGGCCTCAAGCATCACCTTCTGAATCAGCGCTTGAAGCGCTTCTCATCGGCTGGCTTCCGATTTGTCCTCACTCGTAGGGCCCATCCACTGCTTTGGTCCCCCTTTCGAGATGCGTCTCTCAGGAGAATCCATCCTTCGCTCTTATCGCCAGTCGGTGCTGCTCTGCGCTCTCCTGGCTGTCGCATCCACGCAACGCATGGTAACAGCGACGGAGCTGCCCTGGCTTGCTCGAGCCGGCGCCGTCGCAGATGCATCCTCAGTGCCGCCGACCTCCTCGGTCCCAGTAATGGCAGCTGCTGCATCGGCGGCAGCAACATTCAACACGCCAGAGTGGCCCACGACGCCTGATCCCGATACGGTACCAGCCTCTGGGCCGCCTCTGACGAATAACAGGTCGGCATCTGCAGCGATAAAAAATGCTGCGAAAGAAATCAAGGCAGCAAAGCCAGCTGGCTCCAAAAGGATGACAGCAGATGGCCCAGATGCCATCTTGCGTTACAACCAAGCGATCCCGCACCGAAACGGACACCAAGACCCACTCAAGGTGCTTTCCTTGCGCAGCCACCATCGTAAGCAGGCGCATCGCAAAAGCCACGGCAACGGCCGCTCCAGCTCCAAGGCTACGAAGGCCAATGCCAGCAGCAACACTAATCGCAGCAAAGCGTTCAACGTTCAGCGGAAGAATCTGCTTGCGGCCGAAGGCAACGGAAGTGATAGCGGTAGCTCCTCAGGTCAACCACAAGTGCTCACAATGAGCGGCATGCTAACCTGGTACTCGGGGAAAGATCTGCTCAACCCGGTAAGTGAAAATCGGTCCGTGTCTTCAAATCTTACTACATCCTCATGTGACCGCTGCTTTCTATGCATCACAGGCATGCGGTGGCCCAGATCCAACTGATTCATCGCTGGTAGGCGCTGTGTCCGCCTCCTCTTCCAAGGTTGGCTCTTGCGGCGACCGCGTGCGCGTGACAAAGGACGGCAACAGCGTCGTCGTCACGATTCGCGACTGGTGCGCGAGCTGCGGTCCGAACCACATGGACGTGACCAAGGGCGTGTTCTCACAGATTGCGCCGCTAACAGTTGGCGTGCTGCAAGGCGTCACAATGGTGAAAGTGGCCGACGACGACGATGGCTCTTAGTTTGCATATCTTTTGTTTTTTGAAACTAAGATATAGTTAGCTATACGCTTCCACCGTCACTTTTTTGGGTCATCGAAATGGAACGGGAATGACATCAACTTCGCTTCGCCATCATATATGTACTTTTCGCGCGCAATAATACACGCCCGCCGCCTTTCTTTAGCAAGTGATGCAAACAACATCAGGCTTGATTGAAGACGGGGTGGAGACGAATTCGTCCCCAGTGCTCGTCTTGTGTAGTTTGCTCTAGCCCGTCAGGCGGCGCCGAAGACGGCAGCTGATCCGCGGCGACTGGCAAGGATCGACCGTCAGCACGAAAGTTGCACGCTTGTGGTTCGGGTTCATCATTTGCGAGACCACCGCCTACTGACCTCGAATCTCAACTTCGAACAACCCAGCACCGTTCTCTGCGACCCATTTGAGTTCGCTAGGATCATCCGCGACGCGCACGTGGACTGGTATTCGATCGCCAGCAGGCGTACCAACACTGAGGTCAAGCGTTGTCACGGGCAGCGAAGGTTGCGTTGGCGTGACATGGCGCGTGAACTTTTCGCCCAGTACTATTGCCAAGTTCTGCAGGGAAAAAGTCTGGGAGTCTTCGCCAGGCGGATATAGGATCGTCAGGGCCGAAATTCCGCTGCTGCGATTGCGGTGGGGAGGATCCGGCGGAGGGACTAGGAAGGGAGACGGCCCATTTATGAGCGTTTTTCCACGGCCAAAGCTGGTGATACGAGCGTGTTCTCACCTCTCCAAGTCCTTGGAGTGGCGTCCTCACACAAAAACGGTACTGCTGACCGTGGGACATTGCCTTCTGGCACGCTGATCTTCCACTCGAGCTTCTTGCCCTCGGTGGTGGTACGGCCTGCCGCTATCGGAGCGCTGTACCGCATCTGAACGCCGATTTGTTCGGCGCGCTGATTGATTTCAGCCGTCTGCCCATTCTCTGCACCGCCAAGCAGAGCCCAGTTGATCCACCCCGCGCTATTCCTCCACCAGGGGTGCTTGCGCCGTCTTGTTTCAAACTGCGCTTGCAGCTCGCCGGTAGCAGCGATGGGATGCTCCTGGAAAGCGATAATCTCGAGATATACCCCATCAGGGAAGGTGATGAGCGCATTTGCCGTCAGCCCATTAGCATGTTTACCGCCCCTTTTGACCGTAAAGCCGAGCACTGAGAACACTGAAATGGCGCGCTCCAGCTGCCCTGGGTTGACCTTGTGTACGAGGTGGTCAAGCGTGGGTAGAGGGTCGCTAGCAAAAGCAGACGGACCCGACTTGCGATCCGCCATTCCCTCTCTGGTCTAAAAGGTATGCATGCGCAGCGTACACGGGCTGGTTGCTGTCAGTTGATGAATTTCGGCTCATCGATAATGGTTGGCTCGGCTGCTGGGATGAATCCAGCATCTGTGATCGTGTGATTTGCAACTCAACTTGCACGCATTGCTTGCGGCGGCCATCAATTCAATAGTGCCCGCCAACCCCCCCGCGTAGCAGAGCCCCCGCTCGGCATCGGCCCCACGGAGGACCCGGGCAAGCTGGCTCCCCACACCTAGAAGTTTCCCATATCTCCATCTACGGAACAATCGTCGCTGAATGCAACTACACCCGCTCAAAATATGTGGGATTCTATATGCCAGATGACCCCGGCAGAGTCACTGCCTGGCCGTTGGGAGGTGTGAAATAGCGAATGCAAGAATTATCTTTCTCGCCATCAGTAGCCTGGGGAAACGGCCAGCCACGATGGACGCTGAGCGCAAGGACAGAGAGGACATGAACACCTACAAGGAGCGTCTGCTCACGGAACACATCAAGCGACGCTTCCACAGCCATCTGACCAGGTGGCGCTGTATGACTGATGCTACCAGGAGTGCACCGCCACTGATCGTCGGTCTGCAAGGGCCGCAAGGAAGTGGTGAGGAGAGTCTGTGAGCTACCGCATGGCGCAAGCGTTCCCTGAACCTAACGACCATACCCTGGCGGCGTGACTTTGGCAGGCAAGACCACCATCACGACGAAACTCAAAGAAAGTCTTGCGCAGTCGCCGTTTGGTAGCAGGTCATTGAGGGTCGCGATTTTCAGCATAGACGGTGAGCTTGCGAGTAACTCGACGCGCAGCCTCCCTGGCGCGCTAACAGAACAGAACCGTCGCCTCTATTCAGATCTGTACCTGACGCATCAAGAATTGACGGAGCTAGCCGCCGCTCATCCGCGCAACAAGCTCCTGCACGGGCGCGGACAGCCTGGTACTCATGACATGCAGCTTGGTCTGGTATGCCTGCAGCGCTTGCGCGGCATCAACGGCAGCTTCGCCGCCGACTCGCAATATGCCATCGCGACGAAAGGTAGCGTCCATCTGCCCATCTTTGACAAAAGCCAGTTCGACGGCGAGGGAGACCGCAGTGACAAGACGGTACAAGTTGAAGCGCCGGTGGACATTGTGATATTTGAAGGGTGGTGTCTCGGCTTTGCTCCTATCGGGCGCGAGCAGATTGAGCGTCGATACAAGGAGGCGGTGCAGAGAGCCAAGCCAGAGCTGAAGACCCGCGATGACAACCAGAGTGACGGTGAAAAGGCGCCATACTTTCTACAGCACAACATAGAGAGCCTTCTCGAGCTTGATGAACGGCTCGGGGAGTACGAGCGAAAGTGGTATCCGCTCATCGACGACTTTATCCAACTGCGTCCCGTCGCGCCCACTTCATCTACCGGCGCAGCCGCAACCGCGCCCGGATCGGCATCGGCAGCGGGCGGCCTGGAGAACGTCTTCCAATGGCGCCTGCAGGCCGAGCACACGATGATGACGTCTAATGGCGGAAAAGGCATGACGGATGAGCAGGTGCGCACTTTCGTCGAGCGCTACATGCCCGGCTACGAGCTGTGGGCCGAACAAGTCACGCACGAAGCCAGACGATGGCACGGTAAAGGCTTGCGCGTCGACATCGGACCGCAGCGAGAGGTGGTTAGTGTATCTGAATTTTGAAATTAAAAAAAAAGTTGCAAATGTGACCGTGTGTTCTCATACTATCTGCGTCGCAGCCTCACCCCAATAGGACAGAACTGAAACCCTCCATCATCCGTCGACCCTTGAGTGGAAAGTACAAGCCAGGCAATACCTCGCTTGTACGCGATCTGTTTACATTCCCTTTGCATTGGACATCCACCAGAAATATACCGACCACACCTGAGCCCCGGAGGCCTGTATACTTAAGATGGCACTTCCTTTCCTCGCCCGCCTGCTTCCCCCCTTCCCAACAAACAGACTGCTGCAATCACCGCATCATCCCATCTCGCGCCGTCCCGTGCTATTGCGTGCGCGCATACAAGTGGCCACCGTTCCGAGCCGATGCACGCCTGACGCTCCGTCATAGACGAGCCTCGCGCTGCGTAGCCTCGTTGAGCGGCCGGACGCTGTCGTTTCCAAGCTGCTTGGCGACGTTGCGCGCCACGTAGTTTGCCGACGCCATCGTTGTGACCATCGGCTGTTGGAAGAGTGAAGCAAAGAATGAAAAACACGCAAGGCAACTACATCAGCATTCTGTGCTCGCAACAACAGATGCGCAGCGATGCACCGAGCACTCACGTTGACGCCGCTGGCCTCGGGCATGATGCTGGCGTCAGCGATCCACAGGTCCTTGGTGCCCCAGATGCGTCCCTCGGGATCGCACGCCGAGTAGCGCGGGCTTGCGCCCATCCTGCAGCTGCTCATCTGGTGCGCAGATCCGAGGGCGATGGCCAGCGGACGTGCGCCGGCTTGGAGGACTTGCTTCTTCCACGCGACGTAGCGCGCGTCGCGCAGGTCGCGAGGGACCGATTGCGGGTGGTACCTCGTGCCGGGGATCCGATTGGTCTCTTCGAGGAGCGTTTCGGTCAGCTCGGTGCTGGCGCCCTTACCTTTGGCCGCCGCTGCCGCGGGCAGAGCCGTATCGGCGACAAAGGCGGGCATGCCGGACTGCATTGTGGAGATCTCGCGGGCGCCGGCGGAGAGGTGGACGTCGCAGGCGGCGAGGATGCCGTTAATGATACTCTTCTGATCGTGGGGGGTGAGCGGGTGCGTGTATCGCGGATCGCCGCGCTCGTCGATGACGACCTGGCCGCCATCGCGGTCGCGGCTGATGATGATGATCTGGAACGCGTGTGAGTACTGCAGCATCTTGGCCTTGTGGTCGATCGCACTGGAGAAGCTTGTGAACGCGGCGTGCAAGCCGGGGGACGTGGCGATGATTTCCAGCTTGGCGCCCCAGCCGTCGGGGTCGCTGAGCTCGGCGGCGTTGTTGACCATGGTGAGCAGTGAGCCCTCCCAGGGATTGATTGGGAAGTCGTAGAAGCCTGTGACAACGGTGGTGGGGTGCAGATGTAGGTTCTTGCCGATCTGCTTGTTGAACTTGAGCTCGGGAGTGCGCAGCAGCAGCGCAGGCGTCTGGATCGAGCCGCCGGCGCAGATGACGCCCTTGGCTGCGCGGATCGTGACGTACCTGCTGCTGCCGCCGCTACCGTGGACAAGTGCTTTGGCGCCGACGGCCTTGCGCCCGCTCTTGTCGAAGAGGATGCGCTGGACGTGCGTCTGGGTCATGAACTTGGCACCGTGCTCGGCGGCGTCCTTTAGCCAGGTGACGACTCCGCCCTGCTTCTGGCCCGAGGGGCATCCAAACTGGCACTTGCCGCAGTAGTGCACATTTCCGCCCGTATTTTGTGGCACGGGGACGCACTCCATGCCGCAGCGCTGACTGCCAAGCGCGAGGAGCGAGTTGCTGAGGTTGTGCTGAATGTGCGCCGTCGACGCGCCCATCCGGTCGCACACGAAGTTCAGGTCCGCGGTGAAAGCGGGTGAGGCGTAGTAGCCAACGCCGTACTTTTCAGCCCAGGCGCGCCGCGCAAACCAGCGCGGCTTGAGCGACGCGGACCAGTTGATGGTCGAGCCGCCGCCAAAGGTCGAGCCGGCGAGGACGGTGATGTGTCCATCTTCGCCAAGCAGGATACCTTCACCGTCATACATGCTCTGGTAGCCGTGCGACTCCATGCCGGTCATGTCTTCTGGGCGTAGGTAGATGCCCTTGTCGACGACGAGAACCTGCACGCCCCTCTTGGCGAGCTGGGCCGCCGCAACGCCGCCACCGGATCCAGAGCCAATGATGAGCACCTCGGTGTCGACGAAGACCTCCTCGTCGGTGTTGAGAAAGGGGAGGTTGTCGTTCTCAAACTTGTACGGGTAATGCGTGGTGGCCTTGATACCCGAGGGAAGGGATGTGCTGGCCGGGTAGCCGGTTGCCTCCCATGCCTCCTGGACGAAGCGGTAGTAGACCAGCAGGATGGCCGACTTGAGACCAGCGGCCGCTTTGCGGAAGGCGGGCAGGCGGGAGACGGACCAGGATAGGAGGATGGCTTCCCGCTTGTCCCTGGGTAGGTCGTAGAACGGGCCGTAGGAGCCGGTCATCACCAGGCAGCCGGGGCCGGTGGCGATGATGCTGAGTAGCAGCGTGATCTGGCCGAGTGCCGTGCTGGACGCGGTGACGGAAAGCTGACGGATTAGGCAGCTGAGCAGGTAGTCAGCACGGTCCATGAATCCCTCGCGGGCAAAAGCGGCGACCAGCTCGCGCTGACGGTCTGTGGCGCTTGTGGGCAGCTGGGAGATGAGGTAAGCTGCCTGTTCACCATGCAGAGCAGGCACAATGGCATCGCCGATGGCGATGAGGACCTGGGCGGCAATCACATAAACATTTTGTCAGCTGCTCGATCCTCTGCCAGCTCACGTCATCTCTGAGAGAGTGGCCCGCGGGCAGGCACGCACCTTCTTCTGAGACTCGTTGAGGAGCTCTTCCGGCTTGATGATCTGCTTCCCAAATACATTCTTCGTCGGGTCTCCCTGGAGATGCACCGCAGGCGGCATCGTCGTCTGCGGCGCGCTCATCTTTATGTGGCGACTTGGCGGAGGGCGTTTGTCGTATTCGGCTGGCGCAATGTGCGGCGGTGTGATGGTCTGGACCGGAAAGGTAGGTGCCGCAGCGGTCAAAGAAGTCGAGGATTCCAGGAGAGTTGCAGCAGGGACCGCCGGAAGAAGCTGTTCTCCGTGTGGGCGTCCAGACTACAGCGTGATGACGGCCCAGGACAATGCAAAGACCACAGGGGCGTGGTATGCGTCGCAAGGATGGATGGTGTTGCTCATGTTGCCGCTAACGTTACTAATAGTATTGTTACGACTCTCATGTATCACGCGCAATGTGGCTGGCTGGCTTCCTTCTGTTCCCCCGCCAAGCAGGCACTGAGCACTAGACTCTCCAACTGCGAGATGTCAAAAAAACCGGGCCGTGAAAAAGAGCGGAGGCCGAGCTCACACACGGGCCCCGTGGCAGCCATGTCTCGTCCACCCAAAGTGTGTGTGCCCTTTGTGGGGAGCAAATGGGGAGGGGGAAGGCCGGGTGAGTGCGCGCTGGGTGGGGAGACGCACCTGGCCACTCTCACCGACGTGGATTTGTCGGTCAGAATGGTCCGATGACCGATCGCCGAGAGGGCGCCTCGTCACTCGTCACCGCCCTGCGCAAATACCCTAGTGCCCACTTGGCTCAGCACCGCACCGCCCGCCTGCTCTTTGTCCGATCCCATCCCAGCTCCTGGCGCACTCACTCGCACTCAGGCAAGAAGATAGAAGGCTATGTATCCACCGTACCACACACATACGCACACACGCTCACACGCACTCTCTGTCCAACAACAGCATGACAGCTTCTGCTGCATTCACCATCTCCTTCTGACGAGAGCACGTCCATACATGCGGCCTCTACATGCATGGCATGCATGCGCCATCGCTGTGTCATCTGCTAGAGATAGGGGCGGGCTGATGGTGGTGGTGGATAGGCATGTGCGTCGCCTGGACCGCGCATGCTCCCCTGCATGCATCCTGCTTCCTCCTTTTCACTCAAAGTTCATCGGCGCCAGCCATCGGTCTGCCGCTTCAAACTGCTCCACCGTCTCGGGCGACATGGACTTCTCCTCTCCCAGCAGCCGGACGCTGATCATGAGCTGTCGGTAGGCGCCAGCGTCGGAGCGAGTCAATCAGGTTCAGCAAGCGAGCATGTGTCGCTCTTTCTTTCCCTGCCACTCACAGCTCTCCAGAACCGGAAGCCTTTGCCGAGCTCGTGCTTGATGTTCTTGACGCTCTCAAACGTGCTCTCGAGCATCTCCGCAATCGTCTCCTTGGCCTCCTTGACGCTCTCGCTATCCGCCTCCTCGGGCGTGACCTTGCTGCCGTGGTACGTGATGAGCCCCTCCAGGAAGCACTTGATCACGATTCCCAGGCCTGTATTCGTGTCCGTCTGGAACGGCAGCGACAGCGAAATCTCCAGAAGGTAGTCGTCACGCGTGCGCCGCGCATCGCCGCGCAGCAGCATGCTCGATGCGATTGTCTCGACGAGCGTGCGCATCGAGCGCGTCATCGACCGCACAAACGAGTTGAACACGAGCAGCTCGCGCGACAGCGGCGCCTCCCACTTCTTGGGCTTGAATGTCATCTGTACCAGCGAGAACACGCGCATCACCAGAAGCATGTGCTTCTTCTCCGCCTCATTGTCGCCGACAGCAGGCCCGCCGCTGAAAACGCGCCCGCCGTACCAGTTCGCATGCAGCACGTTGGCGCGCAGCAGCTCCAGCGCAATGTACAGCGGCTCCTGGAACCGGTCGTTGAGCCGCGACTGCTTCAGCGCGAGGTACAGCGCGCGCGCCAGCGATGTGTGCAGGTGATCGTGGTTGAGGAAACCCCGCAGCTCGAGCGTGCGCCAGATGACGTTCGCAACGATCTCGTCCTTCTTCTCCAGCGGCTGTGTTGTAGACGTGCGAGGCGTCTTGGTGCGTTCGGCCAGCTGGCTGCTTGTCGTTGCGCCCAGGCAGAGCGCAATGTCGATCGTCGAGCTATTCTGCCGTCGCAGCTCCTCCTCGATGAAGAGCGCAGACACGTTCCAGTTTTTCACGCGCGCGATCAGCTGCTGCGTCGGCTGTGACTCATGCGGGATTAGATGGTCCACATTCGGCTGGTACCAATAGACCGCGTGGACCTTGCGTTGAAGCCAGAAACCGTTGAGTGCCTGACATGCAAGCGCGATAGATACGCAACGCGGACCTTGCGGATTCTCGGTGATGACTTCCTTGAGGAAACGCTTGTAGTCATCCGTCTCCCCATTGTCAAACGGCTCGGGCTCGACGACGAAGCTCGATGTGAGATGCCCGATGACCTGGTGCCCGATGAGACCGCGTGACAGGTGGAAAAAGAGCTCGTCTGGCAATCGGCGCGAGAAAACCTCGTGCAGATCGCTGGGAATGTCGGAAGCACCGGACAGCGAGCCATTGACTGGCTTGATGGCGTTTGGCCCGCCGTTCATTGGCTGCTGCGAGCTGCCGGCCTTGCCAGTTGCCTGAGCATGCGGTGATGGGAGGGCCAATGGAAGCGGCAGAACCTTGCCGTCCTCTGCGCACACGACAATGGAGAACTTGACCAAGCACCGTGCTCGGCAGAAGTGGTCGAGGTAATTCTGTCGCGCGACTTGCGGATGGCCGGCAAAGGCAAAGCAAGCATTGACTCCTGTTCGGTACTGTCGTACAAAGTCGGCAACAGCTTTTGGATGCAAGGAGCCCGGTTGAGAGTAGTGCGGGCCGGCTGTGCCGTCCAGCAGTGGCGGGAAGGTGGGGCAAAAGTCAAAGCCGGATAGAAGAGCGGTGTCGAGGAGTTCTTCGCCATTGCACTTGAGTTCGGCGAGTACCGAAGCTTTGCTGACAAATTCGAATGTCTCCTTCTTGGAGTTCAGAGAGAGGATGACCTTATCCACACCGTCAAAGAGCAGAAGAGCGTTGGTCCCGTACATGGAATGGATGAATCCCTTTGGATGCCGTTCGAGGTATACGAGCTGGGTCACCGCAAAGCGAGGGATTCAGCGCGGGTGTCCCGATAGCAGCGAACGTCTGCAACAACGATGCATGCGCTCACCTGACCAGATGCTAGATATGGTGCGACGATGAACTCGACACTGCGATGTCTAAACGCTCTCAAAACTCCGCGTACCAAATCGGGCGGCGAGATGCTATTGCTCCTATTCAGCGCAATAGTCGCGCCATCAACCTCGCCTTTCTCATAGAGGTCCCACGCTCTCGCCCTCTCCACCGGCCTGAGGTCTTCAAAGTTGAACGGCCGCCTGCTCTTGCTGGGTGGCAGGCCGGACAAGACGAAGACGGGCTTGATGCGCGCCTTCTCCAACGCCCGCAGATCGCTTTCGATCAGCGCGATCAGCGCGAGCGGCGCACCGCCAATGGCGACCGTAAACGGTTCGGCTGTTTCGGGATCCTGCAGCAAGGAGCGCACATATACATTGAAATCGATGCCTATTCGCGTGTCCTTGAGCGCCGAGAACGGACAGGTCTGAATGAGCCTCCGCTCATGGAGTAGTGCTGAGTGACAGCAGGCAGGGGAGAGAATAGCATTAGTGCCATCCCGGGTTGCAGCGCCCATTCTACCCTCCAGGACCTACCGTCCAATCCCCTGATCATTTTGAAAGCCCTGCCTCAGTAAAACCCTAGCAACTGATCCAATACGCAGGCGCAAGACAGCCTTTGAAAGCAAGCAGGATCGCTGCTGCTGTTCATGCAGTCAAGGTCCCGACTTGAGCGCTAAAGCCTCAGTCCTTCAGTCCCGAACGCCGCGCCTTGCCGAGGTTTGCAATGAGGAGCGGCTCCGGCGTCAGATGCGCACCTTTAGTACGTGCGAGCGAACGAGCTGTGTGTACCTCTCCGCTTTGCGTATGGGACCTGTCAAACTGACATGATGAATGCTACGAGAGGCTCAGACTAGAATGAGTTGGGTGGGGTGGGGGGGGGCAGTCACCCAGGCTGACTTGTATTGCATTGTTCGCGGTACTGGACCAGTCTCTCCATCTGTCCTCGAGCCTCCCCCGCCCGCCAGCTGGCGCCGCTTCCATAGCGCTACAACCTCGCAATAGCAAGTGCACCAATCACTGCTCTCCAATGGGATCTAATGTGACGGGTGCCCGCCTCATCATCTAGCCAGAGGCCAGGTCGCTCAACTTAGATCAGCACACCTTATCAAAAGACACCGAGAGAGATCATTCTTGGCGTTCGTTTCGCGTCTAGAGCTAATGATACAGTAACAGCACACCCTTTTATAGTAGGAATCGTAGGCGTAAAATTGTCGAAAATGAAAGGGTGAAAAAGCGAACACGCAGAGCGATGGAAATGATTACCGTCGTCTATGCAAGGTCGAAGTCCAAACATATGGATTGAAAAACAGGTTGGATCGAAAGGAGGGAACCTCCTCTGTGCCGGCAGAAAGGCGATGACGGGGTATCTTGGGAGAGCCTGCCACAAGCGGCACACACCATGCACCGCGACCGAGCGGCAAAGCAACGGGTGCAGTGCGAAATCGATGCTTGATGCACATGATACCCCATGTGCGGAGAAAGAAAAATGTTGAAGAAACAAAAAAGATGAATGGGAACCTTCATGAAATCGAGTCGCTGTGTGATGACGACCGCAGAGTGAACAAGTGGTTGATGAAAAGAATCGACCTCCGCTCTCTGAGTGATGCCTGTGTGCTTTGAAGCTTGTCTATCCAAGTCGAGCTCTGTTGTCTATTGTGCTGAAATGGGGTATGAAGCCGGATCCGTGCCCGAGTTGGATAAACGAGTCGTCAAGAGAGAGAGAAAGATGCGTGCATGCGTGCGTGCGCGTTATTGCTTCCGTGCGGTCAAGTCTCGTCCGTAGAAGAGACGTCCGCGGCGAGAGCCAGTCTATGATGCCCTTGTTCACTTGTTCTTGCAGTTCAAAATGTCCGTCCGTGTGCAAGAAATCGCACGCGTCTCATGCGATGCTGAAAGAAAAAGACGCTGCGATGCCTTGCCTTGCCCTGCCTGCTCTGCGGTCCCGTGCCCAAATGAGGAAGTAGGCCCTGCCGCCGTGTGCCCTGCGCATTCGTTGAGTGAGCATAAACCTCATCCGGTGAGGGGAAAGAATGAAGAGTAGAGAAAAGTTGCATTATTTCCCCATCTAAATGATGTATGATGATGCTAAATGTGAATGCGCCAAGCCTTGCAGAGTATTTGCAGAGAGAGACTGGAGATTGCTGATCCCGATGGTGAAGGTTCTATGTGAGAGTTGAAAGATGGAAAACATAGCCCGTCTGCCGGACGTGGGCTGTTGAGCGTGAGAATCCAGTGTAGTCGTTGGTTTGTTGTTGGTTGGTGCAGCTGAAACTGAAAACGGAAGCCGAACGCGAGCGCGAAGACGAAAGCGAGAAACCACAGGCAACCGGTTTACCACCAGCTGCCACCACCACTGCCGTAGCTGCCGCCACCACCACCACCGCCGTAGGCGCCAATTGGAGGGGGGCCACCGTAGCTGCCACCGCCAGTGCCGCTGCCGCTGCCAAATCCGCCAGCGCCGCCACGGGCCGGTGCGGTGCCGCCGCTAGTACGGGCGTCGCGGCCGCCGAAGCTGGCGCTTCCACCACGTCCGCGGCCGCGGCCACGGCCACTGCCGCGTCCGCCACCGCCACCAAAGGCGCTTTCGCGTGCAACGGCCTCGAGCCACGAGGGCACTTCCTGGTTGGCCTCCTTAAGGAGGTCCATGAGGTCGCGCGTGATGTTGCGGTTGCCACGGTTGAAGAAGCCAGTGGCAACACCCGTGTTACCCGCACGACCGGTACGGCCAATGCGGTGGACGTAATCGTCAATGTCCGACGGCAGGTCGTAGTTGACAACGTGCGTGACGTTGGGAATGTCCAAACCACGCGCCGCGACGGCGGTGGCGACCATGATCGGAGTCTTTCCCGTGCGGAAGAGCTGCAGAGCGCGCTCACGCTCCTGCTGTGTGCGGTCACCGTGAATGCTGGTGGCGGCAATGTTACTGCGTAGGAGGAAGTCGCTGAGGATGTCGGCCATGCGCTTGGTCTCGACAAAGATCAGCGTCAGGCCTCCGGACGGCATCGATGCGAGTACGTCGAGCAGAACGCTGCGCTTGTCCTCGTCCTCGACATATTCGATCTTTTGCGTGATGTTCTCCGAAGTGGAGCCGACACGGCCGACGCTGAGGAAAACGTACTCTTTGAGGAAGTCCTTGGCGAGCAGCTGAATGTCGCGCGGGAACGTCGCGGAGAACATGAGCGTCTGACGGGCCATGACGCCTGGCATATCCTCGCCGTCAACAATGCGGCGGATCTGGGGCTCAAAACCCATGTCGAGCATGCGGTCGGCTTCGTCGAGAACAAGGAAGCGGACATTGGCCAAGCTGATGCGGCTGCGCTCCATCAGGTCGACAAGACGGCCGGGAGTCGCAGCGAGCAGGTCACAGCCACGCTCGATCTGGCGAAGCTGCTGGCCAATGTCGGCACCACCGTAGACAACGGCGGGGCGGACCCACGAGCGGTAGGTGAACTTGCGCGCCTCCTCGTAGATCTGCGAGACAAGCTCACGCGTCGGGGCGAGGATGAGCGTCGAAGGGAATGCCTTGCGACGTCCGTGTCCACCGTTGGCCATCTCGGGCGGGGGCGGGGGAGGGCCATGCGTGAAAAGGGCAGACAAGATGGGGAAAAGGAACCCGCCAGTCTTTCCGGAACCGGTCTGGGCACAGCCCATCAAGTCGCGACCCTGCTCGACGATGGGGATCGAGTACTTTTGCACCGGCGTGGGGGTGGTGTAGTGAGCCAACTTGATGTTTTCCAACAGATGCGGATCAATGGGAGGACTGGTGAACTCGGTGACCGGGTCGGGGACGTCGCGGCCGGAGGCATCGACAGGGATGTCACCGTACTTGTCAAAGTTGATACCAGTACCCTGACCAGTGGGAGCCTCGTTGTCGCCGAAGAGCTCCTTCTGTGTGCGCATGTTGACAGGGCCAGGGATGTGCTGGCCGTCTTTCCAGCTACCGTAGCCGTCCATACTCAAACCACCGCCACCGCCACTGCGACCACCGGAACCACCGCCACGTCCGCCGGAAGAGAAGGCATTGTCCCAGCGGTCACCGCCGCCGCGGCGAGCGCCATTGCTTAAGCCACCTCCGTTGAACGCAGGAGGAACATTGTCGGACCTGAAGGGATAGAAGTGAATGGGTCAGCAAATGGCAGGGGGGATTGTCTGTTGGCGAGGGGACGCACCTCGCGTTGAATGCCGGGGCCGAACCAGACATGCCACCCGAGTTGCGCAGGTGCGGAGGCACGTATGCGCTGCGAGGAGCGCCGTTTCCGTTTACGCCCATCTTGTCTACAGGTCAACAGTAGTGTCAGCGAAAACCCAATGTCGGTTGACTAAGGAGGAACGCAAGTCGCGACGCGTTACGACGCCGACTGCGCACGCGAGGGATGGGCAAAAGCACTCACTGAACTTGGCAGCCAGCGCATCTGCGCCAGAAGCCGGAGCTGTACCATTTGGAACCGTCATAAGTGTGTAGTTGGAGGAGTGAAATGGGTGTCTTTGTGAGCCGTTGTTGCTTCTAGGGGAGTGGCTTTGTTGTTGGTGGTGGGCATGGATGAAGTTAAACCTCACGGGAGAGGGGGGGTAGTATCGCTAGTCATTTGCAGGGTGGTGGATGGCGGGGAAAAAATTTTCAGACCCGCCCGGCGGATGAAGGTGGCGGGTGGTGGACAGAAAGGGCATGGCAGCAGTCTCCTACAGAGTGTGTCGTGTGGGCGGGCACTGCAACAGAGTACTCACAGGGCCCCAGACCAGCACAAAATTTCTCGATTTTCCGTCTTTGTCAGACCAGCATTCGATTCCGCTCGAGAATCTCCCCCTTACTAGAACTCAGTAGGGTTGCGACTTGCGCCACTCGCGGAACTCTCTTGCCAGAATCCAGTTCCAGTCGATGAAGCGATAAAGTCTCCTTCCGTTCGTCTTTGAAAGGCTTGAGGCTTGACGAATCAACGAATCATATTCGTAGATGCAGGTGCCAAGGGCGACAAGGAAGATGCCGGGATACAGGCACAGGCCACGTAGTCCTAGTCGCCAGGCGCCTGAGTATGTAGGAGCTGTGCCGTAGACTAGGCAGGTTACCGGCCTCGGCGTGAACTGAATACCAGCACGGAATCCCACCTGCTTTCCCATTGCGGCGTCCGACTTGGGGAGTCCAGACTCCAGCAAGCCCATCCGCTGGGGGCATACTCGCACGCGCAGATGACAGCAGACCTTCTCAGGGTAAAGGCTGATATGTATGTAGAACCGCCGCACACATTGGAATGCGATCGCTCAGGGCCGTCGTTACTACACGACTTGCGCATGCGCTGGCCTCGACGTGATGTATTGCGTAACCGTCGGTTGAAAAGTACTCGGACAGACATTTCGACTTGCTCAGCAGGTCTACCTTTGTATGCTGTCGAGGGCTCTGCCCATGTACGTCTGTCAAATCAGGCGCCTACGATAGTGAAACGTACGCTTGCATTGGGAACACGGAGAACAAAGCGTGCAGCAACAGTTCATGGCAGGTTTGAAAGCGGAAAATGGACAACAGAGGACAATGTCTAGCAGTACACGGTGAGGACGATGTCGATGATGATACAGAAAAGGACTTTGGTGAGGTGCACGGGCAACATGCTGGGGTGACACCAAAAGGTAGGAAATCGAGGGATTGCATAGGCAGAACAGTAGAGATACGATATGTGCTGAGAGCGAGTCACCCGCTGGAAAGAACCAAACGAGCACCAATGTATACGCTTCTCTTCAGCCTCCCAAGCAAGTCTCTGACGGGAAAGAGGGACAAAGCTTCCATTCCGGTATCCATAATAAAAAGAGCGATGTGACGTCTGCAGACGCACTAGCAGTCGAAAGTCCAAGTTTGCTTACCCAAGCAAGTCGTACTCGCTCCCGCTCTCGTAGAATTCGCTAACAGGCGAATCGTAGCCGGTCGAGACAGCAGAAAGCGTGGCATGCATCGGCCCGGACCGTGGCGACGATGACGATGCGAACTGATACGAACGCGCCGTATCAATTGCAGCGCGCGGCGAGAAGCAGTACGGTGTTTGCTTCTTTGCCGCCACAGAAGTGGACACGGCGAACGAAGATGCCTTTGTCGACACTGCGCCTGCCGAAAAATAGCACTCCTCGGCCGCTGCCTTGGATGATGCAGAGTCTGACGCCGAGCCGGGCCGCGCACCGTGCAGGAGCGACGACGTCGGCGAAGCATCGTGTGGCGAGCGCAGCGGCGGGTCGCGGCGTTTGCTCAAACTGCTGCTGCTACTACCAGTAAATTGCTTCGCATGAGGCGGTGCAGAGAACGGCAACGATGCTGGCTTGTACGATGACGATGGCGCCTGCGCTGCAAGCAGCGAGCCTGATGAGAGGGGCGCTGAATACGTTTGGAGGGACGCAGGTTGACGAGATGCACTTGGCCTCGCTGACGACGACGACGCCGACGAGGCGGCGTGCTGAGCGTCCAAAACACGACAAGGTGACGGTGGCCGTGGCGGCGACGGCGACGTGTGCACCAGAGCCGGGATGCTGTCTACGCCGTCGGCACTCGCACTCAAACTCGCAGCCGTGGGAGTGGCGAGCGAATCTGTCGGCAGCATCGAGTCGTGTCCTTGAGCGGCGCCAGAAGGAGTGCTCATTGTCTTGGTCGCATCGACCGTCGACGACCTGCCCCTCGCCGTAGGCGTCGTCGCTTCGCCGTCGGTCTGCGCAATGTCGACTGGCGATTCAGACTCCGTACGGGTGCTGAGCGATGACTCAGCAGGCACGGTGAGGCACGCCTGCTCCACCACCTCTGAGCGCCCTCTCGGCGGCGCAGAGCTGGATCGGCCCGCGACGGAACCGGAATTCAAGCGAGGCAACACAGACGATGACAGGCATGACGTGATGATGGGCGTGTTGACGTTAGGGGTGTTCGGGTACGCGTTGGCGTACAACAGGCGCTGGTGGCCGCGATACTGGTCGGCGGTACCGCCAAACATTGGGACCGAGCTGGAGCTCATGTAGCCCGACTTGGACGCCGTGCCGGGCAGCGGCGGCGGCGGAGCGTCGAGCAGACCGAAGCGCGACATGAGGCAGACTCGCTCTGCGTGCGCTCGCCGGCCGATCTTTGCCGGGCAGTGCTCGCTGCTGAGCATGGCACGCTCCGCTAGGCGCTCCGTCTCCTTGTGCAGCTCGTCATTGTGGACACTGGCGGGACTGCCCGACGGCCCGTGCTTGGGCGTGAGCGGGCGCGAGAAAGGATTCTGCATACCAGCGGTCATGTGCGACGGCGATGAGACGGGGGAGTGGGACGTCGTAAAAGGCGGCAGCTCGCTACCGCTGCCGCTAAGCAGAGGCATGGCGCCAAAGCGCTCAAGGCATCGTGACTGAAAATCCTTGCCTGTCTTTCCTCGCTCGTTAATGGCCGTATGGTTGGGCGTGTGCCCAAAGGAGATCTCGACCTTCTCGTCGTGCGGGCCCAGCGAGCGCTCCTCCTTCCACGCGGCCATGGCAGCCCACTTGGCCTCGAGCAGGCCAAGTTCCATCTTCATCATGCGCAGCTCTTCGACGTCCTCGGCGCTGAGCCTGTTGGAGATAGAGCAGCTCTTGCGGTCATACTCGACGGGGCTGTGCGTGCGCACCTCCTGCGGCGGCGCCTGGGAGAAGCGAACGTGTGCGTGCCGGAAGGCGGCACGTGAAGACGAGTATGGGGGTGACTCGCGTTCGGACGACGAATCATGGTTGGATGCCAACGACCCTTGTGCCGTCGCGCGGCGACGGAAGCACGGTCGCAGAGGCTTCTTGAGCGTGGCCGACGTCGATGCACGGCGTGTCCGATCGCCAGTGGGAGTTACGCTCGCGCTGGGCGCAGGCATGGTTGCAGAAGCGCTCTGTGCCTTGCTCATGCTGCTGCTGCTGCTGCTACCGCTGCCGGCAGACGAAAACGGGGCCGGTGTCAGTGCTGACCGCTTGAGGTGCGGTGCCGAGGCGCGGATGGTACCGCTGCGCGTGAGGGGCGACGGCGGCGGTGAGGAGGGCGGAGTGGACGGCGCGGTAGCGTCCGTGTCTGCGCCGTCCTCGGTCGTGGTGATCGACAGTCGACTGGTGCTGCAGAAAGTGCTGACGCTGGAGCACGTCGACGCCGAAGACGTCGAAACGGCTCGCGCTGGTTTGCTGTCGCCCGCGTCTGCGCCGGCATCGGGCATGGGCGTGTCGTTGTGGCACCCATCCTGCTCGGATGCACGCCTACCGCAATCATCTTGCACAGCGACGTCACCTGGGTCTTCATCCGCGCTCACGCACTCGCACAGTCTGCTGGGGATGACCGGGATCGTCTCGCTTGGGCTGATGCTGCGGGGCGGCGGCAAGGGTGGCGGGCCGACGAAGCTGTAGTCGTCGACGGAGAACGGGGGCACAGGCGCTGGCGGCGCGATGAGTACATCTGGCCCTACGCTATCGTTGCCACTGCCGCCGCTGCAGGCGGTGCTGCTGGCGATGGGTGAGACGATCGACAGCGGTACCCAAGTCGACAGGGGCGTGGCATGCTCGCCATCGCCAGAAGCGGGTGAGTTTGCACCCGAGCTCTGCGTGCTGGACGAGGGGCTGCTTGTCGTGTCCGAATGTGGCCCAAAGTCCTCATGGACGATCTCAGCGATGCGCCCTTTGCGCCTGCGCACTTGGGTTGCCCGCGTCGGCGTAGGCGTTGGCGCAGATGTGGAGGCGGCAGCAGCAGCAGCAGAAGAGGAAGCACTACCGCCAGCGTTACCGCTACTGCCACGATTGCCGCCCCAGCGCGTCCCGTTCTGCGCATAGATGTGGCCGAGGCCGCGCGTCGAGAAGTGAGTGTGCGATGGCGCGTTCGTCGCGGCCTTGCCAGCGCCGCTGCTTGCCTCGAGCGACAACGAATGTAGATGCGGATGTGGATGCCGCTGAGGGTAGTGCTTGCCATGGGCGGCCCACCGGCGCCTCGGCCCACTTGCATTGTGCTGCCACTGCGGCTGGTGGTAGTGATGATCATAACGCCCTCCTTTGATGGCAGCGCCAGTCTGCGGCGTCGCCGCGGTGCCACCGTGGAAATCCGTGCTGGGCGACCCGTGCGCAGGCGCAGGCGTGTCCTCCGCATCGTCGTGCTCGTCCGCCGTCGTCGCCAAGCTCTCCGCCTCACTCTGGTCAACATCACCGTCGCCGTGGTCCTGCAACCCGTCACCCTCCTCCTCCAGCTCGCTGACTGTCTCGAGCTCGGGCTCGTGGATACTCTGCGAGTCATGGTGGTGGCTGTGATGGCTGTGGTGCCCATGCCCATGCCCGTGCCCGTGGGAGTGGGCGTGATGGTGGTGGAGCACACCGGACGGAGCGAGGTGTTGCCCGCTGGTGTAATGGCCGACATTGGGGTTTGCGTTCGCATTCGATCCGGCGCTGGTGCCGGAGGCGGAACTGCTGTTGCCGTCCGCGGCACCCTGCCCCGTCTCGCTACCGCCGACGGCTGCGCTGTGATCCTGTACGGAGCCGACGTCGGACGCGGCGCCCTCGTCATCCTCAACGTCTGCGAGGTCGCCCAAGCGCCTCGCGGCAACGATGCCACCGCCGCCGAGGGCGGAGCTGGCATAGCTGTTCCAGCTGCTAATGCTTGACGGGCTGCCGGGTGCTGTGTACGAGCCGGCAGCAGCGGCGCTGTCGTCCGTCCTGACGCTCGGACTCGGCGAAGGCGGAAACGGGATGGCGCCGGGCGACTCGCAGCGCTGCGCATGCGGCCGCTGCGAGGAGCAGCACGAGCACGTCGACGTCGCTTGGGCGGACGTCGGCGGCGTCGTCGCCAGTTGCGACGCTTGAGAGGACGAAGAGGAAGAGGAAGACGAGGGTGAGGCAGCATCGGATGCAGCGACGCAAGCGGAGGCGGAAGGGACGTCTTTGCCCCGCAGATCGTTGGTGGAATCTCGCTGCTGCTGTAGCTTGATCGACAGCGCCGAGGTGGGCTGTTGCTTGTTGACTGTTTGTTGCGCTGCGTCAGCGGTCACGTCCTCTACGATGTTCAAAACACCCATTGAATATGAGGGGAGCAGGCACTTACCAACAACCACCTGCTTTACTGTGACGAGGCCTCGATCTCCATGCGATGCATCATTGGCGTCTTTCGCTGCGGTCTCTGACCGCGTGAGGGGTTCTTCGGGCGGCTCGCCAGCCGCATCACCTATCGCTGCTTCGACGCCACCGGAGCCAGCGCCGGCGGCCTCGGCCGCGGACGCTGCAGACGATGACGGCGCAGAGGCGGTGGATGATGGCGCCATCTTGAAGTTTTGGATCTATCCGCCGACGCAAGAATACCTTTGTGGTGTAGTGGTAGGGGCGGGAGCTCGGTAGCGTTGCATGCGTCTGGCACTCTGCGCTGCACACAGCTGCCCTTTGTGAACGCAAATGTTGAGGCAGATCACTTGCCCATAGGCGTTATCAGAATACTGGAGGGCGGCAAAAAGGCGAGATGTTGGGCGAGGCCAGGGCAGCAGCTGCACACAATATATCAATGATCAAGCGGCGAATGCGGTCAGCACACTTTTGGCCTCCCTTCCTCGTCGTACAGCACCAGGCTCCTTCGTTGTCAAAGTGATACAAGCAGCCGCCCAAGGCCCTTGATGAGCTGCGCTGGCCCTTGACCCATAGTAGAGACGGTATTGCCGCACGCCACACGTTTCGACGATCTCCCTTCCCCTCGACCCTCCTATCTACCCGCGGCACGACCTTATACGTGCTTCTTTTCTTTTTTTCCGGCAATACTTACTCGATGAGAAAAGGATCAAAGGCGGTGAAGATGGAGCGCGAAACAGAGTTTGTATGGGACAGCAAGGATGGGACCGGTGACGGGCTCGCACGAGCAGCTTCTGTGAGAAGCAAGAGAAAGGGAGTGCGTCGAGGTTGTCGAGCCCTGTGGCACAAGAGCGAGAGGGAGGGCGGGGGTTGGGTCTATAAGGGCAGACGAGCGGCGATGTCTGCTGGCTCCATCCATTGCACCTGCACGTCTGCGATATGTGTTTGCCTGCAGACCGGAGCTAGAGGTCGGGGGAGGTGCGCTGTGGACGCCTGCTATGATTGTATGCGTGCGCTGCCGCACACCTGTACCAGAGTACACCGTGTTGGTCATGGTCTCATGTGGGACATTTTGGAGAGGATGGACTCAAATGCTGCATTTGTGAGACGAGAGGGTTTGTGCGCACTGTACTGCACTGCACCGCACTCACCGCCCGGCACTGCTTCGCACTCTACTCACGACTCGCTTTCTCTCCTTTGTCATGAGTGCACTGCGTCGAGCAGAGGGACAGACTGCCCCCCAAAGTTTGCCCAGTGAGCGAACAGTTTGATTCGATCCGACCCGCTTGAAGGCATGTAATAGGGAACTGCAGCAGTCTGTTTCTCGACAGCGGACACACACAGCAGACCCGCACGCGATTCCACTCTGGCACTGCAGCCGTGTCCAGCCACTACCGCACATTTATGAAACTAAGCGCAAGCGGAACGCAATTCCAGGGACTGATGCCCAGCGCTGGATCCCGCCCACAAATGAGACTTGGAAAGGGGGAACGGGAAACCCTATTTGCGTCTGGCGCAGTGCTGAAGATACTGTTTGCGTGCACTCGCTGACGTCATTGCTCCCGCTTGACCAAAGCCGCAGTCATTGCCACCACGTCAGACGTGGCCACTCAGCATTCACCCACTCCATCATGACACACGCGCTGTCGCAGACTGCAGAGCGACGATGAGACAGAAGCAAAAGATGAGCCCAGGCGAACACATGTCCATACAACCTACATGGAGCGAGCCTCGAGCAGCGCTCTCTTCACCCGCCGCTTCGCCTCGGATCCATACGCCGACGACGGCGAGGTTCGAGAGCAGCCAGCCAGGGCTCTCGCTGCGCTCTTCACCGTCGCCCCTCCAATAAGAAACAACAGCGCGGTTTCTGCTGTAGATACTTGGATACATCAGTCGTGTGCGTGACTGCCACACTGTACATGAACTCGTCTCGCTGCCTGCACTTTCTGTCGTCTGCGATTCCTGACGTTGCTCTGTGTTCTTGTCTGCGTCCAAGTCCATTTCGTCCAGTCCGCGCTTGAGGCCAGACTCACGAAACTGCAAGCGTGCGTGCATTGTATGTATGCAATGAATGCGCATGCGGACCAATGTGGGCCCAGGTGTTTCCCGGTGGGTTACGATCTCCAGATATGCTAATTCTCTAGAGGCACACATGTTTCGCTTGGTGCGACTCGCCGACAGGCCAAGAACGCTCCTGGCCTCACATCACAAGCGATCGGACATACCGTTCAACACGGCCCGCAACCTCTTGCCTCTCATTTTTCTCCAGCCTCAAGCCGTCCACGAGCAAAGCATACCGGGATCGCCGCCAGGGCCACACAGACAGGAGCAGACAACATGGCTCACTCGTCTCTGCCGAGCCCGACAGCTAACCTGCACAACGCATGCACAGCTTCGCACGCGAATCAAGCGGTCCTTCCCCACACGACGACCAGCCGCTTCGTTCTCTTGGCTGTCCAAGCGGGAGAGCACACAGCGGGGTCGAGGCAGAGAGCCAGTGACGGCGACAGCATGGGCCTTTCGCACACGCAGCCAGGAACGATCACGGCGGCCGAACAGTGCGCCTCCAGCGCACACGATGCGTTGCTCTGCGGGATGAGGATGATGGGAGTGAAGCGTCGAGGCGTGCTGGACCGTGCAGGACAGCCCGCCGACTCCGGCTTACGGACGGACGGACGGCCTGCCGTCAGTCGCGCTCGGGGGCCTGCTAAGGCGGGCTCGTCGGTACGTGTCATACATGTGATCGCCAGCCACGGAGCAACCTTGCCAGGCTTGGGCAGACGCGTCGTCGGGTGGTGCTATCGCGACCGGTGCCAATCTCTACGGGTGGGATGCTGTAGGTATGCAGCGCGCATGACTGATCAATCATCATTCGTGACAGAAGTACAACAAATCCGAACCGCCAACTTCCCTCCGCGACACGTGCTCTGCTCGAAAGCACCTAGGGCGCATCAAAGTCGCGCCCTCCTCCAGCGCACGTCTTCCGCCTTTTTTGCATCCGCCAGATGCGCCTGTCGCACCGCCTCGGCCCACTCGTCGGCGCGCAGCGCGCACTCGGCGAGGCGCAGCGCGCATGCGAGGCCGTCGCAGCCGAGCAACGTGGACAGCTGCTCTTCGAGCGCGTCTATGTGTGCATCCAGCTCCTCCTGAGCATCTCTCTGCGAAGAGGAAGAGCCGCCCTTGTCCGCTGTGCCTGCTGCTGATCCCATGAGACGCCCGGCTGGTAGCGACGGGAGCATGGGCACGAGCAGCGGCCACGCGCGGTCGCTGTTCGCGGCGCCGGCACCGCCGAAGACGTTGATGGCGAGTGATCCGAGAAGCGAGCGCGCCGTGATGCTGAGGTCGTTGTCGATATCGAGCAGATCGCATAGCTCCTTGATCTGCCTCCCGCGGCTCTCCCTGCTGAGGCGCACCAGAGGGTTGTGCTGCTCGTGTTGGCGCTGTCGACGGGTAGGGCCGCGCTCTCGCTGCTCCGTGGCGTTGAATACACGTTGATTTGCGCCGACAGCACCGGCGGGGCTCCGTGAGCGGCCGCGTTTGTGCGAACACACCTTCACAGCTACCCTAAACAGCACGGCGAGCGAGCTAGACTTTCTGATTGCATGGCTCTTCATCGGCGTCTCTTGCCAAATGGCCGATGGCGGTGCACTTGCTGCGCCGCTCTTAGTAGCAGCAGTAGCACATGCGGACGGACGTTGCACAGATATGCTAGGTTGCTGGACTGAGGTCAGTTGCAGGTCCGGTATGACCCAAGGAATGGCGGCGTCATCGCCGAGAGCCGCCTGCAGCAGCGGCTTTCCGCTTGTTTTCTCAGCCGCGGCACAGCGGCGCAGGATGGGCTGCAGCGACGCCGGCGCGTCATCCTCATCGTCGACCCAGGTGCAGTCGGAGCGGACGACGCCTGCGAGCGAGCCGCCGCAGCGCGCCAAGAGCTGAGCAAGGATGTACTCGTGCGCGGCAAAGCTCGGCGCTTGCAGGGGGCACAGGAGCAGGAAGTGGTTCATGCCGTCAAGCGTACCCTGCAGACGGTATTATGTATGGTTAGCAGGAAACTCATGTCCGCGTCAATGTGTAGTGGCAGACGCGCGACTCACTCGCTCATATACGCATTGTGTGGCCTCCGTCGTGCTGGTCGCTCGCAAGCGCCCCGTTGCAGAGGCAGAGGCAGTCGCAATAGAAGCGCTGACGACGCCGATGGCGCGCAAGTGGGCTTCGAGCCTGTCGGCCGCACCGTCGTGGGCGACGAGGTAGGTGCAGAGCTGCATGGGTCAACAAAGTCAAGTCAAGCCAAATGGAGAGGAGATGGGGTTGTGGACAGAGCGAGCGTCAGGCTCGCTGTTGGTCGACGAGGGCCTACCCCTGGAATAGCTGGCTGGCTGGTTGTGGGATGGGATGGGGTGTGAGGACAGACAAAAGAAGAAATCCAATGGAGGGGTTAGTCGACCTCCAGCTTTGATCTTGGCGAAAACCAGCACGCGCGCCTCCTGTCTTGCAAGTGAGAAGGCATGCTCTGGTGCTGGTTTGCGCCACGGTGAGAGCAACGCTTGCTAGTATGTACCAAGTATGTGCACCCAGGCTGCACACTGCAAGTGTAGGCTCAAGAGAGCTTGCTGATGATCAAAATGCGGGGGAGAGACGACGCACCCTACAGGATGGTGGTCACTGCATTTGTTGTCGACATCCATAGTGCACCGGAAAGAGAAAGTCAGATTGTGGGGAAAGCTTGGCAGCAGCCGGCATTGCCGGAGGATTATGTAAGAGGGTGTCGAAGTGCGAGTGGCAGACGAGGAAGCATACAAACGAATGGTCTATGAACGCGTGCTGAGCACGGCACAAACCTCATTTCATCAGATGACACTGCCGTAAACTTATTCAGCTCTCCATCGAGCACCCCTCGCTGTACCAAATTTCGCGCCTTTTACTCGAAATTTCCAGGAGGGTGCTCGGCTTATCAATGGAGATGTAGCCACTTTTTCAGACGATTCCTTCCCTTGGAACCACTTCTTGATCTGTGCACATCGGTGCGCTGATTGATCCTTTTTGCTCCTCTGATGGGTCGCTCTTCCACCCAAAGACGGGTACGACTGAAAAAAGCCGACCATGTTGGCTCGCTCCAGCTCGATCATCCGCACTTCACTTGGCGCATGGGCCCAGCGTGTTGTAAGCGTGCCAAACATTGTACGGAAGTGCTTCTGCCATATGTACTCTCTGGTGGTGCCGCAGTCCGCGCTTGAGTGGAAAGGTAATCTCTTTCGTTGTATTGTATACAGTGTGCCACTGCAGCGGAACCAGAAGCGGGGAGCGACAGTGGCAGTAAAAATACAATGAAGCGAGCGGCGGTTCCGGCACGCCAGCCAGGAAGGCTCCAGTTGCGGGTCTTCTTTGGATTGCAAGGTTTAGAAGCATGAAGGATGCGCAGAAAACGGTTCGGTGGGTAGATACGTGCACCTCGCTGGTCAGGCCATCTTCTTGCGCTCGTTGATGGGCAGCGTCGACGCAGAACGAGGCGTCGAAGCGGAAGGGTGGTGTGCAGGCAGCGAGGACGATGACGGAGGCGATGCCGGCGTTGCGCCTGGCAGGCTGAAGGGTGAAGAAGACGTTGCTGCTACTGTTGCTGCAGACCAGGACGGTACGAGCAGCTCTTCGAGATTGATGTGCGAAGTGGATGCGCTCTTCTTGTGCGCTCGCTTGGCTCTGGGCAGCGGAGACCGTGGTGGCAGGGGTAAAGGCTCCACCGCGCCAATGTGTCTCAGTCCCAGGATCTGCGCGGCGCGCTCAGCAACGAACGACGGCGATGATTCTGGGCTGGTGGACAATGGCGCAGGCGCCGAGAGGATCGAGGGCGAGCTGCAGCGTAGCGCTGGCGACAACCCTAGCATTTGGTCTTGCCCTACTTGGGACTCGGCACGTAGCGCCATGGCAAGTCGGAAAGACGCAGAGCTAGCATCACGGGCATGAGCGTTGTCGCCCTGCCCCGCGCAATCACCATGTATCTGAGCACGGATAGCTCCTTCGCCCTTCTTCACAACCTTGTTGCTCAGCGAACCAAGCAGGCGGCCGCTGTAGAACTGCAAGCCGATGGCAAGCGCGAGCGGCAGCAGCGCCTGCGCGACAAAGCCGAAGAGGTACATGATGCGGTTGCTGATGCTGCCAACGTCTGTGTCGTGCGCGTGCAGGCTCGCGCTTGATAGCCTGGCTGGCCCCGATTCCGCATCAGTGGCAGTGACTGCAACGCCGGAGAAGGAGCGCGGGTGCAGCTGCTGCGCGGCGCGGATGGCGTGGTGGTGCGGGCGATACGAAGCGGTCGACGAGAGGTTGCTGAAGGCGGAGAAGGATACGAGTACCTGCGCAAGTGCGTGCGCGCGAATTGCGCGCGAGCACAGCGCCATCGGGCTTCGCCAGTGTTGGGCGAGGGCAACGAGACCGAGCAGAAGGAGACCAACTTGCGCGCCGAAAAAGTAGATGAGGCTGACGGAGAACGCGTCGGGATCTGCATGCCATCCGAAGCAAAGCGCGATGGGATCAGCCAGGCTCGGTGCGAAATGTCGATCGCCGCAAGACTCACGCAGTATCACCTCGAGTACACATATGCCCGCGACGATCGCAGCGCTCGAACCGAGGTATGCCGCTACCTTGCGCCTGGTCGGTAACTGGATCACAGCCTGACCGAGACCCTTATGCAGCTCATGTACGACGACATTCCTTTCCGCCACCCTGCCGCTGTCGCAGGCCCATTGCAGCGCCAGCGGCGCCCCTAGAGGAGACAGATTGCTGAACTTGCGCTGCCGGTGCGCCGAATCTCGCTTATGCAAGCTCGCACTATCCACCCCCGCACCGTGGTCCGCGTCGGCAGACGCGCGCGACTGCGGTTGTCTGCCCTGCAGCGAGCTCGGTCGCTTGGCGTCACCAGCCGCCCGCCCGTTGTCTCTCCTCGTCAAGCCAGCGTTGCCGCGCAGTGCGCGAGAGATATGCGACAGCATGTGTCGACGTTTCTCTTCAGCAGTTCCAAATCCCGCTTGCTCGCCTACGAGGCTGGAACTCGCAGAGACACGCGCAGACTGACTGCGGCCCAGCGCGCGTCCTCGCCCCCCTCGCGGACTGTCCATACCTTTATCGACGTCCACGTCCATACATGCGGCTGGCGGGTCGCTGGCATCGTTCAGCGGAATGTAGCTGTTCGTATGTTGCGAAGCGGAGCAACCCTGCACCATATCGAGGCTCATGAGGACTTGCTCGTCATCCCCGTCTGCACGTAGAGAGGTGCACGCTGAGGACGATGCGACGGACGTCGCGTTCGTGTCGATGCTCGCGCGGCCGTGATCTGCACAGCCGCTGGCGCTGGACGAACATGTGGTCGTGTGGCTGCCTTCCTCCCTCATCGCCCACGCGTAGTGAAAATGGCCATTTTGGCTGCCGTGCGCGTAGCTAAATTGGGTTTGCGATTGTGGGGGACTGCCGAAGAGGATTGAATGCTCGCTGCTCTGCGAGTCCCTGCGCCTTGGCAGAACGCCACCGCCGCCCTTGGAGGGCGACGCAGCGCCGGTCCCACTCTGGCTGCGCGTCGGACTGGCGTGGCCCTGTGGATAATTGGCAGTTGGGAGCAGGCTCGGTGAGGCGCACGTGTCGGCCTCCATGTTGAAGATGTCGTACAGCTCGTTCAGCCCTGCGCGAAGGTACGGGCTGGGAGAGGTGATGGAAATTGAAATGGCAACGTCAGCAACATCATGGAATAGGGCAGGGGGGTCATGCCCTGAGAATGGAGAGAGTCCCCTCCCCTCCGGGGGGGGCAGCGCATATTTTCAGGTGGTCAGCCTAGTACGCAACTCACCTGGCTGACTGTAAGTACTGCGACGAACTGCGGCCGAAACTGTTGGACCATCTGCGAGCATGCTTGCTCCAGCCGCCCGTACGTCTGCGCTCCATGGCCGCGTCCAACTCATGGTGCTTCTCCGCTCCGGAGTCTGCGGCGTTGTCGTGCGACTGCGGCGCGCCCGGCGACCGCGCTTCATGATCGCAATCGTGAGCTGATGCCGAGGGTCGCGAAACAGAACCTGACTCGGGCGCAGAGAAAGGTGGCAGGGGCGCGTAGAGCGGGATAGCGAGGTGCGCGCTCGCGCGGCTGTCCGAGTGTGGGCGGGATCCGAGCGAGTCGCGACGCCTCGTCGGGGTGACCGCAGAGACAAAGGAAGCGGCTGGCGAGCCGGGCGGAGAGAGGGCGGACCATAGTTCAGTGTGACTGCGATGTCCTACTGCCGCTGCTGATTCGCTGCCAGCGTCCCAGGTCCCAAAGCTGTCCGCACCTGCGCCGTGGTGGTGGGGATGGTAGCGCGACGCGCCCGGCAGCGGGGAAGTCGACAGGGTCGGCGACTGCCCGAGCATACGCACTTGCGACTGCGTCTGCTCTGACGCACTCTGGTGCGCAAAGGCAAGCAACGTGGAGGATGCCATTGCGGGCCTGTGTGTCCGACTCAAGCGATCGCGGCGCGGAGACGAGGGAGCGCCCGCCGTGTGAGGCGAGGCGGGGAGCGGATGGGATGCAGGCGAGTGTGGTGGCCGAGCTGGGCTGCTGCCGCTGCTACCGTCTGCAGCTGCATATTGAGCGCCACTGGCTGCTTGACTTGACGCGCGGTTTTCTTGCTGCTCGCTGCTCTTCCTCGTTCTGCCCGTACCCGCACCCGCAGCATTGGCGCTGAGGAGCTGTACAGGATCCTGCGGAGCAAAAGGTGGCTCCATCGTTGCTACTGCTGCAGCCGCCATGGATGATGCCGTCGCCTGGAGTGCGCCGAACGTCAGATAGATCGCGCCTCTTTGTTGGTTCGCTTGAACTGCTACATCAGCATCGGAGCGGTGCAGGTTGAGCGATGAGCTTGGCAATGCTGTATGCGTCGGTGTTCCAACGTTCACGTGAGCATCCGATATATCTAATGACCGAGGAGGGTATGTATGTGGTACCCGGTGATCAGCGGAGGAGTCTGGTCTGGGCGAGCATGAAGAAGATGATGTGGCAGGACAAGTCACAAATCGAATCGTGCGCATACGGGGGGTTGACTGTCCTCAGTAGATACGGGTTGGTTGGTGCTTGGAATTTGGGGTGTGCCTCGCAACGGTCCAGCCGTTGGTGCAACGAGGAGATGAGAAAAGCGCGCGGGGGGGGGAGAGCACCAATGGGCAGGCACTTTTCGGTGTCAAACCGCCGGCCGAATGCCATTCATGCTATTTATTTTTGCGAGTCTGGGGAGCGACGAATGCGATGGAGAGCATGCTGTGTTTACACAAAGGATGATGATGATACCCTCCGTCTGCGTGTGGTGTTGGTCGACTCCATTGGGGCATGCCAAGGACAAATGCTGGCGAGTTAGAACAGCATCTGTGGAAATAGCCATACAGTCGCCCAGTGCCCGCCACCCAAAATGGGTAAAGGGATGCACAAAAACATAAACCCGTCCACGTCTCCGCCTCCCGCTCACTAGCCATCATGCTTGGCTCAGGAGCCAAGACTTACGCCGCTTGTATTGAACATATAGAGATGGTAAATGGAACCAACGACTCATCGCGAAGCGGATGAACGAGCTACAGGCTGCTGCTGCTGATGACGAGTCATGTAGGTTGTGTAGCCGTTTCCCTCGCGACCTCTCCTCAGCACAATGCATGAATGATAAGCATGTGTACGTACGAAAGCGGCTTTGGGGACTTTGATCGGCATATGGCTGCCGGGCTCCGGTGAAACACCTTTTATTTGATTTCTTTCATTTTGGCCCGGACTCCGATTGTTTCATGGCATGCGCACAGACAAAGCGGACAGTTCCCGCGACAGCCGCTCTCGAACCCTTCCATCCTATGCCCCCTCGTCTCTCGAGTTCGATACGCCAAAGTGGATCCTTTGCGCCTGGCACAAGCCGATGTGATAGTTTACGACGCCCTTTGTACATTTTTTCTCTTTTTGTGATGAATTATGAAACTGACCCTCCTCTATTGGGTTGTTTTTTTCGTGGACATGCTTCCGACTGTTTCGGAGCCTAGTACTGCAGCAAAATTGCTCGGCGCTGCGAAGTGACGGCACCCACATTTATATATAATCTCTCTCGTGTTCTGCCTTAATGACCAGTTTGGCGACCCACATTCGGGTAAGCGGAGGTCCGAGGGGTATGCCCCGACGAAGAACCACCCGTTATCGCTGCAGAACTAAAAGTCTCCTGTCATAAGAGTGTCCAACGTCTCATGAGGGCTCCGCACTCTTTCTCTCCAAGCCGTTGTTAAGCGCTAAGCGACGGGCGGCTGACTGATCCACGGCAAATCACAAGTCCGCCGTCAGCCACTGAAGCAGTGTTCCAAAGGAAAGACTAAACTCTTGAGGAACGACGGTCTGGAGCCTCCGGACGGAAATTCACAGATGAGCTTGATGCGACCATATGCGCTCACAGTATATCAATCCTGATAGTTGCAGCGGCACTCTACGAAGGCAAGGAGATTAGCTACATCCATAGAAGGCTGCGGAGCATACACGTGCATATATATCTTGGTGGAGCATGAGGAGAAGGCAGAGGGGGAGAGGTCGGGTTGGATGTGCCCGTGTGGGGCTCATATGCCACGGCAGGGCTTCATGCATCATCACGAGATCTTTTCAGTCCTTCACCACTTGGAAATGAATGAGATTATCTGTTGACCTTTGTGGGGGGGGCAGAGTTGACAACCCTATTTTCTTGCACTCGACCAAGCAGAACCATTCTGTCCACTGTTCACATGACGGTGACCAGTGACGTCAACGGATACGACTTAACGCCGTGAATAGGCTCGGGTGTCTTCTACCAGCTCACGATCGGCGAACTGGGGCGCCTTCGGTCACTTGGTGGCACCATGCTTCATGCTTTTGGCCATGAGGTTTACAACAATTACTGATCCAGCTGCTCCGTATCCACCGCCTCGAGGATGGCTCAAGGAGGGGGAGAGGAAAACGATTCCGCAATGTCCAATTCGAGTCTACGCAACTTCGCAGTCGGCGGCCACGGCAAGGTCGTACAGCATCTTGCCCGCCATGCCATGTCTAGCGGGTGTATCATTTTGCCCATGACCTGCGACCCTGCGCACGCTTCCGATCTTCCGAATCTGCCGGCATCGCGTGCTGATCGTCTGCAGCCGATCGTCGCGAGCGTCGACGCGGCGTAGGTCAGCCGGCTGTCTGAGCTGCTCTCACAGCACAAGCCGTAAGACGTCGTTAGCGCCGGAGCAGGCGGAAAAGGCGGCCAAGAGCGGACCCAAGTGGTAGACTACGAATGTACGGTCAAATTTTTCGATGCCATCGGGCGCTCCAAGATCGCCAGCAACGACGGGTTCAGGCACCTCCTCGTCGTTTCCGCCATCAACATGCATGCCCTCGCCAGGAAGCCCAACTGGTATAAGGACAAGGAATTTGAGTGCACCAAGACAGCACGGGAGAAGATCAGGTTCTACGCAAAGATGAATCGTGTGGCTGACAAGGACATAGCAAAGAGAAGCGCCTTCCCGTGGTTCGTCCTTCGGCCACGCAGCCTCTCGATGACTCGGGTACGGGCAAGAGTATGGCTGGAGAGTGCAAAACGATTGCTCTGCCAGTGAGTGCGTCTCTGCATTTGTCACACGTCGGAGCAGAAACATCCTGACATCCGCACCTTGTCCTGCAGATCTCGCCAGACGATGTTGAGGCCGTGTTGCTCAAAATGGCCGAACTTCCACGCGAGAGCAAAATTGACGGGCTCATGCTGGAACTTACTAATGGAGACGAGGTTGGCGCCACGGCCGAAGCTGCGGTGCAGAGGGGCAGGTCTGACTGGATCGGCTAAAAGTCATAAGAGAAAGCGTGCACATTGTATGTGGAAACGTACAGCGCATATATACGCCACATGAAGAAAAATGCTCGTGTTCGCTATCTCCTCATATTACATGCCCGAAGTCCCGCTGAGCGCTCTCAACGTGGGACCGCATGCAACGAGCGCAGGCGTGATGACTCTTGCGACAGCTTTGGCGCTAGCGTAGAGCGATATCCATAGCTGCGTCTCATTAAGCTTCTCGCTAAGGTGTTGCGGTGGAGCAGCTGATGGATCTGACTCGGTCTGCACACCAAACGAAAAGGGCGGCTTCGTCCCCTTTGGCGTGGGCAATTCCCCGCTGGTTGTGAGCGCTTCTGAGGACTCTGGCGTAAGAGCGCTGGTTTGCTGCGATGACGTCCGCCGCAGGAGCCGGCGGAGGCTGGAGGTCGGTGAGGGTGGGCGATGTAAGTGGAGCGAGCCAGTTGGCGTATCCGGGTTGTTGCTGGATTCAACCTTTGGCGGGATGAGCACGGTGAGATGGTTCTCCTCCCCCTCAACTCGCGCAGGAGTGCAATTGAGGATGAGTAACATGGAAGGAGACACTGGGCTCTCGTGGTCCCCTTCGGGCGAAGGGGGGGTCGATGGGCTCATAGACGTTGCCGACCGCAGTTCTTTGCCACCGGCCTTGCGCTGAGGGGCGCTAGCGACCAGAGGCATGACTAAGATAGGACCGAGCTATAGAGGATGTAAATTCTTTCAGAATCAACGTCAATCGTTCGAGGTGGAGCCCAGGCTGCGCTCTCGTGAGCTCACCTCGCAATCGAGCAAGAGCGGCACCAGACCAACCCCTTCGTGCTCTTCTTGCTCGTGATCCAAGGCTCGCACGACACTTGTGCCAGGCAAGGCGATCTTTGGCCGCATTGTCGCGCTTGACCGCCCGTCCTCGACCGCCGAGCTTGATGTCCGTGCACCGGTGGAGTCGGGAGATGTGACATACTCTCCCTGGTGTCTCTCCCTATCCCGACCTTTTGTCCCCGCACGAGCGCGGCCTCGCCCTGAGCCGCTACCTGCTGCTGTACTGCCGCTCGCAGATCTGCTTGCCCTTCCGTACCGATTGGGTGCGTGTATCCGTTCCATCTCTTCTCGCCAGGCGATGGTCCCTACCGCCGCAAGAGCGTGGATGCGCTCCTCGCCTTCGAGTGTGTCCAGCGGGCTCTCTGCTTCCGTTAGCGATGTGGAAGGGATGTTGTGGTCCACCATGAGGCCTTTGAGTAGCGCCGCAATGCCAGGTGCGTCATGACTTGCGATGGAGCTTGACGAAGATATTGCATGGTGATTTCTGCTGCCGGACGCTTCTGCTGCTGCTACTGCTGACGGACGTGCATACGTACTCGAGAAAGCGTACACCTCGGCTGACTCTGGCAAAGCCAGAATGGCCGTGTGCGGCTTAAATGCGTTCGTGCCGTCCGTCCCGGCCACGACTGTTGCCAACAGCAGGGATAAGGATGATGGGCGGAGCATGCTTGCGAGCCGAGGGGATTCAGCTGGCCGTTTAAAGTGGGGGAGCGGAGCAGCCAGATCTACGGCACGGCTCTCAAGATGTTCACGACTGTTAAATCACAAAAGAGTGGCGCTAGGAATACCCCCTGCACGGCTATCAGACTCGATCTTGGCAACGTGCTTCATTTGGTCAAGACTTAAGACTCGAGCTACTATGAGTCAATTTAGACTCATTATCAATGCAACACTTACACATGTATTGCACTGACGGCGGAACACTGAAAACGCGACCAGAAAACAAAACATCATAGAATGGTTGCAACTTGCAGGTGTGCAGCATTTGCTATGAATTGGTGACATACTGAATCCATTCCATTCTTTTCTTGAGCTCGACTGCACACTGCCAAGCACCCGCCATTGCTAATTTCGTCGAGCGTAACAGCAGAAAAGCGAACAGTAGATGGCGCCCGAACCTTGTCCATCCTAGGGGGCGCGGCGAAATGAGCGGTACTCAAGCTGGCCCGACGGCCGTGCTGAGCAAGGCAGGCGTGCCGCTCGAGACCAAGCCTGCTGCATCCTCCAGCCAAGTTCCATTGATCAGCCCGAGCGTGATAGATGCTCCGACTCAGAGGTTGTATGCAGTTAGCTTCTTCATACTGTCGCAAGCGTACAAGCTCTTCCTCGTCCTGCCAGCGCTCACGCTCGGTCAAGAAGCGCTACAAGATGGAGCGTTGTCAATGTTAGGCAGCGCGTCGCAGCCAATGCTATTTCTTCCTCAAGCAGCTCTCATCGACTTTACGGCAATGCTAATCATATTCAAGATGCGAATACCGCGCTTGTCACCGCCAAAAGCACGATGGTTGGTGATCTTCATCCTGTTGGAATTCTGCAATTACACGATCGTGACCAAGGCAGCGTGGGTGGGAGTGTTGCTGCGGTCTTTGTTCCGTCTGCTCGCCCTGCTCATTCCCGGGCTCGGAGGTCAAATATCCAAGCAGCTCGGCATCTCTGAAAACTGGGTCAGGGTCCCAGACCTCATCTCGCCCCAGAGCAGAATCCTTGGCCAGGTGCGTGTTCGATCTCTGCAGGCGTGAAAGTCGGAAGGCTCGGCCTCCTGACACGTCTCAACTTCTTTGCATAGCACACGATCCACATGCTACCGCGAAGTGCTGCGGAAATCGTATTGCCTGCAACGCGTCCCAGTTGCAAGTGCATCGGGCCTCTCTCCCCACAAGTCACGATCCCTGTTGTGTTCAACAACACGCGTCCCAGATGGTTGCAGTACTCGATATCACCCTTTGGTGGCGTGGGAGACATTCAAATGCACAACGTGACAATTTCAGACAAAGATCTTCGAAAAGCCAATCATGCCCAGGAGCATCCGCTCACCCCCGAGGAGGAAGAGGAGCTGGACCTTGAAGAACTTTCTGAAATCACTGGCAAGAGCTGGAGTCCACAGTCTGCAGGGGACGATTTCATTTGGCGTCGGCGTCAGGCAGAAAGCCGAGGTCGAAAGGTGCTTGGACGGCGAGCTCAAGCAACAGCGCAGTATGTCTACGACTTGGCAATTAAGGATGTGGGAAGGCTCACACTGGAAAGGGTCCTGGATGGTGCACAGCGAGACGTCTTCATCAGGAATGATGATGAAATCGTCTTTGTAGAGTGTCCAGCTGTCTCTTTGACATCTCGAGGGCAGGACAAGCAGGAGGAATTGCTCTTCCATCCAAGAGGATGGCGAAAATTGCTGAGCCCACTGCCGACACTCGACGTATGTCCGGCCACAGAAGTCGAATTGAGTCTTGTTGTGCAAGGCATCGCGCCGCTAGAAGTAACCTTCACTGAGATCAGGACCGTCAACGGTAGACAAGATGCGCAGCAGCGAACAATATCACACGTTCGCCCATTAGGTGACGAAGAGCAAACTACCCGTTCCTGGGCCCATGTCAGGCAAATGGTACTTCCCTTGACCGTGCAGACGAAGCATGCGGGAGTCTATGAACTACAAGTCGATCGCGTCAAGGACGGCTTCGGCAATGTTGTGCAGGTCGATGCACTTGCGAGCGCGGTTCAGCTGCATTCACGTCAGTCTATTACCGTGCACGGCCGGCCACGAGCACAGCTGCGCGGCTGCGAGCGGCCATTTGTCATACTCGAAGGAAAGCCACCCAAACAGCTCGGAGTCGCAATTGACTTGGATGAGCCATTCTCGGCCGCTGTATACTTTGAACCAGAGTCCTTTTCAACTGGTCAGGTCTCCACATCTGACGTCACAGGCGCAGGTTCACGGCAGCCAGCAATATTCCATGCCACAGAACCAGGTACGTACTCGATCAAGAGCGTAAATACCACATTCTGTGACGGGTCGGTCGTCTCGCCATGGACTTGCACTGTCACCAAGGTGCCCAAGCCCAAGGCATCCATCACACTCGACACCATCGACGATCAGTGCGCTGGCGCAGTAGGGGTCAAAGCACACGCTGACCTGGTGGGCACTCCGCCCTTCAAGCTCGAATATGAGGTGCAACTGAATGGTCATTCGGTGCGGCGAATGTGGACCACGGATCGCTCACGTGCAGAGCTCGAGTTCCCGCTGGAAAAGGAAGGGCGCGTGGAGTATGGCTTCCTCAGCCTTGCCGACGCACATTACCGCGATCCCATCCCACTCGATGGACCTCGGATACAAAGAATCATCCATCCTCTGGCGTCTGCCTCTTTTGTCGGCCGCAGAGGCACAGTAGAGCCGGTCGTGGTGCGCAGTTGCTCTGGCGATGTGGTCCAAGCCGAAATCATCTTGCAGGGCGTGGAACCTTTCGAGCTATTCTACGAGGCGCGTACAGCTTACGGCCTATCCACGCACTCAGCTTCTGCTCTCGCTTCAGGCCGGCACACACTCGACATTCCCCTTGGCGACGACCTTTCCAAGAAAGGGGGCGCGATGGTTGTCACGCTTACCAAGATTCGCGACAGCCGTGGATGTGAAAAGGACCTGTCGACGAAGGACCTGCGCGTGGAAGTCAAACGTCATAAACCTACCGCGGCATTCACGGCCATCCAGGCGAGCGAGCGCCAGACTAAGCTCCTGGAAGGCTCAGAAGCCCGGCTTCCGATCACGCTTACGGGCGAAGGTCCATGGGAAGTCGTCTACACCATGAATGGGCAACGGGTTGAGACTACCGTCGCAAAGGCAGATGCGGAGCTTACGGTGGATCGACCTGGGCAATACCGTTTACTCTCCATCCACGATAGTTCCTGCCCTGGCGACGTGGTCGAATCACGTGCCGTCTGGGATGTCTCGTGGATCGAAAAACCGACAGTGCGCTTCGCATCGGACGAGGGATCGGTGCAGAGGAATGGCTCGTTACTGCGAGCAGCTATTTGCCGGGGCGTGCCAGACCACGTTGCAATCCAGGCACAAGGCCATTTCCCGGTGTCCCTGATCTACGAAGGTCGCCTACCTGAAACACCCGGCCATCGCCCTATACTCCGAGATTCGCTGACTGTGCCGCAAGAGTCCGCTTATGTGCCGTTGCACACGGATGAGCCTGGTTGGCACCGTTACTCGCTTATTGGCGTTGGAGATGCTCTCTACAGCAATCAGGCAGGGAAATACGGAACGCTAGAGCAAATGGTGTTTGACAATCCTTCAGCCACTTTTACCAGCACCAGCGCCTCAACTTTCTGCCTGCATGACACGCTGACTTCATCCGACAAGCCGCCCTCCTTGCAACTGCGCGGTCGGCCGCCGTTCACCGTCAAAGTCGATGTGCAGAGTCCCTCTGCAACCATTCAATCATTCTTGATCGATGGGATACCGCAAGCTTCAGCCACGCTCGACCTTGCTCGGTTTGGGTTCGAATTCAACCAGACTGGACGATGGAGTGCTGCGATCCGTTCCGTCCTTGATGGCAACGGCTGCTGGACCGACTATGATACTCATTCTGGTGAGGGCGATGGGAGAATCACATTCGACGTCCTCGAGACGGCTGGCATTGCAAGTGTTGGTGTCCGGGATGATTTTTGCGTAGGAGAAGCCATAGAGTTCACTCTTCAGGGCTCTCCACCATGGACGGTCGTTTACGGCTTCAATGGACGCAACTCATCCGCCAAGGTGCGCGAGTCGCTTTTCTCGCGCATCGCTGAAAAGCCTGGTGTCTTGGAGATCAAGAGCGTTGCGCACGGGGGAACCAGATGCCGCCTAGAGATACCAAACCCGGGGGCGATGGGCCTTGTCAAGAGCCTTCATGACCTGCCTTCTGTAAGGGTAGACGAGGGCAAGAATTTCGTTCAAGACATCGTTGAAGGTGCGTCACTTAGTTCATTTACATTTCAGATGACCTTGCTAACCTTTAGATGGTTCGCAGGCACACAAGCCGAGATCAAGTTCCACTTCAGTGGCAAGCCCCCGTTCAGCTTTACATACCACCGCACAGAGCCTGCCGACGCTGTCACAAATCCACGTGTCTTGGACACACAGACGGTGAGTCACTTGGGGAGTATCGAAATGAAGCGGGGTTAAATATTGCTCTGTTCGCAGGTAACTGGTATCCTCGATCACGAATACAGCATCTATACGTCAGAAGAGGGTGAGTTTTTTTAAGTATGTTGGTCGAGCCTCACGCCTGCTACTGACGCTTATGCACCAACAGGCACATGGGGAGTAACGTGGTTGCAAGACCGCCATTGTGCCGTCTCTATCGACGGAAGTACGCGAAAGTCCCTTGGCAAGTCAAAGCTTGCCATCTCTGCACCATGACTGTATCATAGCCCAAAATGTGCAGCGCGCAGCTCGGCAAGTAAAGGACTTTGCGAGTTGACGAATGGTCCCAACGTGAGCATTCATTTCTGTAAATCGTTTGCCCAGTTGTACAGAGACCTGACGAAGGCGTCAAACCCAGCATCCAATAGGTGGTTCAGGGTTCGACCCAGCTCCACTTCAGACATAGAAGCCAAAACAGGGCCGTCCTTCATGCCACCGGTCAATTGATCAGTGAGTCTGGCAAGAGCCTTCCACGAAATCGCCTCTGCATCGGGTTCCAGCTCTGCAGTTACGTGGAGGGGACGTGTACGGCCATCAGTCTCGCGAACGAGAGTGAAAGAAACCGACAGCCCGAGCCGTGGAGGGTCCAGGAGCGATACGACGACGAGAACAGACTTGTTGTGCGCTGTCCCGCTAAGCATGCTGTCTAGCTCGGCATCAAGGTCCAGAGTGCTATCGCTTTGTTCTTCGATGTGATCTGCGTTCTGCTCTTGCGCTGACCACGCCAGTTGCCTCGCTTCTTCTATAAGTCTGTTGATCTTCAGCTGCTGTTGTATCACACGCAACGCTGGTAAGACTTGCGAGGGGTTCTCGGCTGGTATTGGCAGCCAATTGAGCAAGAACCCGCGATTCCCGGGAGTTCTGGCATGTAGGTCGAATGTTGTTACAATTTTCAGCGTCGACAGCTCTGGTACCTTCGATGCTTTGAGCAATGGCGCCGGCCGACCAAGCAGGGCGAGCAATGATGTGCTAAGCCCGATGGTGTTCAGCTCAAAGATTGGACGGACTTGACCTGGGTGTAAGGCTGGGCTGGTCGTCGTGACGGACAAGCAGCCCTCGACCGCGCACAGTGCTGATTGCGATATTGCAAGCGGATGCGAAAACTGAAAGCCGAAAGTGCCTTGCATGGTCATGTGTAATCGAGCCAAGCACGGAGACAGCTTATCCTCGCGTTTGCACAGGCTGATCCATTCGAGGTGCTCGACCAGTAAAGGCCAGTCTTGAAATGCAGCTGAGACATTCTTTTCTTGCAAGACGAGAGTCAAGTATGGTGACGCTAAATTCAGGGCTGTGCATATTGAGCGACTACGTGAGAGGACCAAGCGCAAACTGTGAGCACGATACTCCGAGTGACTCTTCTAGAGGGACTCACTCATTAGGCTCCCTGAACGCTTGCTGCAGCTGCTTGCACACCCTTGCCATGCTGCTAAAAGGGTCGGAACAGCCTTCTTGCACCTTGCTCCGGTCCAAGCGCACCAACGTTTCGAGGTTGGCAGAGAAGCGAGCATAATGGGCTTCCAGCTTGTCCTGCAGCTCTGCGGCCCTTGACGGATGTGACGTCGTTTCCAGATTAAAGAGCACCTCGGATATTTTTTGTACGTCATTTTGAAGCAGAACATCAAGTGATTGCTCAAAGTATCTTGCCTTTTCGCTGTTATTGTGCTGTACATCCATTACTTCGTTGGACAATCCTTCATGAGCGTTCCCATTCGTTTCTCCACTTGAAGTTGCATAGGAGATCCGTATCCGGATGCTTGGGGACCACACCTTTTGCGCAACGGAGAGCAGGAACTCAAAATCAAGCACAAGAATCTTCCCGGCGATGGTGAGCGTGTGCGTCTGCACTTGTGTGGCTTCCTGCGCCTCCGGTTCAACATCGTGGCGATCCTCAAGATGCTCCAGCTTCAACTCCGTACCGAGCGAGCTCAGAGCGCTAGAAAGCCTGAGCAAGATGGTACGAGCTTCGGCAAAGGTCATTACCGGATGTGGCGCGGTGTTTTCGTGGAGTTCGGAAGAGAGGGCCTGAAACCGAGAGAGAAAGGTGGAAGCGAGCGGGGAGGGCGGGGGCAAGTAGGAAGACGCTTTGTGCGATTGTTCGCCATCAACTGCCTTGGCTTTACCCTTGTTATCCAAGCTCGGCGAGACCGATCCATGATGCGATCCAAATTGTAGCCGACAACGCTTTGCTTCCCTGTTCGCATCGCTCTCTCCTTGCGGCCTTCGTGTGAGACGCTTCGGTGTCCAGACGAGTGCCTGTGGCAAGCGTCGCCTCAGGTTTCGCAGAGGAGGCGCGCCCTTGGTCTCTGAGTCTAGCAATGAAGTGCCCTGCAGCAGCGCGCCGACCACTTCTTGAAGAGTCGCATCGTCGGCGCTTTGCTCACGCAGTAGCATGAGGAAGCGCTCCTTGGATGAGGTGGACATCGTTGTCGTAGTGATAGAATTGTCTGTAGGGACATTTGCGGGACCAGAGCTAGGGGATACAGCGGGTTGCCTGTCGCCAGTAGAGGGGCCGCCGGGCCGTACGAGCACAGGCAGAATCTTGGATCTGTGCCAGTCAAGCGAGGTCCGTACTGCTTGAAGCGCCTGAGCAAATGCCTGCCTCGAAAGTCCCGGCATTTGATAAGGGTCAGAACTGGCATCTTGCGAGTTACACAGCGGCCCTTGCCCGAGTACACTGGCCGTGGTTGCATTAAAGGGATGAAGGTGGATCGATGCCGTCGACTTTGTTGCGGCTGCGGCAGATGCGTTCACATTCTCGCTGTCTCGATCACACCTCGATCCAGATGAGTGGGAGAGCAACGCGTCGAGTGGAAGCTGCAGATCATGTAGCGCTTTGAAAAGAGTACCGTGAGATGCATAGTTCTGCTCTTTCTGATTCGGTTCGAAAATTCCAGATTGAGCGCCTGCCGCCGCCTGTCCGTCCATCTTGCAGAATGAGTACTGTATGAAACCCAGCTTCGCTACTCGTTGATGTTAAATTGCTTCGCAGGCTCGCGTTTTCATTGCGATGATTAGGAGTTCCTCAGGATTAGCTGGTGATCTGGCGCATCGAATCAGTGATGTGACGCGAACAGCTAGGACATAGGAAGCCACTGCTGTTGTCATGGATGCTGCCCTTGAGAGTGTGCAATGGAGGGATGGTGGGGTTGCCCAAGGTTGAAGGCCTCACAAGTCGAGCAACTGTAATGACATCTTCGTGGTTCTTGGGGCCAGCGGAACACGTCAACCAAAAAGAGAGCGCTTTCAACTCTCGATACTATGACGAAGGGTTTCCACATACTATGACACAACACAGGCGCGCTCTTGGGCCTTTGGATCACCGAAGCTCCATTCTCCACGTTTGATACTTGACATTAACACATCCAATGACTGATCCAAGGAGGGCTCGGACCAGTGGAATATCTGACAGCGTCATTCTCATTCTGGCACGTGAGAAAGTCGGCTCAGTGCAAGGTGTCTGTCTAACCGAGCTCGACAACACACTGCCATCTCTAAAAGAAAGCTCCGGACGAGCTGGAAATTTCGTCTATCTGCTCGTGTGCCGTGACGATCTACTTCCGCCCGTGGTCCCGTCCTACAGCGGTACTCAGATACCCTTGGGCTGAGCTTCAGACAGTCGATAGCGAGCATCAGCTGCCATGGCACCGGCCGTAGAGTATATTGCGCCATGTGAGTATACAAGTGCTAACGCGGAACTTGTGGCCTTGGAGCTGATTCGCTCTCGTACTCGCCTCGGCCAGGGCCGCTATTCGCCATGACATGGTCCTCCTCTCCGGTGATTCCATCAACGGTAGAGTTTTCTAGCGCATCATCAAGTCGCCACGGCCAGGGAAGTAGCGAGTCAAGCAGGAGCGGTGATCTGAAGAGGAACCTGAGCAGAAGGAGTAAGTCGAATCACCGCGCTATACCCGAAGGGGCAAGGCTTGCGGTCGGCAGCTTCATCGAGGAGTATTCAAATCGGATACAAATCTTAGGGATGGAAGTAGGGAGAGACGGGTGAGTGCTTGATCTTGGTTTGAAGTTTTCTTTGCTTCCTCATCGCTCTTCATCCGCACAGGCATTCAGAGTTAGCCCTCCTCGCGGACGCGGCGCATCCATACCCTGCGACAAAGCTGTCGTTTCAACCGTCGACATTATCTACCACCCCTGATTTTCCAGCCGGTCTGGCGAATCATACATCCTCACGGAACAGCTATGCGTCACCGCTATCCAAGCAATCTAAGCGCGCCTCATGGGGTGCAAGTGCGAGCAGCGAAGGTGGAGGGGAGCGCGAACACGAAGCTATCTACACTTCAGCATCAGCGGCGAACAGTGCTGGCTTGCGCGACTTCTTCCCCGACAGAGAGCTTCTCGCAAGCTCTGCGGACTGTCTGCGGATATGGGAGATCAGCAGGAACGAGTCGTATGCATATGAGCAAGAGGAGGAAGCGCGACGGGGAAGTGGCTTTGTCACTGGATCATCGCATCGGCGGAGAGTGGGTAGTGCGTACGACAGTGACGGACGCCTCAGGTTTGAGTTGGTGGAGAAAAGCGTGCTGGCGCATTCCAAGAGCGCCAATTCGCCGCCTGCTCCCCTAACATCTTTCAGTTGGAACGTCCCTTCTCCCTCATTGATCGTCACTTCATCCATCGACACGACATGTACGATCTGGGACCTTCCCACAAGAACGGCGCTGACTCAGCTGATCGCACACGATCGAGAGGTCTACGATGTCGACTGGTGCCCAGGCTCCTCAGATGTCTTTGCATCTGTGGGTGCAGACGGGTCTGTGCGCGTCTTTGACCTTCGCTCCTTGGAGCATTCGACCATCATCTACGAGACTACCACCGCAGGTGGCATCGTCTCTCGGCCTGGCACATCATACGACAAAGCCAGCGTGAATGGATCGACGACGGGGCGCACATTTCCACTATTGCGAATAGCATTCAACCCTTGGGATGCAAACTATCTCGCCACTTTTCACCTGGAATCCGAATCTGTGCAGATCCTCGACGTCCGAGCGCCGGGAGCACCAATCCTCGAGCTTAAAGGCCACAGCGCAAGCATCAACTCTGTCTCGTGGGGCCCGCCCGGTGGTGGCAGTGGCCTTGGTCCTAGTAAAGGCATGGTCTGCACCGGTGGCGACGACAGTCAATGCCTAGTGTATGATCTGGCGAGCGCAACGCTGCGCAGCGCAAGCGCACAAGGGCGGAGGTCGAGAAATAGCAACAACATGACTCCTGGCGGGAACAGCAGCTCGGCAGCCTCTTCCAGTGGCACAGTCCACGGGGGCCCGAGTCCGGCGCCGCCGAGCTCCATGAGCGCCTACTCTTCCTCCTCAACGGCCTTTTCAACACGCATCGCCGCAGAACATCCTGTCCTCGCGTACACATCACATGAGATGGTGAACAACGTCTCGTGGTTGCGTGCACCGCTCGTCAAGCCAGAACCTGCAGGCAGTGGTAGTGGCGGAGGGAGCGGGAGTGGAAGGAGGGACAGCACCGGTGTTGTACAAGAGTGGGATGAGTTCGCCAAAGGAGTTGCGGGCCCTGGGAATGCAGCTGCAGCTGCAGTGAAAGAGCCAGATTGGCTTGCGCTTGTCAGCGGGAATGCCGTGCGAGCGCTACGTGTGTAATTGTTTGTGTAGCCTATTTAGGATCCCCTAAGGATGCATCCATGCTCAAGATGTGATGATACAGATGTCATGCGAAGAAATGATTGACCTGTATCGGAATAATTGTGCTTCTTCAGTCTTCGCCCCCACCCTTTTCGAGCCAATCGCCAAAGGCTTTTTCGCGTTCCTCCTCATCATCGTCTCCTACACCGGAACGCCGGAACTTTGGCCTGCCTTGCGCGAGGTATGCCTCAATTCGTCTTGAAGCGAACCATCGGCCATTCATTTTCTATTGAGAGATGAGCATCAATTCATTTGTCAAAGGCTTTAAGAAGGCATGGATCTAGAGGTCAAACCCACCATGACACATTTTCTTGCACTTTCAACATCTTTGAATCGCACACTCATGATACCGTCCTCCTCCTTGTCATACAAGATGACATTCGTCACCTCTCCGCCTCCCGTGCAATTCTCGCATTCTTGCCGCACGTCATCCTTGAGATCCAGCAGCAAACTTGGATCCTCGCCCAACTCGTCGAGCGTGAACATGTGTTTGAGGACGACGGTGCGAGAGTTGGAGGCGGCGAAGGCGGGGTGCATGGCGGACGAGCCGAATGGATCCCCCATTTCGCCCGATGATGCGGCAGAAAGAAGTTCTGTTGCAGCGCTTGGGTGACTTGGTGCGTTGGGAGCTTTGACGGCGACAGCATTGAAGGGAGAGTCTTCGTCCGAATCCCAGTCGTTGAGTTTGCTGCAAGTGGAGCAGCTTAAGCATCGGAGAACCTCGGAATACTGTTCGCGTCACTCACTCATTTAGCCTGGCATTCCTTTTCTGAATCTTCCTCTTTTCCTGCTCTGTCAACTGCTTTCGTCCGCTTTGAGTCGCCGCTGCTCCGTTCACACCCTTGCCCTCTACCGTTGTGGAAGAGGATGCTTGAAGCGTATCGTTCTGGCTTCCCCCTTTTTTCTCGCCGCCTTTGCCAAATTCGGCCCTTTTTACGCGCATGAGCGGCTTGGTTCTCCCTAAGCGAGCGCGCAAGCATGTTTCGTCCAGCACCGTGATAGCGAGCTCAACACTCTCGGGTTTAAAGTACGTCACCAGCGCTTCGCCCTTGAACATCTTGCCTTCTTCCGTCTCTGCATCCGGATGTTGATAGTACAACTTGATACGTGGTTGGCCGGGTTCGTCTTCAAGTAGAACACCATAGCGGCCGAAGACTTCCGCGATTTCCTCCCTGGTAGCGTCGAGCGGGAGATTGGTGACGTAGATGGACGTTGCAGACTTGCCTGGCGGAAGTTGCGCCTGCTGGGCGGCTATCGAAGTTGAAGGCACAGCGCTCTGTCCACTATTTTCCATTCTTTGCCGCTTGTTGCTCTTAGCAGACACTTTCGCATTGTCATCAGCACCGGCGCTGCCCCCGCGTTTCTGTAGACGTTTGTGAGCAGGCTCAGCAGGTGCATCTTCGTCGACCCCCGCGATGCTATAGGCCGCCTGCTGTACTCGAACGAGCTCTTCGTCGATTACGAGCTGCCATTTTTGCAGATCTGGATCCCATTCAAGTAGCGGATCATCCGTGCCTGCCAGAGGTTCGCATTGCCATTTGCCCGAGATCCGGTCGAATGAGACGCGTGGGTCCTCTGGGAACGGAGACGCGGCAATAGTTGACGGTCCAGCTGCAGTGTTCGCCGGCGCAGGCAAGTTTCTTGACATGGCGTTTGCTTCTCATCCAGCAGAAGACAGTATGCGTCGGCTTGAACTGTGATAGTTGCGCTCCCTCGCGGCGGGAGAGAGAGCTCCAAGGCATGCGAATCGAAGGGCAACAACCAAACGAGGCATGGAGATGACCACGCCGCACACGATGGCATCCAAGGCATCATTATCGCCGGCGACTTCTCGGCAAATTTAGTCGCCGGGAATATACCTTTTGATGGGAAAAAAAGCTTCACCTGTGCAGGCGTGCGTTCTCTCCCTCCGTCCACTTATGACTTGACTCTCTCATCGTCGAACTTTTTCTGAACTGTGCGAGATACAGCAACAAGGCCCTTCAAACGAGCCGACTGCAAGCCAAAGGCATAACGTGGACACGTGCACAGACAAGCGCTGCTGCAAAGATGTCCGCTCCTGCAAAGGTCCTCTCTCACCCTCAGATCAGGGACGGCTGGTTCCACGAGGGTGAGCGGCAGCCGGTTCGCAGCTACGATTCCTCGACGTTTAACTGACGCAATGATATCCCTTCTTGATGCATACAGCCAACTCGCAATGGCCGGGCCAGGCAATGTCCCTGCAGGTTGTTCGAATCCTGCACCACGAGCAGTCGAAGTACCAGGATGTCCTTGTGTTCGAGTCTGCCACCTATGGTAACGTCCTCGTCCTTGATGGTGTCATCCAGTGCACCGAGCGGGATGAGTTCTCTTACCAGGAGATGATTGCGCACCTCCCCCTTGCATCGCATCCCAACCCCAAGCGTGTCCTCGTCATTGGTGGTGGTGATGGCGGTGTCTTGCGCGAGGTGGTCAAGCACGAGACGGTTGAGGAGGCTGTCCTCTGCGACATTGATGAGGCCGTTCCTCGCGTCAGCAAGAAGTACCTTCCCAAGATGGCCGCCGGCTTGACGCACCCCAAGTCCAATGTCATCATTGGAGATGGATTTGCTTTCCTCCAGAAGCCCGAGAACAAGGGGACCTTCGACGTCATCATCACCGACTCTTCCGACCCTGTTGGCCCAGCGCAGGCCCTGTTCGAGAAGCCCTACTTCCAGCTGCTCAAGGATGCCCTCAAGCCTGGTGGACACATTTCCACTCAAGCCGAATGCACCTGGCTGCATCTGCCTCTGATTCGCGAACTCCGCAAGAGTACCAAGGAACTGTTCCCTGTCGCAGACTATGCATTCACCACCATCCCCACGTACCCTTGTGGCCAGATCGGCTTTGTCGTCTGCTCCTTGCAGCCCGACCGCAACGTGCGTGAGGCAGTGCGCAGGGTGCCCGACTGCAAGTACTACAATGACAAAGTCCACAAGGCAGCTTTCGTCCTTCCCGAGTTTGCACGTAGGGTTATCGAGGATGGCGCGCCTGCTCCTGGCGCAGTCATCGCTACCGGTGACGGAGAGGGTCCGGCCAAGCGGGACCCCAAGAAGGTGCTCTTGCTCGGCTCGGGCTATGTGGCGAGGCCATTTGCAGAGTACATTCTGCGTTACCCAGAGTACAGCTTGACTGTCGCTTCTGCTCACCTCGAGAACGCCCAACGCATGTCGGTCGCACTGCCGCGCACAACTGCTGTCTCAATCGACGTCAGTGATGCAGCCGCGCTTGGCGACATGATCTCCAAGCATGACGTAGTTGTCTCGCTCATCCCTTACACGTTCCACGCTGCCGTCATCAAGGCTGCATGCAAGCACAAGGTCGATGTCGTCACGACATCCTACGTCAGCGACGCCATTCGCGAGCTGAAGGACGAAATCAAGAAGGCTGGCATCACCGTCATGAACGAGATTGGCCTTGACCCTGGTATTGACCACCTGTATGCCGTCAAGGCGATCGACGACATCCACCGGGAAGGCGGAAAGATCAAGTCATTCCTTTCTTACTGCGGTGGTCTCCCTGCGCCTGAGGCAGCAGACAACCCGCTTGGCTACAAGTTTTCTTGGTCGTCGCGCGGTGTTCTGCTCGCTTTGCGAAACACTGCCAAATTCTACCAGGCGCCACACAAGGAGGCGCAGGTGGTCTCCGGCACGGAACTCATGGCTAGTGCCAAGCCGTTCTACATCTCGCCTGCTTTTTCATTCGTCGCCTACCCGAACAGAGACAGCACTCCCTTCCGCGAGTGGTACAATATCCCCGAGGCAGAGACTGTCATCCGTGGTACATTGCGGTACCAGGGCTTCCCCGAGTTCGTGCTTGCGCTCGTTAAGTGCGGCTTCCTCGATGAAGAGGCCAAGCCTTACCTCAACGCCAAAGCACCGACGTCATGGGCTAAGGTCACGGCGCAGGCCGTAGGCGCCAAGGCTGCTGACGCCGCATCGCTCGCTGCTGCTGTGCGCGCTTGTTGCGCATTCAAGAATGAGGATGAGGCGGAGACGATCCTGCGCGGGATGCGATGGCTTGATCTGTTTGATGACAGCAAGCCTGCAACTGTTCGCGGGACATCTGCGCAGAACAAGGAAGGCCAGGGCAACTTGCTCGACACGCTTTGCGCCACGCTCGAAGAGAAGTGCAGGTATGAGGATGGCGAGCGCGATATGGTCCAGCTTACGCACAGGTGAGCGAAGCGCGGCGAGCCTAGCAATTCCTTAGAGTTGACTGCATATGCTAATATGATTCTTGGGCTTGCAGGTTCGACTTCGTCGACAAGACCGGCGCAGAGAAGACTCTGTACTCGTCCCTGCTGGATTACGGTATTCCAGGCGGTCACTCGAGCATGTCCAAGCTGGTCGGTGTTCCCTGCGCCATCGCCACGAAGCTCATCCTTGAGGGCCACCCGGGCTTGAAGAAGAATGGTGAGATCGTCGCGCCGTACAGCGCTGATGTGTGCGAGCCTATTCGTGCTGAGCTGGAGAAGGAGGGCATTATGCTCACCGAAAAGTACGTGTAGAGTGTATTCTCAACAAAAAGCCGCTAGTGAGCGGCTCCTCACCCTATTTGTCATTAGATTTGTGTACGAGTATTTACTGCGTGCAGATGGGCATGCTGGACAGGCTCTTGCAATTATCTGCAGCAGTTCATGCGCTTTTTCGAGCCGGACAACGACATAGCTGATATCTCGACCATGCACTCTTAGGGTAAGGGCCAGACTGGTGTCATGAACTCATTATAGGCTTGAGGGAGATGCTCAACAGTAAATAAGTTCAAGTCGCCAAGGTGAGTCCAATTAGGGTTGTGCACAGGTATCACAGTCGGCCATCTTGGAAGCCAATCTGAGTGCAGGTCCGATACTTGCATCAAAGACGGCATAAACGAATTGGTCCATCTCACATAGAAACGAGAGCTTGTTACAGTCACAACGATTTTTCGAGCTCGCTCTTATGCGGGGTATACCCTCCGCCTGAGCGTGGGCTACGGAAAATTTTTCAAATTCGCAGGCGCTTCGAATTGCGGAAGACGCAATGGTCTGCAAGGTGTGCGAAAAGAAGCTGTCAAAAGCTGCTGCGCCAGATCCTTTTCGCAATCGCAATGCAGCTGGCACCCTCGTAAGCAGTGGCGCTGGAGCAGGTATCTCAAGAGCCGGACCTTCAGCAGCGGTAGGAAGCGCCAATAAAAGCTCCTCGATAGGAAAGGCTGTCGGCGGGAACAAGCTATTGGGCGCTTCGAAGCGTTACAACCCGCTTGGGACGAGGTGCAAGCTGTGCAAACAAGCTGTCAGCCAAGACAAAGCACAGTATTGCCAAGGTGCGTCATACACAACGCCATAGCAACTCACTCTCTGGCTGAAATTCCCGATTCTTCATTTCCAACAGCTTGCGCATATAAGAAGGGTCTCTGCAGCATTTGTGGCAAGACCATCTTGGATACGAAGATGTACAAGCAAAGTGTCGCATAAGCTCTTGGAGCGGGGGTCTCGAGAACAGTCCTTATATAGCCTCCATCCTTCGTTGACACTGGTTAACCAGAATTCGGGTATCCCTATGCATTCTATGGGTCATAACGTGGCCGCGACATTGCGGTCTTGTGGCTCCAGTTCCACACCCCGGAAACATGGACGTACGTCCATGTTTGAACACGGCAGGTACTATGGCTCGCTCCCGTCTGCTTGGCTCAGCTGAGTTGATTCACGCGGCTGCAGCTAGTCTTTGCAAATCACAGCTGGTCGGCGCTGCGAGCAACAAGCGTCGGGCGCCTGTGCTGCCAACACGCTGTCCTGTGCTTGCCCAGCTCCGTATGGCTGTGGGAGGAGGGTCGTCGGGCCCATCAGGACGACAGCCATGATGTTGCATACCGCTTGCATAATTCAATCTTGGTGCTGAAATACACTGCGCGCAACTGTCAGGGTAATATGTTAAGAAGCGGACACAGGCAAGTTTGCGTCTCTAAAATAAATTGGGATGCAAAGTTGCTAGCGCATGTATGTGCAAAGAGTCCATTACAAGCAATATCAAATGTAGAAGGCACAGGCGACTACGGATCAGGCACATGTGGAAGTAGAGCGAAATAAAAGCTATTGCAGGTGCTCCTTTTCCTCAGCCTTGGGAATTCTGAGCGCGAAGATTGCGACCAGGAGAGCTACAACGCCTCCAGCCAAATCGAACCACCAAGCAGCATGCAGCATGCTTAGACTTGTCGTTTCGGTGGTAGCAGCGCTGCTGATGGAGGAAGCCGTTGCATTAATGCCCCAGTGCACGAGATCGTCAGAGACGCTGGCGACGGGAAGGTTACGGTCGCCGACGCTGGCAGCAACGGTCTCGCTGAGCGAGGTGAGGATGGCAGAGGACAAGTTCTGAAGCGTGATGAGCATCGAACCTGCAACGCCCTGATAGCGCCTGCTGACATTGCTGGTGATGAAGATACTAGCGGCTGCAAACGAAAGGTCGGGTGCGAATGTTGAGAGCGCGATGCCTGGCATCGACAGCACCCAGTATGGAGTGTCGGGTCTCTGAGGCAGAAAGAAGGCCGGTCCTAATGCGCAGGCGAATGCACCGGCCCCAAGGATGATGTGCCCCGGTACGACATGGAAGAGACGTGCGACGAGAAAGGTAGCGAGGACACCGACGAATGCGTTGGGCAATAGGTAAAGCGAGGCTGTCAAAGGTGTGACCTTTTGCACGCGGAGCCAGAATTGAACTGCGTAAAACTGATATGCGGTGAAACAGCCAAAGCTGAGGAAGTACGAGAGGGAGAGCGGCAGGAAACCCTTTATGCGCCAGAGTGAGTTGGGCACGAGCGGCTGTGCGACTTTGGACTCAGCATAGACGAAGACTGCAAGCATGGCCAGGCCGGCGATAACACTCGCGTACGTGTAAGGCGACCAGTGTGCCGAGCTGCCTTGTGTCAAGCCAAAGATGAGGAGCCCGCAAGAGATAATGGCAAGCGTGGCACCAATGTAGTCGAAGCGTCGCTTCCCACCGGGAGCGGCGGTAGTGATAGTCGTCGATGTGGTCAAATTCTCAAAAGCACGCATCGTTTGCTCTTTTGGCGCGTACTTTGCCGCGGCGACGAATGCGACGAAAGCCAGTACGGCATTGGAGCCGAAGATCCACTCGAGACGATTGCTTAGTGCACCGCCTTGTATACCACCAATGACGAAACCGAATGGCGCAAGACTCGACATGACGCTGAACACGCGGTTCTTGCGCATCCCTGGCTTGTACACGCGACCGAGGTAGGAGATGGAGGAGGAAGTGAGGGCGCCTACGGCTAAGCCTTGCATTGCGCGAACGAGGAGGAAGATGATGGGGTTCCGAAGGCCTACGATGGCTCCGACGATGCACCAGGCGCTGAGCCAGGCGAGTGCAGCAATGATCAGGGTACGCGCACCAGAGATATCTGCTATCGCGCCGGATAGAGTTACACTGAGGCCATTGGCGAGGAGGTAGGCACCGTTCAGCCATGGGGCTTGCGAGTTGGCCATGTTGAAGCGGTCCACCAGGATCACCTGCGTGATGGTCACGTTTCCGATGAGCGAGGAGAAGAAGAATTGACCGGTCGAGCAGACCAGAATGAAGGCGATTTCGGCGATTGGGGTAGGTAGCATTCCGGGTCGAGCCTGCGATAAGCCGGATGCTCCCTGGAGGGCGGCCTCTATGCCTGCAACTGCCATGGAGCTTGCAGCCTCCTCTCCGAGAAAAGCAGGCGAGGGTTCGGAAGCGATGGTCGATGGGGCCCGGGAAGACAACGTCTGCATTAGAATATCACCGTTGGTCACCGAAATGGAAGCGTTTGTCGATGGCTGTCGAAGGAAAGACGTTCGACGTTTGGTTGTAGAACTTGAGCGCTCTGTTTTCGTGCTAAAGCTGAAGCCCAGACGAGCAGCAAAGCCTGAAGGCTTTTGGTCGGATGTGGATGCTTCATTTGGCAGGGATGTTGCTTCACTTCCACCTTTGCCAACAACATAGTCCTCGTCGTTGTCTTCGTCAAAGACAGCGGCACTTTCAAGATCATTTATCTCGCCCCGAGAAGCTGCGACTGAACGAGTAATATTTCCCTTGGCATTCACTCCGGCGGGCAAGATGGCAGCGCGGCGCAGATCCTCGGTCGAAGGGTTGCGCGATGGCGCACGCGAAGCTACCGGCGAGCGCACCGAAGGCGTTCCTGGAATTGGATTTTCTCCCGTATTGGAAAAAGGGGTATATGGACCACTGGTAGCAAAGTCTGGCGAGTCGAGAGGCGGGGGATGGTCTATGGAAGAGCTGGAAGTGTGTGTACTTGCGAGCACCGGCCGTAACAGCGGTGTTGCGGCTGCCACTGGTGCGGATGGGCCGGGCATGGTGAAGACCTAGGTCTTTGCTCCTGCTTTATGCCGGCGTTCGCCTTGTTACCGTTGAGCAGATGGAGTGATGGCTTAGGGAATGAAATAGCCCATCTGTACCTATCAAATAACCATCAAGCATTGCAAGGATGGAGATTGAGTTACGACATCGACGCAACGAGGAGCAACTAAAAAGTTCGATTCAAGAGCACGGCGATAAACCCAAGCCCATCGGCGTGGGGGCGTTGTGGGCGAGATACGGGGAATCCAACTGGATTTCCGCCGGGGATCGTGCTGATTTTCTTATAAACTGGGGGAACTGCCGAAAAGCTGGCGAAAGGCTGCTGCATTTTAAACTTGGAACGACAGCATCGGGGTTTCCGCGGCACAGAAACCATAAGACACCGATCGGCGACTTCTCTCATGGCAAAAATTTGGTCGTGGTGCGCTTGAAAGCAGGAAGATGGATCTTGAGGAGGCCGCTGGACCTGCAGCTTGCTGGACGTGCGTGCGCTAAAACTGAATATCCAAGAGTGGTACAAAGCAAGCATGACTGACCTGAAAGGAAAGGTACCGGAGCGCAAGCAAGCCGCGAATGAATTCGACGACGCGCGCTCCAGCGGCGACTCGAGCTTTGATGAGGCGGACGATCAAGACTGGGCCGACTGGGTTGACGACGATGAGCAAGGGCAGCAACAGCCGCTGCAGCCAGGGCTGTCGTACAGCGGGAATGACAAATCTGGGATAAGTGCTGGCTCGCAAGTTGGCTTCAAAGTGCCTACGCTGGCGCTCTTCCCCGAAGGCGGAAACAATAAGTTGCAGACTCTAGGTGATGCAATGGCGGCACTTGCTCACGCTGCCTCATTGGGCTGCGATCTAGTGGAAGTTGTGCACAGACTACGTGAGCTTTTGATTAAAATTGCGGGTATGAAAGGTGATCACAGTCGGACTGCTGACTTTTGAGTGACTGCGCTCCTATATTCCAGAACTCGATGCGATAGCCACCATCAGGTTGCTGAACCACCTGCGTAGGCATCCCGGCTCACTCACCCCGGTACAAGTTGCTGCTCTTCAAGGCTCTGAACCCTTTTTGAGCGATGATGCAGAGCTGAAACCTGTTCCAGGTGCGGAGAACGATGGCCTGCTGCAGATCGACTTCGACGAGCTCATCGAAGAGCGCATTGCGACGGGCGGTAGTTTCGGTACGGACGCGAAATCAGGGGTTAGCCGGCCGGCTGGTGTGAGAGCTTCTGAGGGCTCCGCTGCGCTGCGCAAACGCGTTGAGGACCTCGAGCAACAGCTTGTGGCTACGCAGATGGCTTATGCAGAACTCCAGGAGAGGTCGCTGGCACAGCTTGGGGTTGACGAAACGCACGCCAGTGAAGGGTGCTCGACATTAGCTGGTCAAAGGATAACTCCTTTGGTAGCTACGGGGGCAGCTCTACCGCGGGATGATGACACACACTATTTTGAATCATACGCTTCGAACGACATTCATCAAACAATGATTAGCGACACGGCACGCACTCTCTCGTACGCACGCTTCATCCTCTCGCCAGCCAATGCGCACCTCTTCCGCGGCAAGCGGGTCATGGACGTCGGCTGCGGCTCGGGTATTCTCAGTCTCTTTGCTGCGAGGGCTGGCGCGGACCTCGTCGTTGCGATCGATGCGAGCGACGTCGCGACGCGAGCCACTCAGAACGTGCGCGAGAACGGGTTCGACAAGGTCATCAAGGTCGTGCGTGGAAAGGTGGAAGATCTCAAGGAGGAACTCAAACCATACGAGGGCAAAATTGATGTCATCATCAGCGAATGGATGGTAAGTACATTCCAGGCACTTGACTGCGCCAGAAACCGACCCGTTCATTATTTGCATGCATGTGTGGCCACAGGGATACTTCTTGCTTTACGAGTCCATGCTTCCCTCTGTCCTTCACGCTCGTGATCTCTACCTGCGGCGCACCACGACGCCAGAGAATCCGTTTCCTGGCCTCCTGGCCCCATCACACTGTCGGATGACACTTGCAGCCGTGTCGGATGTCGAGCTGCTGCATGAGCGTGTGCACTTCTGGAACGACGTACACGGTTTCAAGATGACAGCCATGACGAAGGGGCTGTTCGATGAGGCGTACACGGAGTGCTTGAAGCCGGAGGCGGTTGTCACGGATATCGCCGACATTTACGTGAGTGTCAGGAATTGCGTGGTTTCAGCTGCGGGATTCCCCGATGCTGATGTATGCACCCTGCACAGGACCTCCCGCTCTGCGTCTTGCCGCCCAAGCAACCGACGTTCCGCTCGCCATTCCGACTGACGAGCAAGCGCTGCGCTGCGATCCACGGCTTTGTCAGCTGGTTCGACACGTGGTTCATGACCTCGCCTGCACCGTACCGCGTCGATTCGGAGACGAATGTGCCGGTCCAGCTACAAGGCGGCGAAAGGCTCGGGGATCTGCCGCCGTGCACGACCGATGTGATCACGGTGGAGGACGTACCGGCGCTCAAACTGAAGGGCAGCGATTTGGCGCCTTCCCCTGCGTCCGACTCGACCGAGGCCAAGGGCGAGGTCGTCTCGTTCACAACCGGACCCTACGGAAAGGACACACATTGGAAGCAGACGGTGTTCCTGCTCAAAGAGCCTATCGACGCAGAAGAAGGTGAGATGTCCGAAGGCCTGCGCAAATAGCTCATCCTGTTATTCGAGAGACTGACATTCTACGTCACCTTCATCCCTCCATCCATCCAGGATCGGTTATCTCGGGTGAGATCATTGTTACGCAGTCCGAAAGCAACTCGCGGGAGCTCGAAGTCGAGCTGCACTACATGCTTGAGGATGCAGTGTCGGTGGTAACCACATCAACAACAACAACATCAGAAGCGGCTGCAACGCCGGTTGGCAAAGGCGTCAAGATGGTCCAAGCGAAGATGGTGCAGCTGTTTAAAGTCAGGTAGAAATGCCGTATACCGTGGGGGACCGCATCACAGTGCTGCACAAGCAGGCATCCGAGAAAGCTCATAGCAACTGAAATGCACGCTTTGGCTTGATTCGATCAACGGATCCTTTAGAATACACTATGTTTTGCTGCGTGTCCCGTTGCATGTTATGTGGCTGAGGACTGATAAATGGAGAAGTGTCAGGTGTAGAGAGGAATATCGTCCGTTTGTAATTCCATTATTCGAGGGCCAGACGGCCAGCGCCTGGGAGTCATGAGATTTCCAACTTGGAAAACGCGCGTGAGAGAAGTGTTCTTGTCGTTGTATGGGTGCACATGCACAATGCCTCGAACGAGTTACAAGTCCGCGTACACTGCTCTCGCCAGAGTGTGCTAGCTTGCGGATCACGGGCCATCGTAGCGCGACATGTACTGTGCGTAGCCGTACCCCGGCTGGCGGTCGATCTGCTCGCCATCACGCCCGTCATTGTGCGGCACGGAACGCTGCTGCTGGTGCCGCTTAATCGGAGCACCGCGCGAGACGGAGCTCATGTTGCGCCGGTGCTGCTGCTGGTACGGATGGCTGTGGCTGTATAGTGCGTCCTGCGTCACATACTCACCCTTGTCGTCGCTGTGCTTTTGCTCGGCGAGGAGGTTGTCGACGCTCTGCATGCCGATATCCGGCGTGCTGTGAACATCCGCGGCGGCGCCAGCAGCGGCTGCGTGCTGGCGAGCGCGGTCGCGGCTGCGTTCGCGTGGGATGCCCCACACGAGGCCGCCGATGTATGCGAGCGCGCAGAGCGCAGCCCAGGCGTATAGCGCGTACGGGACCCATGTGGGCGCATAGCCCCATAGGGTGAAGCCCTTGCCGATGTTGACGACGGCGAGCAGGACAAGCGAGAGGCCAAGGGGCATGTGGACATAGTTGAGCGCGCGGATGCCGCGCGCGTGGAAGAGCATCGTGCCCGCTTGACCCAGCAGCGCCTGCGCCAGCGCGCCGCCTGCGACGAGGTAGCCGACGCTTCCGTGCCAGCCACTGTTCCCGCCGCTGTCGGGCACAACGGACGCAGCGGCGGCGCCGAGCGCGGCGGCGGTGACGGCGAAGAGGACGGCGGCGAGCTGCACGGCGCGGTGCTTGAACATCCAGTTGGAGAGCGTCGTGCGCCCAAAGCGGCCGATAAGGACACCAGCAGGCGCGAGCAGGAGCCAGGCGAGGATGGCGCATAGGAGGTGGATGATGATGACAGTCTGGCGCGTCGAGCTTGCTCCCTGTGCAGCGGGCGGCGCGGCGAGCCCTCCGGCACCGGAACCGGCGGCGCTGTTGGAGCCGGCATCGGTGGGCATGTATGCCTTAGTAAGGTCGAGTATGAAGGTGCCGGACGCGGTGTGCTGGCGGATGGTCGATGTGGCACTGTTGCTTGACGGCCCTTGTGGGCTAGTGGCCCAGATGAACGAGACAGTTTTCATGCTGCCCGTCGAGCTGCCGCTGCTGCTGGGCGACGCTGGCAACTTCCACACAAACGCTGTCCCATTCGTTTCCGACTTGGAACCCGCCGAGTCAGGCTGGAAGGCGGGGAGTTTTCCTATCGTAGTGCTCGGGTCGGAGTTCCTGTTGGCTGTGCGTTGCGACATGGTCACGCTGTTGTCCGCATTCACCCATCCGATCTGCGTATGTACAGCGATTGAATGAGTCAATCAGTCCGTCACTCGGTCAGAAGCGGCGTCGGGCTGCCCCACAGGCGCTTCTACTCACCATCATGTTCGAGCCGGCCATGGTGCTACCGGTGCCGATGGCGAGCCAGCCGAGGCTGGTGCCGACCTTAGAGGAGAGGAGAGTGAAATGAGTGGTCTGCGCCGCGGCATCGTAGATAGCCTGTAGGACAAAGCCCTGCTCTTTGTTGATGTATGTGTCCGCCGTCAGCTGCGAGCTGCTGCTGCTCGCGGCGGCGGCAGGAGAGTTCGTGGTCGGAGTGGCTGCTGCCGCTGAAGTAGACGAAGTGTGCTCGTGGTGTCGCTCAGCGAGGACGGTTGAGCAGACGAGCAGGGTGGTGACACCGAACAGCGCCAGGCGGCGAGCAGAGGCTGCGAGCTGCATCGCGGCTGGCAGGCAAATGGGTTGTTGCAGATGCCAGATAACACACAAATCACACGAAGTCTTGGTGCGCGTTGGGGGCGTATGGGGTGCTGCACGCCAAACTATATATATATATATACAAGGAGATGAATCAGCAGACAGGGCGACGAGCAGCGCTACTTCCAGTCGACTATGGGCAATAGCGACAGCGACAGCAACAATAGTACTCAACACCCCGACGCCCCCCGCGCGAGATGTGGATCCATTGCTGTTTCATGTATGAGGATGCATGGAGCCAAATTTCAAATTCCCACACTGCGACAAATTCAATCAATCTGGGGGAGGCGAATGGTGCACAGCAGCACTCTCTTCACATGGAAAGAATGTAATCAACCGCCGGGACATTTTGGTGTTGACACTGGTGTTCTTGTGTTTACAGACGCTGGGAGCAGACTCGCTCGGCTCCTGCGCGGGCATCGGTAGCCGCGCACTGCCCAACCAACCTGACAGCCCTCCCGCACCTCCATCGCGCGGCACCCCTTCATGCGCACGCGACTGCCACGTTCTCAATGACCTTGTTGCTCGTGGGTTGAGGTTTAGATCAGTCTGGAGAGGGCGCAGGGCTCAACCCTAATTACATGTGACTAGACCAACCCCCCCCTTCCTCCATTCCGGCCTTTCCGCCATCTAGCAACACATACGCGACGGTGCAGCGCGTCGCATGCCTTTGTGCGGCGTAGCTACATACATACATTGCGTTTTGAAGAAACACCTGGGGCAGATGTTGCTGTAAGAGTCGGATCACCTGATCAACAGCAGCGCCTCCGCCCCACCCAGCCGCGCAACAGCACCCATGGTTCTGCGGCACAACGCTTCGTGACAAGGCCGAACAAGCAAGCCGCGCCCTCAAGTACGCTGCATGGGATCTGCACTCTTGCTGTTCGTGTCCGCCGCCGCCATCACGGGTGCGACAAAGGGCAGAAACAGGAAAAGAAATAATAAAGACATGCACTCTGCAATGAGCAAAGAAAGCTCTTGCTGCCATCACGTGGGAGGGGCACCGGTGACGATGTATCATGACATGACTGGATCCATGCAACTCAAAACTTCATAGCTCCTCGATGACCAGGTCTTCGTCCCCGCTCTCCCCTCTCTCGTCCTCTGCGCCAACGTCGATCTCGCCTGGTAACCTGCCAGCCTTTCCGTCACTGTGCTTACTCTCCCCCTCGTCGTGCTCGGCGTCTCCCAGCGAGTTCTCCGACTCGTCCCGCTTGAGAATGTTGACAAGGCGCACGACCGCCTCTGTGATCTGTAGTGACGCATCGAAGCCAAGCGTTAGGCCCAGCTTGTCACACCGACAGCGTAGGGCTGCTCCACCGCAGAGCGACCGCACTCACCTTTTCGTCCGATTCGCGCAAATGCGCCTCACGTACGACGATGTACGCGCCCCGTTCGCGCAGGCACACGCGCCCGTACAGCCCCGTGCACAGCAGCAAAAGGCATTCGACAAGCATCAGCCGCAGCGCCGCGTCCGCCTCGCGCTGCTTGCCCGCATCGAGGAGCTGGCACGACTCTGGCAGCAGCTCCTGGTCTTCGAAATCGAGCTCGGACAGCTCCGTGCCCGCGCAAAGCGGCAGAAGCAAGTACGGCAGCACGTCCAACGACGCCGCCGCCGCCGCGCGTCGCGCCGCGGCGCCGCGCAGCATCTTTTCGCAAAGCGCGTCGGCGTCCTTGCGCAGCGAGCTCGCCGGCAGCGGCAGTGCAGGCGGCGCCACCAGCACTTCGTGCGCGCTCTTAATGAACAAGATGTTCTTTAGCGCTGAGATCACGCCCCCTCGCCGGATCAGGTCCGGGTGCTCAGTGAAGACCATAATGCGCGCGACGGCGTAGTCTGTCGCTTCCCTCTCCGTCTCTGCTTCTCTTGACGTCTTTTCCTGCGCCGCGAACAGCGGCTCCACGAACCACTGGCGCCCAGCGGGCAGGACAGTGACGTTCGCAAAGACGCTCGCAAGGAAATTGCAGTTGCTCTTTCGCTTGATCTTCCGCTTGCCGTCTGCACCCACCTCGCGCTGCTGCTGCTGCTGCGACGACCCCTCCGATGTCTCAGTTTGCCGCTGCGCTTGCTCCACTTTGCGGCGCATATGCTCGACGGCGCTCTCGTTGCTCGCAACCGTCGCACCCTCTTCGAACGCATCGAGTAGACAGCTGAGCGCTGCCACCTGCTGTTCCTCCTGCCGTTTTTGCTGCTGCGCCGCCTCGACAAGCCGGTGCGCCTGCTCCTGCGCTGCGCGTTTCCGCTCCTCGTAGTCTGCTGCAGACGGGTCCGCGTCAATACCCCTGATAACGGCATCCATGCCTTCCATGCTCATGAAGCTGTAGAACGGCTTCGTCGGCACGCGCAGCTGCAGCAGCGCCCCGGCCACCGACTCGAACTTGGTCAGATTCGACAGCAGCATACACGCCAGATCCGCTAGCAGCGACACTGAGTCCGCGATGTACGTCACTAGGAAGGTGAGGAATGGCGCGTCGGCTATTCGCGTCGCAACCTGCGCGCTCTCGCTCAGGTTGATCAGTGCGGAAAAGGCGTCATGCGCAGCGATCTGGGTGCCCCATGTCAGCATTTTGACCGGTCCGTTGATGGCATGCCTACCAATCGAAACAGTATACGCACAGGTTGGTCTCTACATAGCTTCTTGAGATCCTCAATTGGATCGCACTCCTTGCCGTCACGCCCGATCAACCGTCCCTTTTTGCCGTCGAGCGCTGGTAGCAGCTTGGCGCTCTGCGTCAGCAGCGTCCGCCGTGGGTGCGCCTTGGCCGAGAAACTCGCCACATGCTCGACAGCCACTTGCCGTACTTGTGCATTCGAATCGGACAGGAACGTCAGCAGCTCCAGCTCGGCTGTCGTCGATGGCGCCATCTTCCACAAGCTCACTGCTGCAACAAAGGCTGGGTGCGATGGCGAACTGAACGTCGAGGGGAATCGTGCTTGCCTTGTCGATGTCGCGTCGAAGCTGGACGTGATGGAGAGGAGGTTATGCGAGCAAGTCAACGCTTACAGATTTGGACAAGTCACTATCTTGCTTCTCAACGAAAAATAAAACGTTCACTGAAGCAACAACCCTCAATCTCTGCTGCAGCGTTAAAGGCCCCAAGCTAAAAGTGAGATTCGTCGTCATTTGTTGGAAATTTTGTGAAGCCGATGACGGAGCGGAGGGTGTTTGCACCGATTCGCACAATCCATTGGGTCTTGGGAAAGCATTCCGTAGTCGACCTTGCAGTGGCTTTCGTCTGTGCTGGGACAACAAAGAGAGTTGTGATGAGGTGATTGATAGGCAATGCTCGAAATCATTTGTGCTAGGTTTAGCGAAGGGTGTGCGACTTCTCTCGTTCATGTTGGCAGCCGACACTCGGACACTCTAGCGTCTGAGAAATCCCCTTTTATCGTTCGTACAGCCATGAAGAACGCAGCAGGGCTTTCGACGACATTTGTTTTGCGGCTATAGCGGGAATTAGGGCCTTCGTGCAGGCCGGGAGAACGGAATTCGAGAGCGAATGTCAGAATGGGTCTCCTCACCATCATCCGAAAGAACAAACGTGAGCGCACGGACATTCGATGGTGTTACCTGCGCAGAAGCTGAATTTTCACTTCAACTGTTGCTATAATATTTTGCTTCCTCGTTCTCCATCGGGCCTCATGTCTGATGCTTATTGTCCGCATTAACCTTTTCTATACGCCTGCTTGCAGTCAAGGAGCGCGAATTACGCATCCTCTTTCTCGGCCTTGACAATGCTGGCAAGCACAATTAAATTGAGCCTGGACTCATTTGATGTGGACATTGACACATTATTATCGTCACGCTTTCCCTACGCACCCACCTCCAGGCAAGTCTACGGTAATTAAAAAAATCAATGGCGAGCCCATCGATGAAATTAGCCCAACGCTCGGCTTCAACATAAAGACTTTCATTCACAAAGGGTGTGTACTGTCAATTTTCATGTACACGCAGGTGGAGCTTACTCAGTGATTCTTTTGTGATGAACCTTGGAAGGTACACGTTGAATATATGTAAGGAACGCGGGCCTTTCATAAATTCTTGAGGTTCTCCTGCTCACAGACCTTTTGTACCCTCTGTCTCTTTTTACCCCTCACTTCTCCTTGCGGCTCGCAGGGGACGTCGGCGGCCAGCGCACGCTAAGGCCTTACTGGCGCAATTACTTCGAGCGCACAGACGCCATCGTCTGGGTTGTCGATTCCGGCGATGTGGAGCGCATGAAGGACTGCAAGACCGAGCTTTGGGGGCTATTGGGCGAAGAGGTAAGGAGACATGTGTACATTGCGCTCGATCAAATCCGAGCTCACCGTTGTCTACAAAATTCGCAGAGACTGGCTGGTGCAACTATTCTTGTGCTTGCCAATAAGCAGGATATCGCCGGCTCAATGACGAGCGAGCAGATTCGGCAAGTGAGTTTGATTGTCCCCTTTTCTTCTAGCCGGCTTCTTTTCTTCAGAAGAGATTCTAGTATCTTACATTACGCTTACGTGGCTTCCCACTCTTAATGTCCCTCAGAGCCTGGCACTGGGCGACATCAAATCGCATGCTTGGCGAATACAGCCTTGCTCCGCTGTGACGGGGGAGAACCTGCTCACGGGCCTCGACTGGATGATCGACAACGTCTCATCGCGAATATACGCTTACGGTGCTATTGAGGCAGGGTAACGTTTGGGAGCAACAGATGTAGGAGAGTAGCCTACCTCTTTGGCGCTTTCGAAGGGGACGATGCGTCCAAGGCACAGCGAGGACATAGCATGACGAAGATTTGAGCCTGGTTCGCTCGTCACACCTGCGGGAGAGTTGCAGATCGTGTAATTTGTTGCACAGTTTCCAAGCGCCTGTCGATGACATTGTCAATGGCCTGTATCGGCTGCCGTCCGACCTTTCATAACATCTGCACGCCTATAGCACAGAAGCACGGGAACGGGGCTGAAACGATTGTGTGCGAGCACACGTCAAGCGCACCATCCTCAAGGACACCACACATGAAAAGCGAAATGCTGATATGAAACATCACCAATCATGCTCTCAAGAGGGGTGATGCCTCTTCACAGGTATTAAGCATCAGGGATTGTTGCTCTTGAGAAGCAAGCTCCCCAGAGAACTCGCTCCATACGGTGCTGTAGAGCGCGGCGCGGGTACGGACAATACCTCCAAGGCCCGTGCAGCACCTGGGGTGTCCCGCGAAAAGAGCGCGCAGGGACTGGAGCAGAATCCTTAGCACAGCGCCGGGCTCTCTGGGTGGCGTGCAGCGTGCTCAAAAGCTTCCAGGTGAACGAATGTGCTTGGCGGAGATGAACGAAGGCCAAGGTTTGTGAGATGTGGACTGAGGGCGGATGTGATGAGGGACAGTGGTCAGTGAGCGCGCGACCACAAACATTCTTTTTGTCCGTGTCGGGTCCGAGGATCATAAAGCAAAGCATCGATGCGTGCCAATGCATTGTTTACGCGTAATCATTCAAGCATATCGTACCCAGACCCCGGGTCACATAGCTGGCCGCTGGACCCTTCAAGGTGCAGGCATCGCAATCTGCCAAAAGCCGTGAGAGCCGTTCGCGCATCCTCGAAGCTGCAGCTGGCTGCAGCCACCTCGTCAGCTGCTTTAAAGGTGCAGGTTGGCAGCACGCTACATACCCAATCGTTCCAGATTGTCGAACAACCACATTCTGATCGGCCGTCTCCATGAGAGATACACAACAGTTGTGTGACGGAATCATTCATACCTTTTAAGCGAGGTTGGGCCCCCAGGTTCACGGGTATCGCAAAGCATCACCTGAAGTCAAGGACGATCCCTGATATGGGTTCACGCACCAGCGCAACGTCGAGCGCCGATATGGCATCGCAGGTGACTCCTCAACCACCTTCACCAGTCGCTACAACGACAGGGAAAGCGTCAGAAGATTCATCTTTACAGCGAGCTTCCTCACAAGCCAAGTCAGGCGAGCCAGAACAAGTACAGCCGCAGGGACCCCTGGTCAGTATGGCCGCTACGACTCCGTTTGAGCCTGCGCAGCAAGCGCCGTCTGCGCAGACCGCAGAGACAGCAGCGCCGACTATGTCCGAGTCTACAGCAGCAAAATCTCACCAAAAAGAGCCAGCACCCGAATCAGAACCAGCCATGCTGCCTGAGAAGATGGAGCTGCCATCAGGGAGTGCGAGCCTGAAATTTGGTGAGTCTACCTTCTTCGTACGCATCAAAGCTTGTAACATCTGTTTCTTTCATGGGCTAATTGCGATGACTTCTCCCATGCTTTTATCTACTTGATCGCTTTCATTGCTGACAGAAGAGCACATCCGAAGAAAGAGAGACAGAGAAGGTAGCTTGGAACCGAATTCTGCTCACGTGGTGAGTGTTGGCTGTATTTGGTGCTTCATTTAGTTCTGGGTCTCTGCGGCGCTGACGCTTCTTCATGTATGCGGTCCCCGATCATTGATTGACAGGGGCCATCAACACCGGACGCTGTACCAGCGAAGAAGAACAGGCTGCTTGAGCATCCGGAAGAAACGGATGAGCCGGAGGCCGGAGGCACAACGGACTCCATCCAGGCATCAGCAGCTGGCCAGGACGAGTCTGCAGCAGCTTTGGCACCTAGCCGGACTTCGCTAGATGCAACTGAGACCGATGGCCCCGGTGTGGGGCAGATCCGTCGTAAGGTCAGGGATCTTGATTGGAAAGAGCAGGGCGGGGAATGCGGCGCCGCCAAAGTGAGAGGGCCAAGCACAGCCGAAGAACCGAAGACGACGTCGTCTACATCGACGTTGGCAACCGCAACAGAACCGGATGCTGCATCTACGCCAGCAAGGTCGCAGCCCACATTCGCGTCTTTCAGCAGCAAGCCATCTGCTTCTGCTACCACGAGTGGAGGCGCAAGCGCAGCATCTTCCTCGCCCTTTGGGGCAGGCATCGCCGCCACCACTGACAAGTCTAAGTCCTCCTTGCAGCCCACTTTTTCATCTTTCACCTCCTCTACCAAATCTTCTCCATTTGTGACAGGCGCAAGCGGCTCGCGCTCCTGGCTTGCCACCTCAACTGGAAGTGGCTCAGCGCCTACTGCGCCCGCAGCCGCCACGGGAGGCATCGGACCCAGCCTGCTTGGCTCCTCGCTCGACTCGCAAAAACCGAGAAATGGTTCCTCAGGCTCATCATCGCATGCACCTTCTTCCTCCCTCCAGCATGCAGGCGTTGACGCAACGGTAAAGCCACCAGCTCCATTGTCTTCTTCGTCGAAAGGCAAAGCTGCGACTCCCTCTCTTGGCTTTGGTGCATTTGCAAGTGGTGCTGGCTTTAGCAGTGCGACGAGCAAAGTGTCTGCTCCTAGCAGCAGCAGCGGCAACGAAAGCGCCCCATCCTCGGCAGCAGGCACGCCACAAGACGGAGCAGCGGGCGCTGCCGATCCCGCCGTTGAAGACGGACCAAAGGCGTCCATCTCGGATACAGGTCCTAGCGTGGACGCATCGTGGGAAACTACAGGCAAGCAAGACTGGGACTTGGCTTTCCAGGCGCAGCTGGCGACGGGTGCTGGCGAGTCTTTGCAGGAGAGAGAAAAGGTCAAGCTCGCAGCTTCTGCAGACGCACGTGAGTTGCTCAATCTTTTCTCCGTGATGTCGTGCCATGGTGATGCATAGTCTCATCCTGGTTTGTGTTGACCACACCACCACCTTTTCCCATCTACCCACAGTCAAGACAGGCGAAGAGGACGAGAACACTGTTTTTTCAGCTCGTGCAAAGCTCTACACCACGTCGGAGAGTGCAGGATGGAAAGAACGGGGTACTGGCACCGTGCGCTGCAATGTGCCACGCAACGCAGCGTCCAAGGGTGGCAGACTTGGTGAGCACCTTGCATGTCTTGGCTGCGCGGCACAACGGTCAACGACGCGGTAAATGAAACTAAATCATCTGCGCTCGCGCCTTTTTTCGCAGTCATGCGCACTGATGGTGTGTTGCGTGTCATTCTAAACGTCAAGCTTTTCGCCGGCATGAGTTGCGAAGTCGCGCAAGACAAGTTTGTTAAACTTGTCGCTTTGGAAGACGGGACTCCCGTCAATTTTGCGATCAGAGTGAGTCGCAGGCGTCCGAGACCGCAATACTTCTCTTGCTGACACCCTGTTTAGTTCGGGAATCCAACCGCCGCTTCTGGATTCCACGATGCGGTCAAGAAGAACACACCTGTATAAAACAAAGCTGGCACACAGCCTGCCATGCCTCTACATGAGACTAGAATTGAACTGCATGTTAGACTACACTCGTTTCGGAAGAGCTAGACGCTGCGGCGCTCTTCAAGCTCTCGAGTTTCTCTGCGATGATGTTCTCCCTGTCGATCTTCTTGTTCCTCAGCAACGCAAGGATCCTCGAGTGCCTGGCGGTTGGAATGCCCTTAGCGCGCGCGATGACCTGCGGCTTGACGGTGTGTCGTGTGCCATCAGGCTGGGTGACGCTGATGGGGTCGCTGGGTCTCTTTGCGCGCCACCTCTTTGCCTTGGTCATCTTTATGTGCATCCGTTGCCGCTCGAACTCCATGTCCTCGCTCATCAGCCGCTCCGTCTTGAACGTTAGCTCGGGCTCAGGCCAGATGAATGGCTCGACGAGGCCCAGCTCGACTTTCTTATATGTCTTGCTGGATCCGCGCTCCTTGCGCATGCCGCGGCGCGGATTACGCGTAATCGCCGAGCGGTAGATAGACGAGCGCGCCCAGGTGGTGCGCAGGCCGTAGATGGCGAGGAGGTAGCTGCGCAACATGTGCTTGTGCATGTTCAGTGGCACGCGGAAAGTCGCTTTGAATGCGTCGTACGGCTCTCCTGTCGGCGTGTAGTTCTTGACGAGCCGTATGGTTAGATTGGGTAGGAACTGCAGCTGGCCGGCGCGCTGTGGCTTGGTGTACCAGCGCGGCAAAGGCCCATTAAGTATTGAGCTGGAGGGAGAGTCGTCAATGTACACGTGACTGCGCTCGCGCAACTTCCACGCGGCTTTGAATTCCGCCTCGCGCTCGGCGTGCGAAAGGGCACACCAGTCGTCCCACGCAAGTGAATTTTCTTGCTGCAATAGCTGCGCCCAAGTGTTGTTGATCGCTGCGGTTGTCTCGTCTGTGATCTGCGCGCCTGGGACCATGGCGGCTAGCCGTGCAGATCGATCCTCAGCAAGGGTCTTTAGATTTTGCAAGCGTGCTTGCCGCTTCAACAATGCCGCTTTACGTTGCATTAGTGCTGCACGGTACTCAGCCTCCTCTTTGGCCGCGTGGCCCTCTTGCCGTGGTGATAGAGCTGGTACCGTGGGAGCTCCCTCGGAATCGGAGGCTGCATCTGCAGCAGTGCGCACAGACTTGGCCAAATGTTGCTCCGTCTCTTGGATTTGATTTGCGATGACAGCTAGCTCAATATCGGCAACATCGGTTTGAGGGACAGGAAAGCCAGCGCTGTAGCCCGTGCGCCATCCGAGTCTTCGAGCGCATTCGAATTTGACGCGGGTAAGAGCTTGCCTCTGTTGCTCCTCCGTCATGCTCTGCCACACAGGCTTGAGGATAAAGTCAAGCTTGGTCTCGCGAGTTGGCAAGCCGCCTTCACCTGCGGCTATTTCGCCTTGGTCGGCAAAGGCTGGCCGCGTGAGCTGATTGTCAATCCATCTGGCGTAGTCGACTTCTCCGGGTTGCTTGTTGAGAAATGCCGCCAGCTCCTCTGCCGTAGGCTCCCAGAGTCGCGAGCGGGCGGTGCGAAAGTGCTTGGCGCTGGCGAATGTTGCACCCAGCCAGGCAGGAGGGCTCTGTGGTAGCAAGATGGTCGATGAAGGATCTGCTCCCTTGACGATTGTTCGCAGCACTGCGAATTGCTGCGAAGCTTTTGGAAACCAGGACCATCGCATCAGAAGACGAGCTTTGCTCAGTTCATCTTTGGTGACGACTCGGCTAGAGTTGTCTGGCGACGGCGCAGACGTTGATGCTAGCGCTGGCTGGGGTGCAGGCGCTGCAGGACTCGGCGTCGTCACCATTGTGGTGGCATCTGGAGTCCGCTGCGAAGATGATGATACGAAGTTTCTAGCGACAGGCTTGCGGGAAATGCTCGCATTTGCTTTGTTGCTGGTCGCGAAGATGTCCGCACCATCAAAGTCAGTGACTAAGGACCGGAAGCTTCCGGGTGGCCTTCGAGCTGCGCCGATCGAGCGGGCAATAGCTCTGCCACAGGAAGCCATCTCGGCGGCACTATGTGTACTCTTGGAGAAGAACCGCTGATGAGATAAGCCTTCACTGCGCCGACCAATATGCTGTGGACAGTGAATGGGATGGTCGAGCTGGATTGAACACGCCGGCTGAGAGAAAAGGAAGAAATCGTCGTTTGAAAGGGGGGGGCAACGCCGCAAAAGTGATGAGATTAAGAAGCTGGCACTCGGTTGGTTGCACCGAAAAGCATCCCCTTCTGACATCCCCACGCAGCACACCGCGATCCGGCCTTGGCTCCACCGACCACTTCCTAATTCCACATATCACCGTAACTGCTTCCACTGCTTCTACTTGTGATCAACATGACACACAATTATCTAGTCTCACCCATGACCCGGCCCTCTGTATCATGCCCTTCTTCGTTTTGACGCACTGGCAGAGCAGATATGCTGTTGAAACAGTCGCCGCAATCCAATCCGCAGTTGTCTGAGCTAACGATGTCCATTCAATACTTAGTTGACCTCGATTCGATTACATCCTGAGGAAGGCATGTCGATAGCGTGGTGCCACCGACAACTTGTCCAACATGCCGTGGACAAATTCGATCGCATGCGCCGCCCTGTGTTTTTACCCGGCCCGAAGCCTTGATTGACGACCATGAAATTGACTGCGACGCGCTTTCCAGGCTACTCGGTCGCTTCTTGTCTCGGCAGCGTGCTTTTATCGAGGTACGAAGGATTGCAAGGGAGAAATAGGATACAGATACATACACAAGCACGAGTCGATGCAAGCGTGCACGTTCTATATTGCGCGCCAAAGGAGATAGAGACTGGATCCTCAAGCATCTCGTAGCTCTGTGCGTGTGCCGTCCGTCCCGTCGTGGGCCGCATTGCTGCCCGCAGAAAGCGGCTCTATGTCCCTCTTTGCGCCCTTTTTCTCTGGCGCTGACTCCTCATCCTCGCTGCCGCCACTGCTGCTGTCCCGACTGCTGTGCTGCACCACGCTATTGCTGACGGAATGCGATGCGATATAGCTGGCCCACTGGCGGGTCGGCACACGTGCGTCCATCATCTCCGAAATCTCTTCCAGGGACCTGCCCCTTGTCTCAGGAATGCAAAAGTAGACGAACGCCATCGCAAATAGCGTGCCGACACCATAGATCCAGCCGATCTGTGCGTTGAGCCCAGCGCTGTAGAAGAGGTAGGGCAGCGTGAACGTCACCGCCCATGCGATAACGAAGAAGCCAGCGGTGCCGACACCGAGGTGCTTGCTCTTGTTCTTGCCCGTGCTGAGCTCGGACGCGACGACCCACGCGAGGGGCCCCCAGGCGACGTTGAAGAAGAAGACATAGACGCAGATCATCGCGGCAATCGTTCTCGACTCGTTGACGGTGCGCTCGCCGCTCGTAATCGTCCCGATGCCACCGCAGACAAAGAGGCTGATGAACATCGGCACTGAGGTCCACAGCAGCAGCGTGCGGCGGCCGAGACGATTGACGATAAAGAACGAGCAGATCACACCAACCACCTCGATGATATCGACGATGATTGTGATGAGAAAAGGATCCTCAATGTTAATTGCCTGCAGGAACGTCGTCGTGTACGAGAAGATAACTGCAAGTTATGGAAACCTGTCTCAGCTCATTGTCGACTGCGAGCGCTTCAGTCATTTTCAGTTGCAGCTCTCACATTGAACCCCTCCAATCTGCTGGCACACAAGTATACCAAAGGTGCAGAGGAACTTGCGCAGCTCTACGCCCTTGAACATGGTCTTCCATCCGTTTTCGCCATCACTGTTGAGCGCCTCCTCGTCCTCTTTGGCCTGCTTGAAGAGCGCAAACTCGCGCTGAACAATCTCCGCGACATCAGGTGCACCCTTATTGATCCGCCGCAAGCTCTTCAGCGCTGCATCCTCTCGGCCCTTGTAAATGAGCCAGCGTGGGGACTCGGGCAGGACCAGCAGGCCAAGGAAGATGAGCAGGACGATGAGAAGGTTCAAGCCGATCGGGATGCGGTATGCGGCTGTGGAGTCGATGTCCTTAGTACCCTGGTTAACCGCCGCGCCGATGACCTGCCCTATGGCGAGCAGCAGCTGCCAGCATGAGACTGCGATAGAACGGATGCTAGTGGGGGCGATTTCGCTCAAATAGAGCGGCGTGCCGTTCGCGACGAGTCCAATGCCGACACCCAAGATGGCTCGACCAGTCGCGAAAACGCCGATGGAGGACGTGGTGGCGATTTGAAAGATGGCACCGATACCGACACCTGTCGCGGCGGCGAAGAAGACACCTTTTCGTCCGGCCCAGTCGCCGATAAAGGCAGCAAGAATGCACCCGACCACCTCACCTGCTTGTACCAGTGAGGTGAGCAGCGAGGTCATGCTCGGGGACAGCTCCGTTTTACCATCTTGTGCAAAGTCACGGTTGAAACCAGACTGGCCCAGGATCCCGGTAAAGTCTAAAAGACGCAGCGGGTGACGAGAACACTGGTCAGCATGGTGCTGTTGTCTGGCTATTTGTACACGGTTTGCCTCCACTCACAGGTTCCATCGTAGCCGTAGAGTACAGCGCCGAGCACCGCGATGGAGCACAAGAATGCTGGCCGCAGGTTCTTACGCTGGAAGATAGGCTCGCTTGTCGAGGTGGTAGGCGCAACTGCACCACCCATGGTGAGTCAGAGGCTTATAAAAGAGGGGGACTTAGGGTGCCTGCGCGGTGGTGAAGGAATTACCTCGTTGTGACAGGATGTGGGCATTTATAAGGGGAATAGCAGAAAAAAAAGGGGGGGAGGCAAAGCTGGAGGGAAGACGAGGATTAGGGGGAGAGGAGAATGAGATGGAGAAGAGGATATATATGCAATTGTTCTTCCAACTCGTTATTCCTCCAGGTATTCATCGATCGTATGTCTGTACACCTAGGAGGTTCGGCAATGGGATACATGTCGTCATTGGCCACTACTGGCCGAAAGTCAATCACTTGAGAGCCCTGGCACTCTGGCAGCCTGTCCCAGTCTGGCCTAGGTTCCCAGGCCCCTCCCATCTTCTTCGTCTGTCTTGGAGGCGACTTTGGAGGTATTTGCACGTCGGTCGACCGCAAGCTTCCACGGGCTTTCCAGGGATTGCAAGAGCTGTATCTGTGCCTGCCTGCGAGCACAATTGCAGGTGCCGCGGCACGGGCGGCCCACAGAAGTCATGTATGTGGTCAAAATTATACCCATCATTGGTTCCTTGTCCGCTTGGACCCTGTTCCCTGTTGGAGCATTCGTTTGGAAAGTTTTGTCGTAGCCTTCTCCCTTGTGAGACATGACTGAGCTAGACCGAAAGCCGTTGGAGACATCTCAAGTGCCAGTCTCATCCAGGACCTCCTTGTCCAACCCCCACACCTTCCGACATATGCAAACTCAGCTGTGGCCTTCTGAGCCTGGGGACCCCTAAAGCGGGAAAATAAACATTCGGGCGATCGGGACGAACTGGTGAACTTCAACATCGACAAATGCTGAAGCAAATGCCTGCAATCACGGAGAGGTGATCTTTTTGACGGCGCCAAGAGTCAGCACAAGAATCAAGCACGGCAGCAGGCGGTAGTCAGTGCAAGACAGTCGCTTGCAGCTAACTCATCCGAAGAGAAGACAGATTGTCGGCAGCCAGAAGGGTCGGCAAGTGTCAACGGGTCGAGCGAGTCGCCACCCCTCGCCGCTCACTGGTTTGCCTCGCGCCCTCGCCAGCTGTGCAGCACAATCGTGCCAATGCAGGCAATTGTCATCGTCATCGCCATCTTCAAACTCTAAACTTTCGTCCTGCCCTGAATCCTGCTGTCCAGTACTTCGTCACAGCACCTTCCTTGATTATTCACCATGACATCATTCCATCAAAACTTGCCATATCTTTGCGTGAATTGGCCGCGGCTTTAGCGTCGATTGTGGGAACCTTTGTTAGCGCGCTCCTTTCTTTTTTATGAATCAATCCAATTTATCACATCTACAGCCTCTTGCCTCATCTCAAGGGAGTAGATTTCGTCAAGACCAAAGCCACTTACGTAATACGGGACTTTCGGCCGCACAAGCTGGCAATTGTTGGCAAGCGCACCAGAAAAAGAGTGTCTACAAGGCTGACTTCGCTGCCGTTTCGGCGCCAGCTCGGATCCTGTTTAAGTCATCGACAGGAACGGATCACTGGCGGAAAGAACGACACAGCCAACCCTATAATAGCATCCTAGTTGGTGCGGTGTTTCGGCATGCAGCTTGCACCGAATGCCCGGTATGTGTTTGAGGTTAGGGTTATAGCCCCTTTGGCAGGTTAGAGAGGGACACGACACCTATGACGCAAAACGACAAACGATCGGTCAACATCAGCTGCAACAAGCCGTCCATGGTACTCCCATCTCGGGGCAACTGTGATTTTTTAAAGACCTGACAGGTGGTCCTAGATGGTATTCTTACCTACCAAGCATCACCAATGCTACGATGAAGCGTGCCAACGCAGCCGGATTGAAACTCTCGCTGCCGAGTCTCGTTCTGGGCGATCAGCATGCCGCCGCTTCCTCCGCTGCCAATTCCTCCTCACTCCCACCCTCCTCCGACGCAGTCGCAGCTGGTCAGGAGTCTGGCCATGTGCAAGAGTCTGGAGTGCTCGAGCCATCGTCTCTGAGCAAGAGTGAATGGGAAGGAAAGGAATCGGAGTCGAATGTCGCGGCGGGGGTACCTAAGCCGACTCGCGAAGGCGAGTCGCAAAGTTCTCGTGGTTCCGTCTGGCTGCGACTCTTCCGTCGACGTCGAGCTGGCGAAGATCGAAGAAGCATCTATAATGCAGATTCTCCGTTGAAGCCGGCCCGTTCCCGCAAGCGGAACCCTATAGCATCTTCCATCCTCGCTTCGATCCCGCAATTTAGCAACCCACGCGTGTACACATATTCGAACAACATGCACCAGGCCGGCGAGCCGCTCGATCCGCTGTTGACCGCTCAGTACGACGAGCCAGAAATAATCCAGGATTTTGCAGAAGCCCTGATGGGTGATGACGCCGGGATGAGCGAAACTGCCGAGTCAGAAGTGGTCATTGTCGAACACTCTGCCGCCAAGGGACAAGTCGACGCACAGACTGACGCCGACGTAGAAGCGGACGCAAAGGACGTGCAAACGGAGGTGAAGAGAGCATGGAGGGACAAGGCGCCTGTGATCTGCGAGGGAGAGAATATGCGTCTCGGAAGGTCCAACCAGAATGCAGAACAAAATGGAAAAGTCTTAGCGCAAAAGGGGCACGCGCTTCGAGAGCGCATTTTTGCAAGTCAATCCGGCTTTGTTTCAGGCTCGCCTTCATCCACACCGCAGCGAAGTAGCTCATCTGGAGCAGCGCTGAGCACAAAATCAGTAAAGAAAAACACCAGGAACACTAGGACTAATAGCGAGCTCTTCCTTTCTGCCGCATCGGACTTTGCGCCGATCCGCGAGCGACGAGGGCCATCGCCCAGTCACAGCCATCATCATCAACATCACCACCATCACTCGCGCTCACAGAGCAAATCCAAATCGGCCAAGCACTCTTCGCACCCTAAGCTGCATGGCATAGATAACGGCTCGCGCGAGGGTCTGCTCTTTACGCTTCTGCGTTTCCCCCTGCTGCTCGCCATTTTCCTAACGATCGCGCTGGAGTTCAGCCTATACGTCCTGACGCGGCAGGTCGTCAACCTGGTGGAGTATGCGATCGCGTGGCGCGGCCGTAAGGGAGAGTTGCGCAAGGAGCTGCGGCGTGCTGAGACGTGGAGGGACTGGAAGCACTGGGCGCTGGAGATGGATTCGTTCGCGGGGTACGAAAAGTGGAAGGAACGCGACGCGAGCGGCCTCTATGACTGGATTCTCGTCAAGAAAGTCTGCAATTCCTTGCGTGTGTTTCGGCAGAAGGAAGAGGCGGAGAAGCTGATCGGTGTGCTCGACCTGTGCGTTCGCAACAACTTTGCTGGGGTGGAAGGATTCAGGCTGTACAGCGAGACCTTTTGGGGAACTAAACACCTGATCGAAAATTATGTCGACGAGGTCGAAAAGGGATTGGAGTACATTCAAAGAACAGATAAGGTCTGTTCTCCCGCAACGTACCATCTTCCTAGACCGGGGTGCTGACAATGACTTTCACTTCTCCGCGCAGCTTTCGCTGGAAGCAAAGCGAGCTTTCTATCGCACTGCTAAGAAGAACCTTGGCACCAGCGCCCTTTGTCTCAGCGGCGGAGCAAGTTTTGGCTACTGTAAGTTGAGATGGAAGTGTCGCAGTCAAGCTCCGACTCTAACGGGCTCTGCATCTGCCCCTTTTCTGTTTCCTTGAACCAATGCACAGACCACTGCGGAGTCGTCCGCGCGTTGCTGGATGCTAACCTGCTGCCCAAATACGTATCCGGCACCTCTGCCGGCGGCCTCATCGCCGCGTTGACGTGCACACGGCACGACTCGGAGCTGAAAGTTCTGATGGTGCCCGAGCTGGCGGACCGCATCAACGCCTGTGAAGAGTCCATCCTGACGTGGGGCCCGCGCGTCTGGCGCATTGGTGCGCGGTTCGAAGCGAAAAGTTTTGCGCAAAAAGCGCAGTTTTTCACCATGGGCAGCACCACTTTCATGGAGGCGTACAAGCGCACTGGCAAGGTGCTCAACATCAGCGTCATCCCGGCTGATCGCCATTCGCCCGTCAAATTGCTCAACTATGTTACAAGTCCCGATTGTGTCATCTGGAGCGCCTTGCTCGCGTCCGCTGCTGTTCCCGGTATTGTGAGTAATCATTGGCATGGTATCCGGGTTATGTGCAAGACGACGCATTCATCCGACTTTGCCTGTCACCAGCTCAATCCGATCTGCCTGATGCAAAAGACCAAATCAGGACGAGTAATCCCGTGGAACTGGGGACACCGATTTAAGGATGGTTCACTGCGCATGGACATTCCGCTACAAGAGCTGCAGTCGCTTTACAATGTCAATTATCCAATTGTCTCTCAAGCCAACCCACACGTGCACCTCTTCTTTTTTGCTCCCAAGGGTATGCCAGGACGACCGGTCGCGCACCGCAAGGGCAAAGGATGGAGGGGCGGTTTCTTCCTCAGTGCAGCGGAGCACGTGCTCAAGCTGCACCTGTCGATGAACTTCAAAGTGATTAGGGACTTGGACTTGATGCCCAAGCTACTCGGGCAGGACTGGAGCTCTACGTTCCTCCAGGCGTTCAGCGGAGCCGTCACCATCTGGCCCAAGACGCGCGCGTGGGACTGGTTGCGCCTTCTGTCTGACCCGGATCGGCAGGAGCTGAAGCGCATGATCCACGTCGGCCAGTCTGTCACCTTTCCTAAGCTTGTGAGTTGGAGGGGAAGTAGATCTTTGAAGTGCGAATCTCACCAATTATGCGCCCCTCTACTGACCAGCACATGATCGAGAACCGTGTGCGACTAGAGCGTGCCGTCGAGCAAGGGCGCAAAGCTTGCCGCGCGGCGTTGAAAGCGCGCGATCGTGTGAACGGGTCAGGTGGTGATGCTGGAGGTAATGCTGCACGAGGAGGCGGAGGCCGAGGAGTGTCGACATCGGGTGGAGAACCTCTGCCGGCTGATGCCAATTTGGCGGGCGGCGGTCCCTCGACGGGCCAAATGACCGACACGGACGGCGAGGAGTTCTCCTTCTTTGCCTTGCAGCGCTCTGCTTCGTCAAAAGACCGGCTCAAAGAACTTCGACGGCGACGGTCCAAGGAGCAACAGGAAACAGACTCCTGCGGTGCGGCCTCTTCCGCCGACGGTCACGGCCACGGTCACAGGAATGCTAATGGCGATGCCAGAGACCGGACTAGCCACCCAGGTACAAGCGCCTCGACACCTGGCACGGACGGTCTCCCAGGCGTGGACTGCGTCCCGGCGGAGATCGGATCGCGCAACATGCCCTTCGGCAAAGCGGGTAAACAACAGGCGTGCAGACGAGCCGCGCGCTCGAACCTCGGCTTGTCGATCGAGATTGGCGCCAGCACGGACGATGGTGAGGGCTTGGAAGCTGGGTTCGCTGCTGCTGCTGGGGAGGAGGGGGAGGAAGAGGAGGAGCCGTTGACCGCTGCGGACCTGACTCCGCATCGGCGTCGCATGAGGAGAGCCGGAACTCACGGAGACGCCGGACGCTGCAAAGTCGGTGCGATCCGCAGCGGTCGGAGATTGAGCGGCAGCAGCAGTAGCAGAAGAATCAGTGCCGCCGTCACCGCTGCGGGTGGGCATACGTGCTACGCGGATCGCGGCTCAATCAGCGCGGGTGGGAGCGTGATCTGGCAGGATCAGGATCAGCTTGCCGGTCGCGGCGATGGAGAGGACAGAGAGAGCGATAGCGACAGCAGCTCTTCCGCCAACGATGCGGAGGATCCTCGACCTGCGGGGGCGGGCATCCTGGAGGAGTGCTAATATGTGTGATGGCCTCGCCGTCTCCCTCCCTACCGCAGAAGGCGGGCATCGAGCAGATCACTCAGATGGACATCGTGTCTGGCCTTTGCAAGTAGCATGAGTATTTGCCTGCACACATGTATTTTTATTTCTCTAGACTGTCAATGCATAACATTGATCGAATGCTGTAAGAATCGTTGCAGTCGACCTGTGCAGCATACGGGCTACCGACGCGGCCAATCCAATCCATGTATGCATCTACGTTCTAAGCCCTTCTCCCTCGCCACCTAGACGCGACCGGGCGGTCCGGGCCTCGACCTCTATTGCTCAATCAGCAACGACAAATATCCTGGCGCGAGAATGTGGCAGAAGAGCCGCCACTGCCGCAGGAGGAGAGGGAGACAAGGGTTTCATCGAGCACAGGACAGACAGACGGCTGTCAGGCAAAAGTTGTTACGCAGCCTAGGAGTTCAGCATGCCAGAGGTGTGCGGGAGTCCATGTATGACATGTCCTCGTATCCGAGCGCGGCGGCTTAGCCCACGCTGGCACACGCAGATCTGATATGTGGAGGAGCGTTGACATGCATTGCGACACGGCCGACTTTGAGGTGCCTCTCGCGGGGTCCTGTACCCTGAGAAGGCTGATGAATGGTTCCCCCCGTCCTCGCAGCACGACGCGAGCTCCTCGTCGGAACGATTGCCAATTCTACAATTGACAAGCAAGAATGCCTCCCTCGCTCCTTGGCGGGTTTCCATGGCTTAGTATCCAACAGGGGGGATGCGCCTGATTACGCATAGGTTATCCAGGGTTGCCGTTAGTCGCGATAGAGGTTGACGCATTCGAGAGGCGTGTGCGTCCATACCATCGTTGCGGAAAAGTTTTTCCTCGGCTCGTTCATTCGGTAAACTTTATGTAATCATTGAGTGAGCCTTCTTGGGGCCTGGCCTGGCATAGGACCAGTCTTCTGTGAATGCGCCGCTGCACTGCTGGAAAAGCTGGCCTCCTGGTACTCAGCGAGCAGCTGGGGGCGGCGCTGCGACGTCTCCGTGTCTGCCGGGGGGCAGCAGGGCACACAGGACGCGTCGCGGGAGCAGGCGGAGTGAGTGCCCTTGCAGCCTGCATACGATAGAGTACACCATCCGTTTTAATAAACCAACTAACTGCCTTCAGCAAGGCAGCGTCCACCAACCCTGGGAAAAGGTAACATTTCACGCACGCCACTGCCAGGAGAGTAAGCGCGTGGGCGGCCGGCCACACAAGGCTCTGTGTCAGCAAGCGAACGTCGCAACTGTGAGAGCGAAACGTTGGCTCATTTTTAATTATAATCAATGTGCTGTGGGTTGTGCGCCGTGCAGCAGCAAATGCAGCGGGTGGAACCGGACTGGTTTACATTCATTTCGATGACTTGGCGGCCTTTCACAGCTACTGATGGGTGTGCTTGCTGCAACGCACGCTCGAAATGAACGCAAGGCTAACTTGTATAGTAATTACTACATGCACCTACTATATAAAGGGTGGTCGGAATTCTGCTCAATAGTCGTGCTCGCCTCACATGATATACATATTGATACCATCTCTGTCGGTTCTGCCCTCAATCTCACCGCGGCTCCCACCAGACAGACAGATCGACGGGCGGATGGGAGCGCACCGCCTCGCCGCCATCTCTCGCATCACCTATTCTCCCTGACACTAGATCATTTTGAAAGGCTGCCGCCGTGTCCAACAAGGGTGTGCGAAAGGAGCTTCATTCTCTTCCATTCTGCCAGGATTTCACTCTTATATCTCACGGTGAAAATCTACATTTAAGTGTCTAGGACTTTCTCTCTGCGTATCTCTCTTTCTGCATCGTCTGCTCCGGCTTTGGTACGACAGCTCCGTTCTTGCAAGCACATCTGAAAGCCCACGACCGAAATCAATGGCTCCCATCGCAACGGACGCCGAGGCGTTTGTATCTGCCCATCAGGATGGCGTCGACTTTATCGTTGTCGGCGGTGCGTCGCCTAGACTGCTGCTAGGATTTCCTCCAGGGCGAGCGGGGGGCCTGATTACTCTTTGTTCAACTTGCTTCCACAGGTGGCACAGCAGGCTTGGCCGTCGCCGTACGCCTGTCCGAAGACCCCAAGGTGACGGTCGCCGTGCTCGAGAGCGGCGGCTCGGCATTGACACCGGACACGGGCGAGCCGAACGACCCGCGCATCGACACGCCAGGTATGTTTGGGGCTGGCCTGATGACCGAGTTGGAGTGAGTTACCCGTCAGCATGGAGGCATGCCGCGCTTAACTTTCCTGAGTGACGCATGCCGCTTGTTCAAGTCCAGCTGGAAGTTGCACAGCGAACCCGGGAGCGGCGCAAACGAAGGCGTGCCGAGCACTTATTATCCACGCGGCAAGGTCCTGGTGAGTGACTCCACTCCTACCGCATCGAGCCTCTGCATTTTGCGCTGCCGAGCTCATACCACTTGTCTTGCGTCGTGGCACGCAGGGCGGAAGCTCGGCGCTGAATTTTCTCGTCTACGACCGTGCCTCGTCGGTCGAGTACGACGGCTGGGAGCAGCTCGGCAACAAAGGCTGGAACTGGGATACACTCTACCGCTACATGCGCAAGGCCGAGCACTTCCACCTACCCTCGCCCGTCACTGCTGAGGCTCTGCACATCAAGCCCGATGCGAAGGACTACGGCAATAGCGGCCCAATCCAAGTCAGCTTCCCCCTGTACGTCGGAGAGCAGACTCGGAATTGGATCCTGGCGCTGGAGAGCCTGGGTATCCCGCGCAATGATCACAGCCTCGCGGGCAACAATGTTGGGGCAAGCGTGCAGCCGAGCATAATCGATCCGCGCGATTCAACGAGGAGCTACGCCGCCAGCGCGTACCTCGGCCCCAATCTCGGCCGGCCCAACTTGCGGATCCTCACAGGTGCCACCGTCGAGCGGATCGAGTTTGCGCCAGGCGACGCACACCAGGAGCCGCTTGTCGCGGCAGGTGTCACCTTTGTCGCCACCGCTGGCGGCAGTGAGGGCAAGCGCTTCACGCTACGCGCTGGCAGGGAGGTCATCCTTTCTGCCGGCACCGTCTTCAGTCCCGCAATTCTCGAGCGCTCAGGTGTCGGCGCTGCCTCTGTGCTCTCGAAGGCCGGCGTGCCCGTTCGGCTTGAACTGCCTTCTGTAGGCGAGGGCATGCAGGATCACACGTACAGCTCCGTCACCTACGAGCTCAAACAGGGTAGCGTGACGCTCGACTCGCTGCGCAACGACCCCGCGTTTGCCAAGGAGCAGCAGAGCCTGTACAAGCTCAACGACCCAGAAAAAGGCAGCATCTTCACCGAGGGCGTGCCGACGGTCGCCTACATCTCGCTCGAGGAGCTGGTCAACGGTGATAAGGACGAGGTGGCTAGGCTCATCAAAGAGGCTGACAATTACGTCGAGAGCCAGAGGGACAAGTCGTACGTCGCCACATTGGAGAAGCAGCTTGAATGGCTCAAAAAGTACCCAGATCAAGTCGGACAGATGGAGCTGTGAGTCTAACTTTGCACACACAAACACACACAGACCACCTTCCTATTGCTGACAGTCCCACTGCATTTTCTCCGCAGGATCGGCGTCGACGGGTACTTCGCGACGAGCGGCGCACCAGATCCCGGAAAGAACTACCTCACGCTCCTCGCCGCGCAGCAGCACCTCTTCTCACGTGGCTCGATTCACATCAGCTCCGCTGACGTCGCGGTCGCACCGACGATCCACACTGGCTACTTTAGTGCGCCATGGGACCTCGCTGTCGCGACCGCCGGCACCAAGTTCCTGCGCAAGATTGCCACGACGCAGCAGTATGCGCGCCAAATTGAGCGCGAAGTCGTCCCCGGCCCCGACGCCGATCTCGAAGAGTACACGCGAACCGTCGGCACGACGACAGAGTATCACATCACCTCGACCGCCAGCATGCTCCCGCGCGACAAGGGCGGCGTCGTCGATCCCGAGCTCAAAGTTTATGGTCTTAAGAATGTTCGAGTGTCAGTTACTAGACCGCCCTGTCGAGCGCACATGCTGTACTGTTCCTACCTGCTGACATGCTTTCCCTTGCACAGTGTCGACGCGTCTATCATCCCCGTCAACGTCTCGGCGCACATCCAAGCGACTGTGTACGGCATCGCCGAAGCAGCGGCCGACATCATCAAGCGCGCGCACGGATTGCAGGCGTCCGCAGAGCTAGCGGCGCAGCAAGTCAGCAGGCACGTCGAGACCAAGCTTGATCTCGACGCGCACAACGTCGCGCCAACCGTCACGGCCAGCAGCTGAGCGTGTGCTTCCTCATGGGGCGGGTCCTCAAGCCAAAAAAACAGTTGCGTCTACGTATGGTGATGAAGCGGACATCGCTGATCCTGCTGAAGTTGTGTTCTCTTTCCTCGCCATTTTTTTATTGTGGTTCCATCGACCCGTTGCTCATGATACCCCGTACATCTCGGTTGATATATGGGTTTCAAGATACTATGTGCAAGTCATTTTCGGGATCTGTCATAAAGCGGTTTTAAGCTGCTTGTAGGAAGAACAAAAAAGTGCGAGCGCTTGGCAGCTTCGACGCCGCGCCGAGAGATGGCGGAGCAAATGTCTTCAATGATCACAGCTCATAGCATCCAAATGGCCGGAAAAAATCTCGTTCTGCGAGCACCGCAAGTTACCCTTGAAAGTAACCCCAACGCTCTCCTCGGGTTGGCGGCCGAACGTGCACGTCTCTTCGATGGTCGCGCACAAGTGCAGTAGCTCTACATTGGACATCGTGATGATCCTTGCCAGCGCTGGGGGCTCTTCCGGCTTGAACTCGTCGTACCCGTCGTGTTGGAACGCGATCGCGGGGCGAACGACTACCGCCGTCCTGGCACGTGATGCATCGAATCCGCTCGTGCCCGAGTACCTCGCGGAGCAGCTCGGCCCTGCGCGCTTCGATGTCCAGCGTGCACGGCGCACCGCGGGTCGTCAGCCGGATTCAGTCGTCCTGTCGCGCGACGAAGAGCAAGGGATGCATGTGCTACACGCTAGGCTCGAATGTTCCGAATTTATCTTACGTGTTGTACGCGAGGGTCCGTCCGCTTGCGTCGCCCGGACGTGGAACGAGTTGGGCCGAGTCGAACAGCAGTCCCGGACACAAGCCCTTGACCCACAACTCATAGATGCCGTCGCTGCCCTCGACCAAGAGCAACAGCATGCGCTCTTTGGCGCGACGGTCAGACTTGAAATGGGGCAAGTTGCCAGTCGTCCAGTCAAATGTGAGTAGCAGGCTGCTTTTCCCCGTTGTGCTGTGTCCTTGGGGCATGGCGATCATCAACGCTCGTTCCCCGCCACCGAGGCACGTGGGGCACGTGAAGCGCTCAAAGTCCAAGGAACACCACAGCGGCTCGGTCAGGTGCGTCTCGATCCACAGCGCACGCGGTGTGCCGCCGGTGGTGAGTCCGACCCAGTCGTCTTGGCGTGAGACGACAATCAGCAAGCCCGATCCGTACTGCACCAATGGAGGCGCTTTGCGGAACAAAACGCCCGTGCCCTAGGCGATTGTCTCACGGCTTGCGTCACCTGGAGACCGTTCGAGCTTGACTGTATCGCGCAGCAAGCCGGGGAGAGGGAAAGGGGGGCTGCCTTTGAAATACAGCTCCTAGAGGCACAGCTCCCCGCTTCTCTCATGTGTGCGAGAATGGAGGGAGCAAGTAGCTCTCGACGTGCTCGTCAGCTTTGAGCAGCGGAGATGAAGAGGTGTTTTATTTTAGCCTGATTCATTCTGCTAAGCAAAAGATGCGAATATCCACACTGACACATTCCAAACCTCAGTGGTGCTATACCCTTGGTAGATTTCAAGCCCTGCACGCTTGAAAAGTGCGGTAGGCTGTGCATTAGCAGGTGCGCTACCCTTTAACACATATACGACGCAGCTGTGCGTACGTGCGTACGTGTGTACGCGTTTACCCCCCTCCCTTTCTGTTGCTTTTTTACCGGCCGGAGTTCCTACTTCCCCCCTCTGCATCGCCACCCTACAAGTCGATGTCGATTTCGCGCAGGACAAGTGCGCAGATTGCCTCCAACGTTGCCGGCAGAGCGTAGAGCATATTCGCGCGCGCGGCTGCAATGATGTTGCCAATATCCTCTTGGCCGGGACTGCGACACCGTGGATCGTCGTTGAGCAGGTTGAACGCGAGTGATACGCCCAGCATCAACATAGTCTACACTTGAGAATGTATCGAGACATGAAATGTTCGCTGCAACAGGTAGTTCTGCATAACTTGACTTGAAGACATAAGTAAGCTAGCGCGTCCCACGCACTGTGGTGATCAGGTGACACGTAGCTCGCATCGCCCTGAGGGTTGCAAAATGCCACTGCAGAACATCCATCGCACGCGCACTGGCGCTCATGAACCTGATTGGTAGCACAGTTGGCTGACCGGTACTTCCAGGTGAACAAAGCAGTGCAATGTTTTTCGGTGGATGGTCCCATAAGTCTCATTCAGCTACGCCCATTTTCGAGCGCTGTTACTGTGAGATTGGAGGTGCATGAGAGGCGTACTGAGGGTGGGACTCATTGGGTAGTGACAGCACTTTGGTCCGCTTATTGCTCGCACCGGGGCTGATCTGCTGCTTGCCGAGCGTTTTCTGCAACATCGTGGCCAATCCTGTGTCTAGGCCGTGGTGAGGACGGCTCTGCTGTTTTGCTGCGAGTTCAGATCCGCAGCACGTGCGGTGCACTGGACGGGAATCAAGGATTGCACGGAGCAGCCAAACGAGTTGAATGCAAACAAGGGAGTAGATTGTTTGCGTGGCAGAGACGAGGAACGTGATGACGAATGGCTTTTGCTCGGGTGTGCGATAATGAGGGAGGTCAGGTAGAAAGGAGAGCGCGACTGCTTGAGCTTTTGTTGCTGTTTGCACGTGCACATTTGTAACTCGTCAGCTGGTTCTTACAAGCTTTTTGAATAGCACACGGCGCATGACACGCACCCGAACTTGTGAAAAGCCAAGGTCCAAAGATGTGAAACCTTGCCTTCGCTTGATGGGAAATTGCATGGGAGAAAAAAAGGGGGGTGAGATGCCTTTTTGGTCCAGAAGCGCAGGCATTCGAGCAGATCTGCAGGATGTTTTTCCGAAGAATTGTACCGTGGGCGCTTCTTTTCTGGGGCTAGTGCATCAGCTGCGCTTGTAAGGGCCGGGTAAGTTAGAGGGCGCCTTTCTGAATTAGACATGGGCTAAAGTCTGCGGGTCGCTATGGGATGACGAGGACGATAGGTGCGCATCCGAATCACGATGGAATCGCGAGGTCGTTTTTGCATCTGCTGGGCGCTCTCGCTGTGGTTGTGAGCACCACCTTCGGCACCTCCCACCGATGCGCCGAACCGTCGCTGCATGTCAAAATTAAAGTAAGGAGATAAGGGGAAAGGAATTGCGAGTAGCTCTGGACAATGCTTGATAGATCGAAAGATCGATATGTTGAAGCACTGGCAGGCAAGGCCTTATTGCTAACGGAATAATTGCTCAGCAGAAACCAGACCACAGGAACAGTAAGCCTCGACCTGTCAAAGGCTCAAAGTACATGATACAGAGGCACTTATCAGATTGAAGGCAAAGGGCAGAAAGTGCATGCAAAAAGGGCCTTCGCGTCAATCATTCGTCCGTATTGCCTGGTACTTGTGCTCTCCCGCATTGATCCCGCGATCATTTGAGAAATATACCACAGCGCACGGGGGGCCTTCGCATAGAAGCTGGGTAGTGGATATGGATGCTGAAACCTGCTGGAGCTTCCCGAAAAATTGTCAAAGAATAGGATTATATGGCAGGGCCAGGCGAGGTGGTTCCCGACAATGCGGGCGGGTCTTATGCCTAATGGATATGCTGGCTTGGCGGTAGCGTCAGGCGCAAATCGTGACATTTCGAGACACTGATGCGCTGGCGTAGTGGAGAAATGGTCCATACGTAATCAGCCTCCTTCGGCGCCACTGCAAGCACGCTAGCGCTGTCCAAGTAGGCCATTTTGGGGATATGAACTGACCAAGGCAAGCAACTGTTGGATATGATGGCAAATGGCGGATCCTGGCGGATTGTGCTGACTGCTGAATGCTGAATACTGAACGGTGATGAGTTACATGCAGCATCTCGGCTCCGTGCGGGCGAGGCAAGCGGTTGCGGCAGTCTGACCGCCGTACATGCTATATGGTGGGAAGCTGTCTGGGGCGATGGGGAGGCAGCGGAGACAGAAAGAGAGAGTGCGTGTGTGGAGCTGACACATACCCACGCTAACGAGTTGGGCCAGGTGGATTGAATGTATGCCTCCCGTTAGAAGGATTAGAGCAGAATGTATGACCCTGTTTGTCAACAGCTTCATCAGCCATCCTCTCACCGTCCAACACCACTACGGACCACCTACAACGGCACATGCTTATAGCTTGGCTCGGCATGTCGCACTCGTGCGCACCGGATGCGCGCCTCCGAAGAGCTGTACTCGTAATATCTGCTTCGGTAGGGCGCATCTTCCGCTGGATCCTTCCTGAGTCGTGAAACAATCAAAGGGTGCAGACTTGCTGCGACCGTTCACTGATCGACCCTCGAACCTGACAGCAGGTCTTCACGCAAATAGATCACTTCAAGCCAAACGGAAATCACCTCCAGCCACACAGCATGGCGCCTACTTCTCCATTCAAGGTGATTGTCGTTGGTGGGGGTCCAGCTGATCTCACCGCTGCTCACACCCTGTACAAGGCCACCATTGACTTCGTCGTCCTGGAACGCAGGCAAGAAGTCGTAATCGATGAGGGTGCCAGCCTCGTCCTCGGTGTCGATACCCTAAGGATCATGCATCAGCTCGGTCTGCTGGACAAGCTGAAGGCGATCTCCAGCGAATTGCTAATCTTGGAAAAGTACACCGTTGACAGCACGCAGTTTACGACTCTCCGCCACTTTGAATCCATGAGACCCTCGTGAGTCAGGTAATAGGTGGCGTGTACAGACAAGCTGGCAATGAAGTAGGCTGACGCACGCGTTTGCGTCACCCCTATAGTTTCGGCTCCGGGCCAAGAACTTTCCATCGGGCCGAACTCATTAGAACCCTCTACGACGAATTGCCTCCAAGCGCCAAGGCCAAAGTTCTCACTGCAAAAGGAGTCACGGAGATTGAATCTGACGAGAACGGTGTCTGCGTTACTTGCGCAGACGGAAGCGTGTACGCGGGATCCATCGTCATGGGTGCCGACAGTGCGCACAGCAAGACACGCCGCCTGATGGCAGACCTCTCGCAGGGCCCAAACATGGCCAAGTCGCCCTACACGATTAACTACCGCTGCTTTTGGTGCAGCTTCCCCAAGCAGACTCCCATATCTGACATCTCTACCGAGACGCAGGACCAGGACCGCTCAGTCATGTACCTCACCGGCACGGAACGCTCGTGGGTTTTTCTCTATGAGAAGCTCCCCTGACCTTCATCGGAGAGCCGACGGTATAGCGCCGAAGAGGCTGATGCCTTTGCTACACAATTTTTCGACTTTCCCATCATGCGCTCCCTCAAGGTCGGCGATGTCGTCCGCCAAAGCTTTACCAAAGGCATGGCAGACATAGAGGAAGGCATCGTGAAACACTGGTCCTGGGGCAGAGTTGTCCTCGTCGGAGACGCCTGCCACAAATTCACTCCTAACGCCGGCCTGGGACTGAACAATGGTGTGCAAGGTATTGTTGTCTTGCTCAACGAGCTGCGCCGGACCATCGAAGCAGTAAGCGATGGCCAACCCTCGCTGGAAAAGCTGACAAAGGCCTTTCAAAAGTACCGAGTTCTCCAGATGAAACCGCGGCAGGCAAATGCGACACGCTCAGCGCAGACCATTGGGGTGCAGACTTGGGCCAACTGGGGCTACTACATATTTGGGCGCTATCTCATGCAGTCCAAGCCGTTGCAATGGCTGTTCAACAGGTTCTTGATCCCAAAGAGCATCCAGGAATCAAGGGTCTTGGACTACGTGCGCACCAACGAATGCTTCACCGGAACCATTTACTTGGACGCACCCACTGAGTGCGTAGACCTTGCATAGCGCGTATAGATCAGCATCATCTCTGCACGACGATGAATACGTCGAGCAGAATGTAAATTACTCTAAGACTCGAAATTTTGAAAAGGACATCATGTTTAGGTCTCGAGATGGGAGTGAAGCGGCGATATTTTCAGAAGAATGACTGCAGAAAATGCGCATGATATAGAAAATGGCCAGGGCCCTAGAGCCGCGAGACGACAGCCTCTAGACTTTCTTTGAAGATCTTGCACGCCTGGGCTAGCTCTTCCTCGGTGATTGTAAGCGGAGGAATGAAGCGTATCACATCTTGTGTGCTGGTGCTGAGCAAGAGCATGTCGCGCTTGAGACACTCTTGTACAACCTGCGGCGCAAGCTGTGCGTGCTTTGTGCCATCCACCTCGAATAGGTATAGCGCGGCGGTGCTGTCGGACGATGCGGCGGGAAGAGATGAGGAGGAAGCCCCTTGGTCCTGCGAGAATTGCAGCCCAACCATCAAGCCGAGGCCTCGGATGTCCTGGATATACTTGCCAGCTTTGGAACCGCTCTGCTGCAGCTGGTGAAGAAAGTCAAACATTTGCTTGCTCCGCGCTGCGACATTGTCAAGGATCTTGTCTTGCTCGAACGTGTCTATGACAGCATTGGCAGCCGCGCAGGAGACGGCGTTGCCGGCGTAGGTACCGCCCATCGATCCAGGACCCTGCTTGTCCATCAGCTCTTTTCGTGAGACGACCATGGAGAGCGGGAAACCGTTCGCGAGACCCTTGGCGCTGATGAGGATATCCGGTCGGACGCCCGAGTGCTCGATCGCCCACATTTTTCCCGTCCGACCGTAGCCTGATTGCACCTCATCGGCGATGAGCAGGATGTTGTGCTGATCGCAAACGCTGCGCAGCCCCTCGAGAAAAGCTTTCGGAGCTGGCACGTAGCCGCCCTCGCCGAGGACCGGCTCGAGGATGATCGCTGCAGTGTCACTAGGCGCGGTCTGCTGAGCGAGCAGGAGCCGCAGCTGGTGAAGACAAAGTGAGACCATCTTGTCTGTTGGTGTGTTGGGTGCCACGCCGAGTTGTGAGTAATACGGGAATGGCGTGACAAAGACGCCCGGCATAAGCGGAGCGAATCCGGTGCTGTAGATAGTCTTGCTCTTGGTCATCGCCATGGTCCCTGAGGGGAGGAAAATAAATATGTTCTCAGTTTTCGTGCTCCTAGGAACATAATTTTGTTTCTGGAACGCACCCATTGTGCGCCCATGGTACGAGCCCTGCATGACAATGATGTTCTGGCGACCAGTGGCGGCCCTCGCAAGTTTGACGCTCGCCTCGACCGCCTCGGAACCGCTGTTCCAAAAGAGGACAGAATCAAGACTCCTGTCCGGCACGTGCCTCAGCACCTTCTTGATAAGCTCGATCTGTTGCAGGCTGAAGCCGATGTTCACCTGTGCGTGAACCAGCGTGCCAACCTGCTCTTGCGCCGCGGCCGTAATGCGAGGATGGCAATGGCCAAGGTTGACAACGCCGATACCTGACGTCAAGTCGAGAAGATGTTTGCCCGTGTCTGTCGTAAGGTACGATCCTTGGCCTTTCGCCAGCACATGGGTGGACATGCGGCCGATGCCTCGTGCGATGTGCGCCGCACCGAACGATGCGGCTTCACTCATGGTCGAGGAAGAACGGGTGGCCGAAGCGGACGACGGAGCTGCGACGGGCGCCATGGCGGGAAGAAGCTTGGACTTGAGGGGTGTTCTGATGATCAGCCTCCCTTGGACCAGCATGGCATGTGCGAGCTGCAAGATGGGAATGTAATTGGGGTAGAAGGGTCGAACGAAGTGTGTTGCCTCCTCTTTTGACTACTAGTGGTGAACACCATATCCAGTGTTCCCTGGATTCTCCGATTAACCGCTTCAATGTACAGGCAGTTCACCACGTTTGCATCTCCACGGAGGTGTACATACATAGCGCCCAGTCTTATCTTCTCCAGTGGGGAATACACCGCTCTTCGGTCATTGTGAGCCTCTCCTGTTATCGAGTGCGCCACAAATATCACACTCGAAACAATAAAAACGCCGCCCCGTCTGGCACTCGCGGGCAAGGGAACTTGAGAAGGGCCGCGGCTCCTATAAGAGCATCTCCCTGCATATCTCTCGTCTCCCCACTTTGGTTCCCTCTAGGGACCAGGCACGAAAGGCGAACGGAGAAACTTATACCCAAAAAGCTTTGCCTTTTCGAGGGGGTTAGTGAATGGCCAATGGCTTCGTACAGGAAGCGACAAAGGTGGCATTAACTTCACAGCCAAGCTGACATGGGCGATACTTGAACATCAGACGCTCTCGCGAGGGAAGGAAAACTCGGCTGCGTTTTGCTCTTCCGATGTCGAGTCATCCTGAAGCTCAATTCCCTCATGCTTGCCTGGCTGTCCGTGCCTGAAGTGAGCAGCAGTATGCGAGGCACTTTATGAAACGCATCTTCGCATTTCATTAGAATCCATGGAAACCGCCCGCTCCACCAGGACGCCGCCTCGCGCCGGCCCCAAAGCCAGATGCACTGCCACCAGCTCCGCCACCAAAGGGGCCACCAGCGCCTGCAAAGCTGGATCCGCTGGGATGACCACCCGTGCTACCCAGAATATCGGCGAGGTTAATGCCGCCCATGCCACCCATGCCGCTAAAGCCTCCGTGACCGCCGAAGCCTCCCATGCCTCCCATGCCGCCGAATGGGTCCATTGCCTCGTTCTCTGGGTCGTCTGCTCCCGCGTCGTATCGGCGACGCTTGGTATCGTCCGAGAGGATCGAATACGCCTCGCTGCACAGTTTGAATTTCTCGCTGTCCCCACCCTTGTCAGGATGGTGCTTGAGTGACTCTTTTCGGTAGGCTGTGTGGAATCCAGGAGTCTCAGCATACGCGGACCAACCCCTCAGCTCGTTCGCGCACATTGGATCTCACCTTTCTTGATCTCTGCATCGGTAGCAGACTTCTCTACGCCTAGAATCTTGTAATAATCCTTTTTCTTGGATCGCTTGAGGTCTAATTCGGCGTTCCTGAGCTCCCGTCTGAGGGCTTCCGTCTCCGCGCTCCTATCAACTCCAATCGAGCTCTCCTCCAAGGCTTGCTTGAAGTCCCTCACTGCCTCTTCGTACTTTTCCAGCTTGAGCTGCGCCCGCGCCCTTGTTCTCAGGGCTTTGACGTAGCCACTGTCGAGCTGCAGTGCAGTATCGCAGTCCTCAACAGTCTCTTCGTGCTTGCCCAACTTCGAGTTGGCCGTTGCGCGGTTTGACAATAGCGTCGCCTTGAGGCCTTTCAGCTCGCCGTCTTCGTCTACATCCTCCTCTGCGGCCGTCAGCGCCGCGGTGTACTTCTCAATCGCGTCCTCGATGTTCCCCGCCTTAAATGCTGCATTCCCTTCAGCTTTGATGTTGTCCAGCTTCCTCGACTTTTTCAAAATAGAGCGGGCCGCTTTGCAATCTGGGTCGCTTCTCAATGCAGCCTGCGCGTGTGCAATCGCTTTCGCCAGTTCGCCTTTCGCCATGAGCACGCGAGCACGAAGCACCAGTGCATCTGAGTTGTGCGAGTCAGAGCGCAGTAAGTCTGTCGCAGCAGAGCTTGCGGCGTCGAGATGACCCTTGCGCAAAAGCAAGTCCGCTTTGTTCATCTTCCAGGCCAACGGCGCGTTCTCCTCGCCGCCAATCTCTTGCATTGCCTTGTCCAGTGCAATGCTAGCGAGCGTCCAGTTCTTCGAATTACGATAAGACGCATATTGGTCAAGGTGCGTAGAGAGGCGCTTGACTTGCGCTTCTAAGCTCTTTGCAGCCGCAACTTCGTCCGTCGAGAAGGTCGTCGCCGAAGAGGTAGAGGCTGCTGATGGCGAAGCGCCCGAGCTGATGATTTTGGAAAGAATGTTGTGCGCCTGTGTCACTTGTCCCAGACTAAAGTGACACCGGGCCATACGAACGAGCGTTTTGGCTGAAGAATCAGACTGTAGTGCCGAAGCCTGCTGACAGTCTGCTAGCGCAGGTATAAATTTTTTCAGTGACATATATGCTGCGGCGCGATTGGTGTAGTAGGCGGCCTGGGTGGAGTCGTGGTCAATCGCTTTGGAGTACTGCGAGACCGCGTCTTGCCACCTGGCAGCTTGAAAAGCAGCATTACCCTCGGCCTTGCATTTTTCTGCCTCTACAATATCTTCCGGAGTCGGTCTGTCGTCGCGAGAATTAGAAAGCAGAGCACGTGGCTCGGGAGCTCCAGATCGTCAGTTCACACTTTTCCCACGACAAAGGGTGCGGTCTACTTACGCCGCTTTCTTCGCGCTGCAATTCCCCGCGGCCGCAAGATGGTCATCTGTGGCGGCAGCCACCGGTTGAGACTCTTTTGTCTCGATTGTCATGTCGTCTTTCTTCATCAATGCTTCCACGATGATCATTACCCGGGCAGAGCGCCTGTCGCGAAGGAGATGCTATTATATATGGAGGCGAGAAGGTGCGACTAAAAGATGAGCGACGGCCGGGTGAGACTTGCATGCTGCCTGCGGCCTGCTTAAGTTTCTCTTTGAGTATCACGTGATGGGTTCGTGCCGAGGAGCGAGCAAGTATGCGGCGGCGGAGAATTTGTTTTGCCTGAGATAGCCTTAAAAAGAAATATCTTTCATTCTCGGCCGAAATATTTTGGTGTCCAGCACACCTTTCGAAATTCCAGCAGGAAGAGGTTGATTCTATCACCTCTCTCTCTTCTTGCCATCGATTCTGGCTTTAGGCTTGGTGCAAGCCGAATATCGTCTGATCCATTGCGAGCCAGATCGCAGAATCTGTCACCGTCATCGAAGATCTTGTTTAACTGATTGGCCGCCTCGGCACTCGTCCAGCTTCACGCCTTCAAAAGTGTGCTTGATGAAAGTGGGTGCACAGTTATTCGTCTCACCAACGCGTTCATCATTTGTCAGTGAGGTATAGGTCGGCACATCTACCACTCGACAGCCGGCAGGACAGCCTCTGTCTTTGCTTCTCTCAAACTGACAACGTCTCTCGCTCATCGTACGCGAGCCTTGCCTGCGCTGCTCAGCAAGGGTGGGCACAGAGCTGTCTTCAGACCCGCTCGCGTTTGGCTGATCTCACCCAATTCAACTTCGCTTCACACCGCAACACCACAAAAGCTACTCATCCATCAGGTCTTGCACAAAATTACCTCGTGCTCAGGGTCAACCCCTTTGTGGAGAGTGTATAGCAAGGGTTTCCCCGGAACAAACAGACAGCATTCAACTTGGGCATCGGAGTTGCGGGCTCTGCTTTCAGGCATCATGTCATACGTACAGCAGCCTCCTGCCGCTAAGCGGGCGTTGGACGAGGGTGACAGCGCGGAGGAGCGGCAAGATATGAGACACACGAACTCTGCTGGAAGCAGTCACGAAGTGAAGTCTTTCATGACATCGGCCGGTCAATCTGAGGACGCTGCCAAAGATGATGTTCGTCAGAACAAACGCCAGCGCAAGAATGAAGAAGACGGCGCCAAGCAAAGCAAGGATGGAAAGCAACAGCGCCCAGATCGGCGCCGAGATCGCAACAAGGGTGGCAACTACCGCTTGGATCGGGGAGTTCCGAACAGCAACGGCCAAGGTGTGCCGGCGGAAGCAGATGAAGGTGCCGGGGAAGAATCAGGTTCGCGTCTGCCAAAAAGGAAAGTCGCAGTTGCCTTTGGATATTGCGGAATAGGCTATTCTGGTCTTCAGATCAACCCTGGTGTCAAGACGATTGAAGGAGACATTTTCGACTGTTTCTGCCAAGTTGGAGCTGTCAGCAGAGACAATGCGGTCAACCCAACAAAGGTTCGTGGCAGTACTGTTCCGCTTTTTATCGCTGAGCACTAACGAGATCGCCTCGAAACGTCCAGGTTGGGCTGCAAAGAGCTGCACGAACAGACCGTGGAGTTCACGCTGCTGGAAACCTGATGTCGCTGAAACTGATACTCGAACCCCCCTCATTGCAAGACGAAGAGGCAGGAGATATGGCTGGAATATTGGAGAGCGCCACCACTCTTCAACAAGCTGCGGCAACGTCTGAGTCAGAGCAAGAGGGGGCTGCACTCATCCGCAAAGTGAACAGCATGCTACCCGAGTTCATTCGAATCTGGGGCATCACCCGCATTCAAAACTCGTTCGACGCGCGGGTCAGCTGCGATTCGCGCATGTACGAGTACCTTCTGCCGACGTACGTTTTTCTACCGCCGAAGCCAGGCTCTGCGATGTACGAGATGCTGGCAAAGATGCGAGACGAAGAGAAGTCGAGGAAACAGGACGGTGCCGAAGCCGCGACCGGTGGTTCAGATTTTGATCCATCCAGCCCAAACCAAACACCCAATGGCGAGCTTGTTCCATCTTGGGACGAGATTCTCAAGCATCCATTTTGGGAACATCAAGGTACTAGTCATACCTTCACTGAGGACCTTCTTGAGAAGAAGAAGTGGAGAATGCCAAAGGAAAAGTTGGAGCGTATCAAGAAGATATTCGGGCAGTACCACGGGGCCCACAATTTCCACAATTTTACTGTCGGAAAAGAGTTCAGAGAGAGAAGCGCTCATCGATTCATGAAGAAGCTCTCGGTAAGTCTAGTTCCACATGGTTTTCCAGGACAGACAAGCTGACACTTCCAAACCTGGCAGATCTCAGATCCAATGATGATTAAGGACACTGAGTGGGTGTCGATCAAGCTGCACGGACAATCTTTCATGCTGCATCAAATTGTGAGTAATCTTCCCTGGAGGCAGGTGTACAGGCACTGAGAGCCTCAATGCCGCTTCATTTATTTGCAGCGTAAGATGATTGGCCTTCTGGTCCTTGTCGGCCGCACGAATGCCCCAAGCTCTTTGATCCTCGAGACCTACGGACCAGCCCGAGTGCATGTGCCCAAGGCTCCAGGTCTTGGTCTGCTTCTGGAGCACCCAGTCTTTGACACGTACAACAAGCGCATCCAGGGCTCGAACAAAGGCATCCAAAACAAAATGGAAAAGCTTAAAGGGGACGTCGAGGAGATCGAGAGACTTCAGCTGGGTCAGCAACTAAGAGAGCCGGTCGAGTACACTGCTTATGAGGCGGATATGGTTACTTTCAAGCAGAAATTCATCTACGACCGCATCTTTTCGACTGAAGAAGAGACAGCAGAGTGAGCTTGTTGGGGGCTGAAGGAGGGATGTCTGGCAACCATTTATGCTGACCACACTTATTTATAGGTTTGGAAAATGGCTTAACTACCTTGATGTCTTCAGCGGATCAGACTTTGAGTATCTCAACCCGAAGGGCGTGATTCCGCAGAGCTGCCTGTTGAAGCTTGGCGAACACAGGAGAGAACATAAGCCAAAGGGCGCTCAAGGACAGGCTGATAGTGCGCACGACCCAGACAGCGATGATGAGGACACTGAAGCCCTACTCAAAGGTAATCAGGCCGAGCTTGATGGATAGGCATCAGGTTATGTACATGGATATACGATAGCCAGCACAATGTACTCTACACTAACACGAAGCGTGCAGCAAGCTTGATCACGATGGGCTTTGTTCTACCGTCGCTGCTGCTGTTGCAACATCTGAGCGAGTACGGCCATGTCCAGACCTTGTGTCACACCTCCGACGCCTGTGCCTTGTGCGTAAGGCGCTTGTGCAGACACAGATGGCGCGCCGAACGGCATCGTGAACGTTGGTGCTTGTCCTTTGCCCTGCAGCAGCAGCACCTGCTGTTGCTGAAGAAGCAATTGCTGCTGTTGCTGTTGCTGTTGTTGCTGTTGCTGTTGTTGCTGTTGTTGCTGCTGTTGCTGCTGTTGCTGCTGTTGCTGCTGTTGCTGTTGCTGTTGCTGCTGTTGCTGTTGCTGTTGCTGCTGTTGCTGTTGCTGTTGCTGTTGTTCTTGCTGCTCCTGCTGCTGCTGTTGTTGTTGTTGTTGTTGCTGTTGCTGTTGCTGCAACACTGCTTGGAACTGCATCTGCTGACCAGTGTGCATCTGCGACTGATCGTGTGATGCCGCAAGCATGGCCGAAAAGTCTTGCTGCGATGGTGCATGTGTCTGTTGTGGCTGGCTCTGCTGGAAGTTTGGGTTGTGACGCGCTGCAGCAGCGCTCTGTACGGCAGCGAGCAGCCTTGCCTGCGATGCGGGGTCCAACTGTGAAAGGAATGCCGCTGGATTCATCGTGCTCTGTGAAGGCGCCTGTGACACTCCCAACCCATTTGCCTGCTGCACACTGCCATTCATCTGGGTGCGTTGCAAGAGCTGCTGGATCAGCTGCTGTGCCTGTTGCTGTGTCTGTTGCTGTGCCTGTTGCTGTGCCTGTTGCTGTGCCTGTTGCTGTGCCTGTTGCTGTGCCTGTTGCAATGGCTGTGATGGGTTTGACCAAACGCTTGTGGATTGAGATTGACCCTGGGATGCCTGACCCGCTGAAGCAGCTACAAGAAAATCTGCAGGCATTTGCACTGTAGAGGGAGGTCTCACCTGTTGCTGCGCTGGAAGGCTTTGCGCGGGTGGGTTTCCTCCAGACTGGTGCGCTGTCAATGAATACGCCGCTTGCGCACGGTTTGCTTGGGGCGGTGTTGCTAGCACCTTGTCAAACGGAATGGGCTCTTTAAAGAGCAGCCCTAACAGTTTCGCCGACGGTGGTTGGCCTGCAGACGGGGTGGTGAGTGTAGCCATGAGCAGAAATCCAGTGGTGTTGCCACCGTGCTTGACGAAAGCGGCACTTTTCTTCAATTCGAGAGCCTTTGCCAGCTGCTGATAGGTATTGAAATTGGCAGCGTTCCTCTGCGCTGCGCCTTGCATGTTTGCTGGTCCCTTGGTCGGATTGAACAGAATCGCAGGGATTCCTTTCGAGGCCACCGTTCGTAGTTGCCCTTGATTGACGGGCGAGACTGCACTAATTGTCAACGCGGTTGGCCATGGAAGCGCTCTGGGAGAAACCCGATTAGATCAGAATTAGCGACGCGGACAACGAATAGGAGGCGGAAGACTCACAATGCTTGTGGCGCGACGTCGTTCATGCAACTCGCTGAAACAGAAGTGATAATCTCTCGGCGTCCATTCGGAGCTTTTGGATCTTGGATGCTCCAGCTAATAGGACCCTCCCAGATAATCTTTGAACGCGGAGCTGTTTGGCCAGACTGGCCCGATGGAATCTGTTGCCGCTGCTGCTGCGGCTGGGCGTCGCGCAGCTGCGCTTGGCCTGTTAGAGCGGAGGATTGTGCTTGTGTCGAAACACCGTTCGGTATCTGCTGTTGCGGCGGTTGCTGCGATTGCGGAGGTCGCGACTGTGTATTGTTCTGAGCTTGCTGCTGTTTGTCCATCAGTCCACCCAGTCGAATGCCAGAGCTGCGTGCTTGTTGCTCGAGTGCCATGATCGCTTGCGCAATGCTGACCAGATTAGCTTGGGAGCCGGTTCCTTTCGCAAAGAAGAAAGCCTGTTGATACACCTTGGCCTGTAATGTGGCGATTTGAATTTTGAATCCTTCGAGTATGCCCAACGACACATCCAATAGCCACTGTGGTGCGTTTGCAATTGCTGCTCCTTGTTGCTCAATTGCCCTTTTGGCGTTGACTAAGGCTCCGGCAGTCTTGCTCATATTTGCAAGGCTTTGAATCAAGAATCCAAACCGCTGTAGAAGTGGCCCATCGACGCCTGGTACTTTGCCTTCCATTGCTCGGACAAGCGCCTGCTGCACCACACGCGGATCCGGCAAATTCAGCACAGCCGCATTTGGAGCGGCGGCTGCAATGCGGGTCGCATGCTGTGCTGGTTGTTGCTGTGCCGGCTGTTGTGTCTGCGCCTGCTGTTGGGTAAGTAGTGACTGCGGCTGAAGACTTTGCATCTTGGTGCCCGTTTGCTCATTTGTGGCATTCGGCCCTATGTCACTTGTTGGCTGCTGCTGCTCTTGCTGGCAAGCTAGTGATGCTCTTCTTTCCCTAGAGCCTGCTCCCGTTGCGTCAAGCAGCTTGTGATTTGCTTTTAAGCGTCGTCGACACTTGTGTGAGCCACTGCCGAGATGCTTTGTCGCAGCAGAGAAGCCCGAGAAAGAAAATGCGCAGTGCTCCGGCAGTTTCGCCTGCTTTTCATTACTCGGCGAGAAAATAGAGGCTGGATGATCGCAAGGCACAGGGGTCACGGCGGATCCGATGCCTGCGTCAAGGCCGACAAGCGTCGCATGTATTTTTCCTGGAAGACTGTTGCCAGGCAGCCCACCGTCTTTGCCACCAGCGGCGATCGCCTTCCTGAGCGCGTCATCCCCACCCGGGTCTTCTGTATCCACTAGGATTGTCGAGACGTATACGCCTCGCGCAACAAGCTCTGCTGCTGCCTGTGGCCATGTCCAGTTGTCGTATACACTTCTTTCGTTTCGCAGTGCCGGTAAAGTTGAGACTGACAAGCGTGCGTCAAAGGATGAGGGCGGGTGGTGTGGATTCGGAGGAGCATTGGTTGTCGGCAAGATGTTCAGGAGGTAAAACGAGGTCGCGGGGGGCCTCGATTGTACGAACGGATGGTCCGGTCTTCGTGATTCCTCGGGGAGCATCTGTACAGACATGGCCTCAGCCCGCAGGCTTTCTGAAAATAACGAGGGTATGCACTCACCTCTAAAGCGGCAACGAGGCCTTCGCTAAATAAGAGCCCATCCCATTCATGGGAAGCCCCATTTTGTTTTCCAATTCCAGAGCCTTGAGAGCCATTTGGACCTTCATCATCCGCACCGGACCACCACATTTCATCGAGTTCGGCCTGGATCCCGCCGCCAAGTCCGTCTTCTTCGTCAAGACTGAAAAACAAAACGTCCAAGTTCACATTGGCGCATAGTTGGTCGGCGTACACAGAACTAGCCTTCGGCGTCTCTTTTGTCTGCTGTGCGGGGTCTTGCATGACTTGCAAGAATGCCTCTGATGGCATCAGCGGTATCCGTCTCAGAGCAGCAGTGGGATACGCTGGAGGATCAATCAGATGATCCAGCATGTCCATTTCGTCATCCTTATGCTTCAATTTTGAAGTCCTTCGTGTACCGTAGAGGACTGCTCCAATCTGAAGCGTAGGTTTGGGGGAGACAGCTGCCGATACAGCCGCGGCAGCGCTGGCTTTGCCTTTACCCTCGCCTTTGACGGCCGTCTCGTTAGACGCTGCGAGAACTTCTAGAATCCGGTTGGCAACGGGTTCGACGACGGAGCGCATGAAGTCTCGGGACCGCGGTGTGATAGCGGCATTATCCCTGGGCATGAGGACGATTAGTGCGCTCCACGGGGTTTTGTCGGCTGCAGCAATGCCATTGGCAGGTGCGGCAATTCCAGGCGCATCCACCACGAGCGGGACTTCCAGTGGCAGACTTGAAGCAGGTGTCGTCCAGGTCGACATGGTGTTGGCAGATCCTTGGGTAGTGGCAGCGGACGCTAAGGGGTTGTTCGGCAAAGCTGTCCTTGACAAGCCAGTGGCAGCCAAGTCGATGTGGCTCGCGCTGATCGAAGGTGTGAGAAAGCTACTGGATGCTGGCAGCGGTACCATAGTATCGTGCATCGGCAGGATGACACCCAAGTTAGATATGCTGGGACTTGCGCCGATTCCCAGCACGCTCGCGCCCTTGCCCATACCTACTCCAGTACCCATGCTCATGCTCATTGTCATGCTGGAAGGCGAGCCGGACATGGCAGGCGGGCTGAAGACGAGTCCATTGGGCACTGGTGGCCCTGTAACTACCGACGCCCCACTCGTCGCCATATCGACTGTAGTTGCCTTCCAGAGGCCAGCCAGCAGCGGCTGTTGATCACGTTGGTACGGGTATTTGCTTGAACAGCGTCAGCGGTTAGGGCGCTGTTGGCTTTGTCGCACCGGGCTGCATAGCCCATGTTACGACGCTGTAACGATCACAAGTTGTGCAGCTGCACACAAGGCAAACTGTGCACATGTATAGATGGCTTGGGTGATCTTGCAGGTGAATCGAACGGGTAGAGATCAGTGAGCATGTCGCAATTATATGCTAAATTGTCCGAAGCTAAAGTCGATTGTGAAGACTTGTGCAAGACTGACGCAAAAGCCAGCACTAAACCTAATACTACATAACGACTTCGAATACGGAATACTGCCAACGAAATTGGTACGGCTTAAGCCCATTAAGCAGCGCTTTCAAAAAGCACATCTCCCAACCCAACAGCACTGGTACTTACTAAGCATGATATTCACGAAGGCCAGACATATCGAGCCATATGCTATTTATGGCTGCTCTGGAAATTGCACGTACCAGATCGCTACAAGCCACTAAAAGGTATTGCCGAGTTTGTGGTGCATTCGTCAACAGTGTGGATTACTTATTGTGCATGGGCAGCAGTGGACGCAACACGCTCATCGTGCAAGGCAAGTAAGAGTCCTTTCCTCGCTCTGACATCTCCTCCTAGCCGCTCAGCCCAATAGACTCCAAACACTTCCTCGAAGTCCCTCTTCTCGTCTTCAATCGATTCGACCGCTGGAAGCAGTGGCGCTGTGAGGCCGTGAGCTGCTGCACGAATTTCCTTGAGGATCCAAGCGGCTGATTGTTCCGCAACGTGTCCTTGGTCATTCAGCCACAGTCCAAGCAGGCGCAATGCGTTCTTTGCCTTTTCCGGTTCCTGCACACCTTTCGGGCCCAAAAGAAAGGCGCGAACAACGCCGCTGCCTAGCCGTCGCAAACCAATGACAGCGCCCAGTTTCGTCCCTGCTGATTCTGCTGGCGCGCGCTTCTTCGCTTCGGCTTGCGCCAGAGCTTCTGCGCCTGTCCTGGGCGGCTGGTCCTCGCTATCTGGATCGATGTACCTCTTTGTTCCTGCCAGCAAGGCTTTGATAAGTGTGGAGACGATGCGAGTCCGGAGGGACGGGTAGCTTGCCGAGTGTTGAGAAACTATGAAAGCCAGCAGTGCGCCAGCATGAGCGCGTAGCTGGTAGCTGTTTGAACCTGAGCGCTTTGCTGGCGTTGAGGCTTTGGTACATGTTTCCAGAAATGGATCTTGCACACTCAGCATGGGCCCCAACGACGCCGTCAAAAGAACACTGAGGATGCTTGGCATGACTTGGTGGAGCTAGAAGCGGAAGAGACTCTCAGCGAGGTCCTTTATCACGTCATTCTGTGGCTGTACTCACATATGGCTCAATGTGAATGTGAGAATTGACCAGCAGAGCATGAACGACCATCATCATTTGTCCAAGCAGGTTTTCGTCGAGAAGTCCAAAGCTGATCCTCTCTCCCACCCATTGAACTAGGTATGGGACAATTTGATGTAGACCCGGGTCGCCTCGTAAGCTGGCGAGTGCAGCGTCGCGAACCGTGTTACCGGTACTTTTGGCTGTGAATGCAGCCAATGTCTTGGAAGGCACTGTAATTCCATTGGCGGACGCCTTGCGGGTCCTGGAAGGTCGCATTTCTTGTTGATTGGCGGCCGATGCCATCGACGTGTCCCGATCGTTGTCGATTGCTGAAGGTTCGGCCTCTCCATAGGCATCCGCATCCGCGTCTGCTTCATCATCCGCATCTGTATCTCCGCTTTCAGTGTCTGCGGAAGATGGTGGAGTAAGTATTGCAGTCGTAAGACGCTCGTAATAGAGCTGAAGCTCGCGCGAAAGGACATGCTTGATCAGAGGTTTGACTATCACATTCTGTCCTGCTGTTGAGGCTCCTGCACCTGGTGTTATTGGAGTCATGGGTACCACCCTAGCAGAATTGGCTTTTGCAGCCAGCGGAACGACAAGAGACGCAGAGTCACCGTTCAAAGCAGCCGTTGCCGCTGCAGCGGAAGGCGGGTCGCTGGCCTGCCCAAGTTCGACCGGGCTCGGATTTTGTGGGACAGCTGGTTGAATGCCTTCAACCGCCAGCCAATGCGCCGACCACCCTACCCCCTTGCCCAATGTCAGCGTTGGTCCTGTGGAGAGGACCTTTTCAAAATCGATTTCTTCGTCCTCGATGTAGTAGATCGGCCCGCTTGGCGTCTGCACTTTTCTGAAGGATGGACCAGCGAGCGAAGCGGCTGTAGATGGGTGAGATGAACGCCCACTGGACGAAGGGAAGTAGCCATACAGAGGCTGCAAGAACAGGGAGTGGGTGTCGGCAACAAAGCCATGAGCGGCGAGCCTTTCCTTAACTCACCTCTATATTCTTTGCTCGTAACGCAGCATCAATATCACTTGTCCTTAACTGCGATCTTTTCGCGTGTCGCATGTACTTGCTTGCATCTTGAAGCACTTCTCGTATCCGGTACTCTACATCGCTGGCTAGCGCTGCCGCAACGTTGTCTCGGAGACTAGTCAGGCCGAGTTGCTCCGCGACGTCCTTGATGCTGTCCTTCGGATAGATACTGGGCGGGATGCTTATAAGGCCGCTGCTTGTTCCCCCAATTGCAAAAGCCCCTGTTCCAAGGCCCGATGCTGACATTGCACCCCCAGCTGCTACTGTGCTGCTTGAACCCAGGCCAACAGATGCTGCGAGCGGCGCTTCGGAGCCACTTCGATTACCGCTAGCTGCCTTTGGTGCCATGTTAGACCTTTCGCGTTTTTTTCTCTTTCGAAGGGAACTTTAGGTTGCGCAGCGTGGTGCTATAAGGCTGTAAATAGCCGCACGCGATTGTGATGCTAGATGAGCGACTGTTATGCGCGGATGAAGCTTTAGTTGGTGCATTGCTGACTAAGTGAAAGTTGCAGTGATTATATACTCCGTTTCCATTGTGATTCGCATGCGCATCTCATCTGGCTCATCAAGATCTCAGCCGCTTTCCGCCAATACCCAGATTGCGTACTTGACCTAAGACCGTTCTGCACATACATTTCGGCAACATGTCTTCAACCAACGTCATACGCAAGCTTTGATTTCCATCTTGGTCTTTTATCCTTACGGGACTTGGCATCTATTTTGCGGACGGAAAGCGGGCTGAACCCCTGCGGCTCAATCGTTGCTACGAGATCGCCAGAGCTTGAAGAAATGCTCAGAGGCGCTCAAGAAAGGTCGGCGTCGAGCTTCTTCCTGGGCTCCTTGCGCCAATTACATTTGCAAGCGCTCACACGACCACACATCTTCCGTGTAACCGATCAGGCGAATAAAAAGAACAGCAACAAATCGATTTTCCCCCTTGAGCCGAATTATGGAATACTTCAGACATGCGTTCAAGATTGGTCCCAAGTGCGTAGCTTCAGCACCTCAGGTCGGCGCCGAGCGGTCATTACAAATTCCGGTAGTGCTGTGGGCCGCCTTATGGAAAGGGAATTGAAAGCAAAACGAGAGCGGGTGGAAACACTCCCGTTCTTGGTGCCTAGTAGTGTCGCAATATCGCTTCTTCGAGCTGCAGCTGTGCAAGGCTTCTTCGATGAGGAAGCACCGTCGGTCGCGTTCTTCCCACGAGTGTTGTATACACTACTCAGAATCCTTCCATTCCGCATATTCCAAAGGAAGTTCGAAGAGGAGATTGTCAAGTTGGAGAAGATTACTTCGTTTTTTGCACCAATATGGATTATCGATGCGATTGTCAAAGTGAAAGCAAAAGGAAGCAAGGGGACAGCGGAGACAACGTGTGAGTCAAACATGTGCTTTCAAGTGTAGTGTGTACCTTGCTGATAGGAATATCTGCACGACAGTTGTGTTCGAACATTCGCGTATGCCAGCACATGCATGGAAAGATATCGACTTGATGCCATTGACAGCGATCAACGAAGACTTTTTGTTCGCCACTGCCGCTCGTGCAGGGGAATCAGAGGAGACTGCTCGGAACCATTCTCACTACGAGCTTTTCGACCCGGATATACATCTGAAGCCCAAAGGTATTGCGCTTGCCTCTGGGGCAGCACTCGAACTGCCTTTTGCAGTGTCTCCTTTGCATTTACCGAGTTTGCTCAAGAACGCAAGTCTCCAAGCACTCACGATTTCCGTGGCCACGCCAACCCTCAATCAACCAGTTATGAAAGTGCCATTGCCGCTCACCCAAGGAAAGAAATACGCCATGGTTGCAACTTTTCCGAAGGATCTTGGCGAAATCGAGCAGGATGCTGATGGCGAGAAGATTCGCTTCGACGCTGCTTCGCTGGAGGTTGAAATGATGGCGGCATACCCCATTCAGCTCCCAATACACATGGCAGAGTGGAGCTACAAAGACCAGGACGGCGAGAAGCAGAGCTTCTTGATTGCTATGAATGCACACGACATTACCGGGTTACAAATTTGTCGCTCTGACAAGACGCGCAAGTGGCTCGTTTCGACCGTAAAAGCCGGCCCAGCCCAGCTGAAGGGTGTGGATTTCTTCCCCGAGCCACCTTTTGATGTTCTCAAAAATGAGAACGAGCAGGCTGCTATTGATGGAGAGGTGAAAGAGGGGCTCAAGGGAAACAATGGCGATGATCCAGGCTGCACAGAGAACCAATTAAAGCACATAATGCTGAAGAAGATCATCGATATGACAGGCTCGCTCGGCTTGACGGGCTTCAATGCCCTGCTCAAGGCCAGCAAGCTGCTTGAGTCTGCTAATTGGAATTCTGTCAAACGTCTTGAGCGGGAGGGCTGGCAAAATCGCGTCGCAACTATGATCAAGACCCAGTCTGACAGTGCGGAGAGCGTCCCCACCATGGCACCGAACGGTAGCCACATCGACTGGTGCTCGCCGCATGTGCAACGCTACTCACACAATTCTTGGCCAAATCGCGTCTACAGTAGGGCTGTTTTGCGTCACCTGGATCAGCGGCGAATCATGATTGGGATGGAGCAGAGCAGCGGCGCAGGCTCAGAAAAATTCTGGATACGGGAGGAGACGCCAGTTGGCAAGAGTAGGTGCCGTGCACTAGCTCATCGAATACAAAAGGAGCAAATGCTGACCATTCCTTATCCTTTATAGAGACCGGAGCGGTGATGTCCGTCAAGCAACATCTAGTCAAGTCGCTTGCAAATCGTGACTCTAAGATGCCTATTTGGCTGAGAAAGCTGAAAAACAAGGGTGGATAGTTGCTAGTGTATTATTGCAGCCTCGCGTTCATCACGCTATTTATGCATGTACTGTTGCGAGAATGTCCGCCTCGTCCGGAATGACTATTGCTAAGCTTATCTTCTGTGGCGGAGGGATGTTTGCCGAGCGTTATTAGTATTGGAGGAAGGCTGCCCACCGAAGAACTCGCTATGAGACGCCTCGCGATCGCCGGACCGAAGAGCCATTGGGAATCGCATGACCGTGCTGACGATACGTGAGACTCGCCGCGCGCATTTGGATGTGCAGAGGGTTCGGCAGGGCCAGAAAGGTTGGTGGGGATATGGTTGCCTTCGTCCATTGTGCGGCTGGCGGCATGCGTTTGGATTGCTACGCTGATCTAGAGGAGCCGTATAGTGAGTCCAAGTGGACAGATGATATGTCCTTCACCGCCTCGTATCATGCACATGGAGATGCTATGTGAGCCTGGAAAGGTATGCTGCGGTTAATTGAACGTCAGGAGGCGCCACGGAGCTTGTCAATTTCGTCCTTGACTAGCGTTTGCGCTATCTTCAGAAGATTCTCATCTTGCTTGAATTTGGCCAGCTCGGCTCGAAGTTTCTCGTGAGCTTGTACGGCTTCGGTTTCTCGGGCATGCAGAGCCTTGCGCAGCTCCTCCGATGTCAACACTGGCTCGCTGCTCGAAGAAGTCATTGGCAACTGGAGAGCAACACGATTTCCGCCCGTCGTGGCTGGGAGCTGAACCAAGCGTCCACTTTAAGATCATTAGACAGCCGAACGCGGGAGGCGCTCTGCGTCAGGAGAGGAACTTTAGCAGCAAGGCTGAAGCGCTGTAGTCGCATGAATGGTCAGGAGCTCGAACATCGAGAACATCTGAATATGAAAGTGCAACGTTCACAACGGGATCAATCTAAAAAAAGTGGGCCCCTTCGATAGTACCTTACACACTTGCAAGGCCCTATGGCCCCGAAAGCGAGATTTGAGCGAGCGACCGAAACCACTATGTAACAATTTCAAAACTTGAGTATCAACCGCCAACCGGGCAGGGGTACCTTTCTTGATCGCTTCGCCGTCGCTTGAACCTCCATCAATCTTTCGCGAACGTCTCGCCTTCAAGTCTCGCCACTTCACTCATCTGCTTGGCTGTTTGGACATTGTGCCTCAATCTCTTGACGCACAGGAAACCATTGGCTGCTGTTCTCCGGAGTGCCCAACTATTCGTGTGACACTCGCTTTCGAAACTTGAAGGGCGCATCATGATCTGTTCCAGGTTCCCAAGAGCGGCGGGCCTGCCTCAAGCGCCATGCGTGAGCAGCTGCGCCAAGATGAATAGCGTACGCAACCTGTCTTTTCCAGCCCCTTTTCACCGTAAGTTCTCAGCAATGCGCAGGATTTCTGCGATTGTTCTGTGACTGACCTGCATTCGTCTCACCTCGACGGCTCTTGGGCTCGACAGGGCGCTTCACAAGCTCTAACCCTGCGGCGAGAAAGCGTTTAATCTCCCTAGGGCAGCGGTTCGGGGCTTTGGCAGCGGGGGGGCTAGCCCTAGCCGCCGCTCTTGCGACTCTGCAATCGAATAGTAATAGTGCGTTGCAATGCGAGCAGTCTGCAATGGATGCGTGGAAATCTTCAAAGGTGAACGAAGTTGGACCTATTACCCAATCCATTCACCTACACTCAATCACTACTTTTTGTGAATGTAGCCTTCCATCCCCGACATCTCTCACCTGGACCCGAAAGTCATCGAGGACACGCAAAAACCAATGAGACAGCGGATGGAAACATACGTCAAGCTCCTCCAGCACCGAATAGTCACAGCACTCGCGGCTGAAGAGCAGGCGGAGACATTCTTGGTCGACGCATGGCTTCGTAAGCAAGGAGGGGAAGGTATCTCATGTGTGTTGCAAAATGGCAAAACATTCGACAAGGCTGGCGTGAACATTAGCGTCGTACACGGCATTCTACCTCCGGCAGCTATTGCGCAAATGTCAGCTGACCATGGTAATCTGGTTCAGAAAACAGGGTATATGTTGGACGGACCTGATGCTGAGGTGTCTGGGCTACCTTTCTACGCTGCTGGTCTGTCGCTGGTCGTGCACCCGCACAATCCATTCGCCCCGACCGTCCACTTTAACTACCGCTACTTTGAGCTGACACATCCACCGACACTTAAGGATGGCTCGCCAAATCCGCGCTACGAGGAAGCAAAAAAGACTACAGGTGGAGCGACAGAACCTGTGGCCTGGTGGTTTGGCGGAGGTACAGATCTGACGCCAACCTACCTATTCGATGATGACGCCAAGCACTTTCATCATACGCTGAAAGCTGCAGCCGACCGTCACGATACTGCTTTCTACCCGGCTTGGAAGAAGTGGTGCGACAAGTACTTTTGGATCAAACATCGCAATGAAGCACGCGGGATTGGTGGCATCTTCTTCGACGACCTCACTTTGCCTACGTACGCGGCTCAGCGTGACAGCTATATTCCTTTGTCCGATGGTGATAAGGCGACTCGCCCGTTGTCATCATCCAATGCGCATGATCAAGAGTCGCTCTTTGCCACCATCCGCAGTCTAGGTGACGCGTTCATTCCCGCCTACCTTCCAGTCTTGCAAAGGCGCAAGACCACTCCCTTTGACGAAGCACACGCTGCCTGGCAGGCGATCAGAAGAGGGCGGTATGTCGAATTCAATCTCGTCTATGACCGAGGGACCAAGTTTGGCCTGCAGACCCCTGGTGCCAGACTAGAGAGTATTCTGATGAGCCTTCCGCTCAAAGCACGGTGGGAGTACATGGAGCGATGGAGCGGGGCAGAGACCGACATGCCACGAGGAGCAAAAGACGAAGGGAAGCATGAAAAGGTGACCATGGAAATCCTTAGGCATCCCAAGGACTGGGTGTGATTGGTTCAATGCATACTATTAAAATGCTTTTTCGAAGCAGCTCCAAACGATTGACTTCACCAAGCGCACACAGCCTCTCAAATTCCATATTTAGGCGGAAACTCAGCACCATCATGCAGCTTGTTCGATATACAGGGTGGTGTCCCGACGTATAGGGGTATGAGAAAGTAGTGTACTGCACACTCAGGAGATGGGGGCATGTTTCATTTGGTGGTCCGTCTTGGGTACCTTGATGAGCACGCTCTCGGCTCATGCTAGATCTTGAATGGTAGTATCAATGCTGTGCAGACTTCAGCAAAGAAAATTTTCTTACTTTCGGGAAATCGAAGTGCTGACAATGCCAAATTTGCCACACTGCCTTATTATCTTGTTCGACCCAGGGAACAGAATTGGCTTGACATCGATGACGCACTAAATTGCTGATTGTTCCCCGGTCCTCCTAATTCATCAACCTGAGTGCAGTTTCTTTCGGCCTCATTACGCATGGCGATCCAGCATGGACTCGCTGATTGAAAAGGAGTGCGGCTTTGAGCGACCGTATAAATAACGCTCTTGAGTGCTAGTCAATCCCGATATTCCCCTCACTTCGCTGCAGAGTGCTTGGCTGGCTGTACTGATCCATTGCTCAGGGCAGAAACAACGTCGATCGCCCACCATGAAAGTGATTGAAAAGCTCAAGAAGGGCGCAAAGAAAGCTGAAACGGCCTCCTGGCGTGGGTTGGCACCCGTCGGCAATTGGGCCAACAAGCAGTCTCGTCGTGTCGGTGGTTCAGAATTTTGGCCAGTCGGTTTGGATAAGGAGTGCGAAAAGGCCGGAAACATTTTGCGCAGCTTTGCACTCGACAGTGCGAGCATGATACTTCCAGAAGGCGGAAAAAAGAGCAGCAGTGACGACGCCAGTGCAACGAACAAACGTAAGCAGAAAAATGAGCGGGCAACTCGCCAAGTCCCCGCCGCCGTGCTTCATCAAGCCAGGGGCGTTGCAATCTTCACAGTCTTCCGCACGGGCTTTGGATTCTCCGGAGCTGGCGGCTCAGGCGTTGTCGTCTCCCGTCTGCCGAATGGCTCATGGAGCGGCCCTAGCGGCTTGCTGATCCATACGGCTGGCGTCGGATATACCATCGGACTGGACGTGTACGATGTCGTTCTGGTGCTTAGGACTGAGGATGCCGTTAAAGCGTTTGCACATCCTAGAGTAAGCGTCGGCGCTGACTTTGCAATCACCGCTGGGCCTATTGGAAGTGCTGCGCAGCTTGATGTCGGCGTGACGGACAAATCCAAACCAGTATTTTCATATGGTAAGGAGATAGTGCGGCTTGGAAAAGAATCGCTGTTTTGAAGTGGGACATATCTGATCACAGTCAAAAGCAAAGGCATGTATGCCGGCGTTGCCATAGAAGGCACGATCATTCTCAAGGTGAGCTTGAGCACTCCCAGCTTTGCGCCTATACTTTGCCTAAACCTCAACGTTACACTGCCCTGACAGAGAGACGACGAGAACCGCCGCTTCTACAATGCTGACGTTTCAGCGACCCAAATTCTGTCAGGCGACGGTAGGACGTTCCCTCCTCCCACAGGCGCAAGGCCCTTGCTTGCAACACTCTATTCCGCTGAGGGAAAAATCGAGGTGATGGGCACTACCGATATTCCGAGCGGCAAGACCACTGACGACCTCAGAGACTTTGACGAGGACCAAAAGCTGTTAACTGCAAACACTTCTGTGGCGAGGGGGTCAGTTGCTACGGATGTTCCGATAGGCGGCGTGCTGAATAGTGAAGGCAAACGCCGCTTGCCACCAATGCCAGCTGCTTTAGACGCTGAAGCTGCGATTGCAGCATCCTCGTCGACCGCAAGGGCAGCGCCTTTTGTTCCTTCTATAGGGCCGCCGCAGAGCGCGGATGAAGCCTTGGCCCTGCCTCCTTCCTATACCTGAGTCTTAGTATGCAGACACCAACTTTGTCGCAGGCGATTTAAATGATGCTCCACCGCAGCGATGCGACCATACCTAACGTTGAGTAACGTGCGGAAGCGGAAAATGCAAGGCTGAAGGAACACAACGAAAGGCTAGAATGATGACGACTTAGGTTGTGAAATCCGAGTTGTTGTAAGGTGCATATTGCCAACATATGTCGTGCTGCTTTGTGTTTTTGGTTTCATACCCCTGGGCAATACCACCTCTCGCCTGAGCTCATTACAGCACGATGCTATGAAACACCAGCCTTGGCATCTTGCTGCGATTACGACAAGAGCGTAGGCTATGGTACGTGCCGATGACCTTTGAACCAGAGATCAGATTGGGGAGATGGCATGATGCTGTCAGTCTGAATACGCTTTCCCATCTACAACCATTATTCGACGTGCCCCGCATGAGCATCAACCTGCGGCAGGCATGCTCATCATCAGACAGACGACGGGAAAAGGAGCTGCGGGTTTTTCATGAACGAGTTAGTCAACTTTGCTATCTTTTTTCGCCACAGCGGCGGCGTCACAGCGGCGGCGTAGTTAGTGTCTCATGTCTGGGTGCACTGAACCTGAAGATCGGGTGTTACGATGGTTTGAGCTTTCTCCTGATGCAGTCAATTGCTGATGATACAGGGAAGGCTGCGTCAAGTTAGCCACAGGATCGGCCATGCTTCAGAGGCAAGTGTGAGGGTTCCCTTGCGAATGATTGCATGTCTTGCAAAGCGCTGGGCGTTCGTTTATTGTGATTGCATGGCGGAGTCCCGTCATTTGACGAGCGTTCAGTCAGAGGCCCTGCACATGCATTTCCTACATCAGCTATACGCCAGCCACAAACGAGAAAGCGCACAAAGTTTCAAACATGACCAATGTGTTGACAGAGGCCGGCAGAAGTAATAATAAAACGACAGCGAAGAAAGCGCGAGTACTCGTGAAGTCCATCCACTTTCTCAGTCTTCAGCACTGTCAATGTGGCTTCGATTTAGATTAAGCGACAATTGCCGAGGTGAAATGAGATATGTGCAGAAGGCAGAGACAGAACACAGACGTAGGCTCAACAATAGTTATCCTCGGCCTACTCTCGCCGGACGCCATGGATTGTGCTGATGCCGATCTTTCAACTAGTTGAAATTAGGGATCCGCCGGGGTGTCTACGTTGCATTATGCTTTTGTATACCATTGTGTCCGTTTCATCTCTGCATACGGCCTATTGCCCATTGCCTTCTTCAGGATGTGTCGCTTATTAAGCCTCTTGTGGACGATAGTGTGCCACACTATCCTGGGACATCTCCATGGCTAAGCGTATGTACTGTCATGGCGGAATTCCGGAGTACAAGCATATGCCTAATTTGTCATGCTCTCTCGTCTTTTGGCCCTTGCGACGTGTCCGAATTTTGTCGAAACTCAGATGCTCAGTGGCTCCACAGGTCATACGAAATTCACTATGATCTGCATCGCTTCCTTTCGGCTGGCCTTTGAACACGGCCTGAAAGGTACAATGAAAGCAGTTCCTTTGGTTGGAATCGCCCTCTTCTTGGGTGTTCTTGTTTCAACCTCCCCGTCCAGTGCCTCAAACGAATCGAGAATATAAAAATGTACAAGCCATTCTTTCTTGATGACCTTCAGGGGCTCGCAGGCGATGATGCAGCTGATAACGACTTCAAACGTTGGTAACCAATGCTGCAACCCGCCCACTCTGGTCAAAACTGCACCGTCTTTATCCCGCCGAATACGAAGCAACATGCGGATAGATCTGTCATTGCATCAATGAAACAGGTCATCTTTCATGCAGCGTTGCTGAGTGTGAAGGAGCAGGCCATTGCGTGTGCTCACTTTCTAAAGGCGATCTCGCATGAGGTGCATGTCTTGCGGCCGCAACAGAATCCGGCAGGATTGATCGCGTTTTGATGGGCGGCCAAATAGTAGCAATGCAAGCTGCCGGATGCCATACCTCGCAAGCAGATCTGATCCTTACGGCCTCAGGGGTCCAGCACTGGGCGAGCAGCCAAGACGTAGCCACTCAAGTCAGCTCTCCGATGCGATCTCCGCATCTTCAGACAGGAGAGGCCCTTGGACAGTGAACTGCAGTTATCAAAGTGAGCACCTGTGCAGGGGCAGGTGGACACAAAGAGAGAGCATGTACATGTATTTTCCTACCTGCCTTTCGCACATCGTATTCGCCATTTACATGGTATGTTGTGTTCCGATGACAACTGCTTGAAGTAGATTGCATTTCAGAAAAGAGGGTTACAAGCGATTTCAATAACATTCCCATTTTCGGTTGTCGTCGTGTGAACCACGTGTAGGGTATCTTTGAATCCTATTGGCAAGGGACCTATGGCAATTATGGACGCCTTGAGACGTGGATACACATTGACAAACGCATCATTTCTTTTCCTGTGCTCATGTTCCGAATGGGTTACCCAGGTCTCGCATGCTGGGTAAAACCCTGATGCACAGTACTAGCTGTTTCAGGAAGATATTCGCTCTTGCTCCTCTGCTTGCACCGATGGAGACGGTAATTGAATATGTCTACCCTATTTAGGGCACTCAGAAGCCGTTATGCAAGGACATGTATTTAGCTACGTTCACATATATGCATCGAGTCCTCACGAGTGCCGCGATTAAACGTCTTGCCTTCAAGAACAAAATCTGGGGGCCGGTGGCTGATGAACTACTGAGTCCATGATGCATTTATTCTGTATTCTGTTGCCTTCGTTTCGTTCCCCGTGCAAGAAGCCCCGTTTTGGATGTTGACGGCGACAGCATTTTGGAATTGAGCAGCTGTGGATTGCCCTGTGTGTAGGCTTCCCTGCGAAAGCTTCGCAGGGGAATGAGCAGGCCAACCAAATGCTTTTCGTGTTTCTGGTTCCTGCGATCAGTGCAAACTGAGCTAAATGATTCACCGCCTCAGCTGCATCTCTAGCACAGACGTAGTACAAGATTCACGAGCGGAGAAGAACAGTCGCGTCATCGGTGCGGTCGTACCGTATCCTGTCATTCTCCCCATAGTGATTCCGCAATTTGCGCAGTCACCAATTGATTAGGCGAATCCGGCTTTGCCACGGATGCAGATGTCAACACTCTTCTCTTCTTTAGACTGGAGATGTCCTGAGAAGCAGTGGGGACAGTTCGCAGAACCAGACTCAAAAAGCAATGACAGTGAACTTGGGATCCTGATTCCTGGTATAGGGTCTCACTTAAGAGGCTTTGCATTCCCCTCACCGCCGGCCACCCGGGGTCACGCGACGCGACTTGACCCTGCTTCCGAAACTCTCCTGCGGGAAGTGTACTACGAAACTCTCCTCGGAACAGTGATCCAAACATACGTGATTTGCCACTTGTCCACGTCCACAAGTCCACAACACGAAGCTCTGTACAGATATACAGGAATACATAGAGTCACCGGGTCTGCGAATCAGCGTGCTCATCGCCCCCAATTGAGGCCCCACCTCTGAGCTTTGCAGTCGGTCGGCATCGCAGCGGGAAGTATCTTGCAAAGCAGAGCAAGTTAAGCGCGGGTTCAGCTCCCGGTCTGTCATGATGTCCACCGTTCCGCTTTCATCGGGGA